CTTCAGTAATATCTAACAAGGTAACTTTATTGTCCTTCTCTTCATCGCATAACATATTTTTGATTAATGAACATTTATGAGTCTATGACATGTCTTCGTAATTTAGTGACAATATAAATTTAAAAAAAATCAGTTCAAAGTTAATTCAAGGTCCGCCAGAGATTATTGATTTTTGATAATTTAATAATAAAATAATTCAATTTATATAATATTCATATAAGAAAGACTACCGAGTAAATTTACACGTTTTAATGTATAAAATTAACATAAATAATTTGAATTATAATATAGTATAATTTTTAACTTGAAAGATACATTAATAATTGAAATTAAGAAAATGGGATTTTTATTTCGATCCGTATAAAAACTTATTTTTTGTTCGGTAAAATAAGATTGTACCACAAATTATACTTATAACCGGGCCCGTTTTGGATTCTATTAATTCTCAAACACTTTCATTTTTCATATTATTTTAGAATTGTAACGTCTTTTTTGAAGACAGGCATAAAATTTAACCTTAATATGACGTCTACCTCTATATACTTGCACTGTGTCAACATTTTTCCACCTAATAAGACTTCCATCCCATCCCTCTCCCCAAAAAAATAAGGTCACGACAGATTCGAATATTACGAAATAAAACCATCCTATATTCATTATTATTGAAAGTATTTTAAATTCTGAGCGTAGTAAATAATGTATTGGTTTTACTGTAATGATATGCTATTTAAGCTATCATACATTATGTAAAATAAAATATTGTGTAATGTTAATAAATCAAACAATTAATAACAGGAATGATAGTAAAACATTTACATCCGATTCCATTCTTTTTTATTATCAAATAACATATATTTTAGTGCGATATTTACTCATCGTAAGGAGATAATACTTAAGCTATCATATATAATTAAAATAAATTATATAATCAATATTGTAAAATAATTATAATAATTTGTAGCCATTAATTATTAGATTAAGNTGTTCCCGTTGCTTTTGGACAGATGATCACAAGCGAGTGTAAAAGACTACGCAGAGATTCTTACAAAAGCACGGGAACCTAGAACAGTGTTTTATATTTTTAAAAAAATTAATAAAAAAGAAACAGTTGTTATATTAAAAATCTTTTTATTTACTACGATCACCTATATCAAATTCAACAGATCAATTTGCCGCCTGAAGAAGAAAGGTAATCAAAATTATAATTAATTTATACGTGTGAATCGAATTTACATAACTAGGCACCTCCCGCCTTATTTTTGAATTACTACATTACTAAGATGTCTATTTTTTTATAATGTGTACAAAAATGTTACCAGAAATTTTGCTCCGATATTTACTCGTGGCAACATTTCTAAAATGAAATATTATCCAAATGATACTTTTGGGAGGTCACTTTTTGATTTTCAAAGCGGTTTTCATAATAAAACGGGAAATTTAAAAAAATAGTACTATCATTATTTTTTCAATTTTGTTATTTGCTATAATTCAGTTAAAAAATTTCGTAGATACTTGAAATTTGGACAGAAAACTTATGTTTGTCTTTTCTAGACATAATACAATTTTAAAAACATTTGATCCTTTTTCAGCTATTTATAAACATTTTAATTTTGCGAGTTTTATACGTAATTTTTATTCGATAGGTACTCTATCGTAAAATTGTTAGACTTAACAGAAATGCTTAAAAATTTAATAAGAGTTTCATTGAGAGTCTTACTTTGTAATCAAAAAAACAAATTGAGTTTAATACAGCATTTTTTTTTTTTTTTTTTTTTTTTTAAGGAATTTTAATATCAAATTTNTTCTGATATTATGCGGATATTATATGTTATGTTAAATAACTAAATGTTGTTATCTCTAGAGTATGTTTGTCGTAGCCAAATGGTTATACATACCTAGTTTCATCCTAGAGTTCGCGAGTTCAAATCCGTGTTTCGCAAAAAAATTGTTTGAACTTATTTTTTCTCTTTTACCTAAATAGTAAAACCAAATACATTTTAGGTTTACCTAAAGACCCAGCTTTCGGACTATTTTAATCGAAAAACACCCCCCTGATTTATTGTGCAAACTTTTCTACCAGAAATCTTGTTCCGATTTTTAAGTGTAGCACTTTTTCTGAAGGATATTGGATCGAGGAGATACTTTAGGGAAGTTATTTTTCGATTTGCGTAAGTGGCCAATTCTAGAAATGTGATAAAATTTTATCGAATGTGATAAACATGTTTATCACATGAAATACAAAAGTGCTATTCTTTAAAATAATAAAATTATACCTACATCGATTAAGAATTTTTCGATTTTTTGTCCACTGCTTAAAAACCAGTGATACAATTTTATCGATCACTAGCCATATAATTTTTGATGTGATATTTGTGTTCTTATTGAAAATCTGCTTGGTTCTATAATAGATATTACTATATTTTTTTTTCAAACTGCTACTAGTTTATTTTCTTCATTTATTTTTCGTTTTTTTTCATTCAAACGGCTACAAACGAGTACTTAAAAACATTATAATATCATTATCATGGCCACATATAACGAGATAGCGCTATTATTTGTTTTTACAGCCCGAAATCGACGAAAACAACGATACGAAGAATAGACTACAAACAAAAATAGATAAAGTTATGGATAGGTTTTCATTTTCAAAGGAAAAAATTTAAGATTGACAAGACAATCAACATTTAGTTTGGAGGCAGTAGCTTCCACCGACCTCTGGCTATTTTATGGATAAAATTGACTACATTTTCCAGCGTTGAGTTGAGGGTTTTAGACATAATAACTCGATGAACAATTTTATCTGGCCTTTTGTCAGCCTATTTTTGTGCTAGTGTCACTCATCAATCATCATCATTAAAAAATTAGTAAAAACTAATATCACATACAAAAATAGAATATAACAATATAATTACAAAAAAATATATATATAATAACAATATTCTGTTTGACGAAAAAATTGCCATCAATTTATATTTTATCGTTATCGCCATAAATTATTATTTATTATCTATGGCTATCGCAAATTATTATTTATCAGTAATAATTTTTACTTTTTGAAGTTAGAATAATGTATTATAATGTATTTATTATTATATATATACATATTTAATAATTATTAAATTTCAACAAAAAGTAGATAAAGTTCAACAATTATTGCTTATAAACTATTATTATACTACATTATTATTTTTAATATAGGTTTAAAAATACCTATTTATTTTAGATATTTTGACCTAGATTCAATAAATCAGCTATTTATAAAAAATCTCTCCATCCAAATTTAATCTTAAAACATATCAACAGAAACAATAATCTCATGATTCAACAAAGTGTACAATATGAAAGTATACAAAACTCTAGTACAACTGTTAACATTATTTATGTCTTATTGCAGAATAAACATGTGTTTATATATTTTTTTTTTTTTAATATTTATTTACTTAATAATAATATTACTTAATAGTAATTATAATAATGATCAAAAACAAAACACACATTTTATAAACTTGATTTTCCCTCCAATTTGTCCATTGCTGACATTTTGCAATAATTTCCAAATGATTAAGTAGTAACACTGTATTTACATTCCTTTCTGGTTTTCAATATTTTTATATTGACATAATACGTATTGGCCTCTCTGTAGGTTATAATATTACTCTATAGGTATACTCAATATTTTAATTCAAAAACACTTCTCATCGTTAGTACCAAACTATATATTGTTACCACGATATCTATAATTGTGGTTGTTACCACGACTGTAGATAAAAATCGAAAATGTTTGTTTATTGTTTTGGAAACGCACTGCGTAGCACCCACCGGCCGTTTGATACATTATTTGGATCTCATATCGTCTTATTTACATCAAGACTGGGATTTTAAAGTAATTCATCTGTGAAACTGGTAAGTGTTTTCGACTATTCATCAAAATTTTAATTTAACTGAATTTGAATTTTACACTTTAGATATTAAAAGAATATTGATACTAAACTCATTCTTAAAGCAAGGTGAAACTCTGGCTTTTAGGTACGAAGTTACACATTTGATAAAATTAAATTTATTCGAATATTTACCCAAATTACTACATAATTGTTATCGTGTTCATTTTTCTTTGTATTGATATTCATATTAATTATATTATTAATGTGCCCAAAATGTTCAAAATTCCTACATTCCCAACTGACTGCTTCCAGTTTATTGAATTTACTTTTCACCATTTAAAAAATGTTCATTAACCATAAATCCATGTTGTTATATTCCTTATTGTTTGTTCAATATTTTGTATCTATATTTTAAAATATGTTTAGTCATGTATTCAAATTGTTGATTTTTTATGTCTAAAATAAATTGAAATTGAAATTAACCTATATATATATATATATATATATATATTGGTTAAAAACTAAACTTTTAAACTTTCATATTCCAGAGATATAGATATTTTTTCCTGAAATATTAGGTCATATATTGGTTTATGTCTATACTCACCACTAGTTATAATACATTTTTTAGGTATAGTTTTCATTATTTTTATTTAATGCTAATTGGTATAGGTATATTTTTTATTCATTTGATTTTGATGTGCTATAGGGTATCTAAGTTGTAAATTAAATTCCAAGGATTCATTATAGCTAGCTAACTACTAGAATCTATTGTTTTTATTTATGAATAAAATTGTAAGTTTTATCATTTTATTTAATACACAATACGCTTTAATTACTGTATTCAATTCCTACATTATTAATGTATATATTTTTTTTTTTATATAATTAGTTTTGTTTTTAGTCTAAAAAATAAAAATGTTTGTTTATAATATAATAATAAAAAAAAATTGAATATAAAAATTATTATGTTGTATCAGGTTAGTTAAATATGGATAAAATAACCAATTGTTTACAGTTAAACAACTGTTTACACTTGTAGGATGTTCATAATAAATTAGTCCCATCCTTGAATTATTTTTTGTATTCTAACTGATTGTATTATTTTGTTTAGGAACTATGGACATGGATAATCCCTACATGCAAACTATATATAGACAAGTAGTTACTGAAAATTTTCAATCAAAGGAATGGAAGGAAATTTTAGTTAATCCTGAAGGTGTTTCAGCAACCTTCCATGATGAAAACACATTACCACGATCCGGTGGACACTGCTTCAAAGATATTCCTAATCGGTTTATATATTGGCGAGTTTTGTGTGATAAACTTGAATTGGTTGAACATAGTTTAGATATAAATCTTACTGAGAACCAAGTTCGTATACAGTTTCGTGATTCCCCAATATTGGATAGTGGAATCTCTATACATGAGACTTCAGAGTCTGTTGTATTATTAGTACCTACAGCATATAGTTGTCACCGGTTGACATTTCCACGTCCAAGTCGTGTTAGATATGTGGATAATAATATTGAAAATGAAAATGTTCTTACTGATGCATCAATTTTTTCAAATTTCAATGTACCATCAATTGATGACCCAGCAATATTTTATTCATATAATGCTGAACATAGTGATCCATATATAGCTGCTTCTTGTTTAGATCAAAAACATGATGCTATTTTTATTATAGCATTGAAAAACAACATTATGCTTTATATACGCATTGAATATATTTCTGGACTTACCACTCAAAAAAAAATTTGTCAAGAATCTACTGCACCTAGAATGCTGTCAAATATAACTAAAATGTTTACAGCTCATATAGAAAATCCAGTTATCGATAGCCTGGCCATACATCCATTTCAACATGATATATATATATATTCTCTTGATAATGCTTGTGAATTGAAAGTTTGGTCTATTGAGAAATCTGTTTATATTTATATAATGGATATGAAAAAAACGTATTTAGGTTTAGTGGACAGTGGTTCAAGACCACATATAATTTACAAATGTGCAGATGATCAATTTTTACTCACTGTATACCTTAGTTTGTCGGAAGGTTCAAAATTTCTAATCTTTGAACCATGTATTGACTATGGCAGGTTTAAACTCCAACAAAAGTTTTATATATGTTCACCCATGAACAGTAGACTAGTCAATATGGCGTTATATGGTAATGAAATTTGGTGTATTTGGAGAACTGGAAAGGATATTGCTTGTATTAAGTCTGTGAATATCAAGAATGGCAACTGGAAAAACTGCAACTTGGATACTACAAATTTTGAACAATATTCTCAATATTTATCAAATCCAAAGCAAACATATTTGGATAAAATATTTTCATCATTAACTTATTTTACTGAAGAAGATTTGAAAAATGCCATTGCTGTTTATGATACATCTGATAATTTTGAATGTATTACTGATTACCATTCAAAGATAAGTAATGTCATCGATAAAAAGATTTCTCAAGAAATGGATAAATATGACTCAACAGATGTAAAGTCACAATTACAAATCGTTGAACAGTGCAGCGCTAATTTTTATAAAAGTTGTTTAGATTATCGTCGTAAGAGACTAACTCCTCTTGGAATTATTTGGCTGGGTCCACCATCCTTTTTACTAGTTTTGGTTACAAATTCAAGTTTTTGCTTTTTACGGCCTACAGATTACATTGAAAACAAAATATTTTCATCAAAATTTCATGAATCCAATACTGAATTTAATGGTTTACTTAATATGCTGATACCTGAATCAAAAATTAATTTTAACATGTTTTTTGACATAAATATGCCCCAAAATAAGTTATTAGAACTGGTTAAAAATGTGTATACATTTGAAAACAGTGATCCAAAAATAATATCATTTTTAAATAATACCCATATTCGTTCATTAATCCGAATGATGTATGGTAATCATGAGGAATATAAAAGTATGCAAAGTAACCAATATTCAAAATATTTCAGAAGTAAATTGGGGGCCAGTGTTATTTCTCATAGTTTCCATCAAATGATTGTTACTCGTTTTGAAATGTCTTGTAGATTATTTACTTTAATGGATATGCATTCTAAATTTTATGGACAGGCCAAAGAATTTGTAGATGCCAAAAACCTAGTATTTAATTATTGGATCCAGGCATTATTTTCACATGACATAAAATTATGTAAAAAACTACTTGTGACTAATAAATGTCTGGCTAGAGAACCATTTATGAACTATATTGATAGCTTATTAAGTTATACATGGACACTTACTGATAGATCTAGTCTTGTACAATTTTTGTTACAGGAAAGACAATACAATTTCATACAACAGATGGCTCAATTATTGGATTATAAACAATGGGAAGAAACTTTGGTAACTTCATATATGTTAAACAATGAACCAGATAAAGCGCTTGGTATACTAAAAAATGATGTTCATAAAAGTTCAGAATATTATCTCAGATGGATCACTCAGTTTGAAAAACACAATTACTATGATCATGCAGTACAACTTGGAAATTATGTATTAGACATATTTGCTTGTTCTGAAAATCAAAATATGTTATCAATATTTCATTCTAATATTTTTCTTAATAATCTAAAACGGAAAGCATACAAAAATGCATATACCAATATTTTATGTTTAAATAACCAAGATCAGAAATTGAATTGTTTACATACATTCCTGTTGACATTATTAGAAAATGGCGAACAAGTAAAACTACTAAGTTTTAATTTTTCTGGTTTACAGAGTTCAGTGGAGGACATAGTTCTAAAAAAGGCACGGTCTTTGTCAAATTTAGGTGCAGCTCCTTTTTATACGTTCTTATGTGCACTACACAACAAATATTTCAAATACAAAAAACTTGCCATAACATTTTATGAACTTTATTTACGTGCTGAAACGTGTATTGCCCAAGAAGAAAATTTAAGACTATCTCTTTTATATTTAAGAACTGTTAATCCCAAAGATGCTTGGTTTGTTGCTGCAAAATTACCCTATTTTTCAAAGACTAATGATATTCAAACAGGAGTTATAAAAATCAAACATCTGACTAAACTGTGTTGGTTAGCCCGTGCTCGTCAATCAGTAGATGATTCTGCAACCACCTTGGATGTACAGAGTGCAGTATCAGTATTAATAAGGAAACATCAATATAAAGAAGCCATGTATTTGTCTAAAATTTGGAATTTACCCCTTCACTTTCCATTAAGAAAATTAGTAAAAACATGTTTAACTCTTACTAACCCTGAGGAATGTGATAAAGCAAGGATTTGGTTAGCTAAAAATGAAATTAATGATAATGAAATAAATTGCAAGAAAATTGTATGGGATTTTTTGGAGACTTTAGTAAACAGATATGAAGAAAAAGAAAAAACATTATTGCACTATCATGTGGCTGACGAACTACTGGAACATAAAGCTTCTCTTCCTGATTGGCTTATAAGAAAATATAAAAAAATTAATGTTAGTGAATTGCTACAATTATACTTAAGTTATGGGGAACTGATTAATTGTTCAGGTTTAATATTTGAACTAATCGAAGAAGAAATGGCTGGTGATTCAAATAGTGTATATTCATTTGGTAAAATAATACCATCAGACCTTATAGAATGTGTAATTGCAAATTTAAAACATCATAAATTACACAAAATTGGAGATGATCTTTTAAGTAGCTATAAATTGCTTTATGATAATATTGTCACACGTTAGAACTTAAGTTTCAGAAATATAAGTAAGTTGTATTAACTATGTTCAACCACAAAATATGTAAAAGTGAAATAATTTAAACATTAGGTATGTGTTTATTCATTAATTGTATGTACATTAAATCTTTTTATTTTATCATGATTGTATTATATATTAGCAACTAGTTTTTTTTTTTTTAATTGTACAATTTAATTTGTTTGATATTTTATTATGATGTATAGTATATTCAGACACCAATAATAATAATAATAATAAAATATTTCAACATATTATAATATTTATAATTATTATATATTATTATCGTTATGTTGATATATTTTATTATAGGTACATCTACTTAGTAAAATATGTTACATGGTCACCAACCACAACAGAGGCAGCGGGTAACTATCACTAGGTGATGCATTTATTTTATACAAATTATTTAAAAAGATTATTATAAAAATTACTCTTTTCTGGGACTTCAAGAAGAAGACCTGGAGAATGAGCACAGCTAGTTCAAATAAATGTTTTTTTTATATTTTGGAAGATTCCTTTGTGTTTAATTTGTGTATGTTTAAGTATAAACATGGTTCCTCAAGGTTACCTGTAGTACTTACCAGATGAATTGACACCTATATACAAACTACAAAGAGTAGTTGAAATATAGAACTACCAAAAGCTGGGATAATGGAATTGGTGTAAGAAAATCGTGCTGCACAAGTAATATTCCTTTGGCTGTCTGGTCAGTAAAGCTACTGAGTTCTAGAGTAAAGTTGCTAATATTAAAACATCAATAACCAAAGATCTTGATTTAGTTGTGTTGCTGTGTATGTCCAAGAATGAATCTTATGTTTACAACAGATGTTAGGTAATTTTCTTTTGAAAATTTAAAGCTAAAATAAAAAAAGCTTATACTGGGGAATGGGGATAAATGTGACATTGTTGTAGATGAGAAGTTGGGAAGGTAGTATACATAAAATTCTTTAATTTATAACTCTGTACCATTATGGCAATTGGTGATAAATGCAAAAACTAAATTGTGAAAGACTGACATTTAAAATTTATTTGAATTTTCATTTAAACGTTTTTATTTAAAATATTTTGTTATCAAATGAAGATCATTTATAGATAGTTTTGATACACTGAAATACATTTATAATAATTTTTGGCCGATTTGTTATTTTTTTTAAAAACTTATTTTGACCAAAAAGATCAATAAAATGCACATAACATATTTTGCCTTTTTTTCGATTGCAAAAGTACACACATTTGAATACAAAATATTTCTCTAGAAATGTTCATATGCATAACACTAATATCAGATTTACCATTTATGAGTTATAAAAGCTTAAAGTTTAGACTGGAGGAGTAGGGAAGGGTAATAAATTACCTATCTATTGGATTTAAAATATACATATAATGAAATAGGTACATATATTTTTAAATGAAAATACTTACTCTTCTTTAAGCCTGAGCTTGATGGAGCAAATTATTCAATAATACAAAAAGAATACAGTTTTTTTTTTAATCAACTATAAAATATTATAAACAGATATGATTGACAAATGACAGAACTTAACAGCGCATAATATCTTTTCAAATGTATAAATAAATGTTTAGTTATCAATGATAATGCATGTTGAATAAAATTCAGTATTTGGTAAATTAATAAGTGGGCCGGTAATTTTGTGTTTTTCTAGGCCGAAATCTCCCCAATCCGCCCCTGGACACATACCTAACTTTTATAAGTCATGTAAGATTGTGTCGTATTTGGAAGGATACAACCAATTTTAAAAAAAGGGCTACGAGGAAAAGCGATAATAGAAGAAAAAAAAATAAGATAATTATAATGTTATCATTTTGTCATTGTTTCCGGCCGAATTGAATTGGGGCATAAAGACCACAGTCAGTGATATAATAAAGGTTTAAATATACGGTTTAATAAGGTTTGAATATAGTTCTGAAACTTTAAAACTGCAATACTATACATTTTAGAAATAATGACTATTATTTTCGCTCTTTCCCGTCAGAGGCGTATATAGGATTTTATTGTGGAAAGGGATATGAAATAATATTTTTTACAACCTAATTTGTTTCTAAACCCATAGCATTTCGAAGTATTAATGGGGCTGAATGACATTCAAAAACTTAATAATAGTCCCCCAAAAATGTATAAATACTCTGAATGTTTTTATCACACCCAAAAATAATCTTTCATCATAAAATCAAATTGGGTATAGCTTTTGACTTCAGTTTCTCCTGTGTAGAGATTTAATAACAAGAACATAATAGTATTCATATTCTGATAATCTATTTTATTAATTTGGAAAATAAATGCCAAGTTTTCTGTTTTTATACACAACTGATTGAAAACTCCATATGGCTTGACCTCAACCTCTCTGTGACAAGACAGCACAGCTAACCCATTTATTTAGTCTAATCTATAATCACAAACCATTACCCAAACTATTTATAAACATATTAAACAGTTTAAATTTATAATTTACCGTAACATTTGCTTTGAGATATAACCTATAAGTTAATCTTACATTGATATACATCTTGGTTGTTACCTGACACACGACCATAATTAACGTACGTGTGTCCTGCATGTAGTGTCAGTATTAATTAAAATATAAGTATACCTTTAATAAACGAATGTAATAAATAAAATAACAGTAACTTATAAATTAACATAGTGTTGTTATTTCACAAATAGTATTAGTACAAGTTAAGAGTTAGTAAGAACGTATTACAACAAAATTAATATTTTTTTCTGAATATCTTATTTTGATTTTATTATTATTGTGTAATAATACTCGCAGAATAACAAAGCGACTTAATATCAGTAGGCAGGTGTATAATATTATATATTTAACTGTAAAAAAACATACAAGTAGATTAGTATATCACTATTACAGATGTGTGATAGAAAATGTGTGTTCTGTTGTGTGTGTGTATTTATACATAAAAAAAAAAATAAAGCAAGGGAGGAGATCTATCCCCCATATCCCCACCCCCATAAATACGCCGATGATTGAGAAAACCCATAGTATGGTAGGTACCTATTGGATATTAGTATTATTATAGCATTTGATCGAAATTAGTTTAACTGATCAAATTGTCTTGGCACAAACAGGGAAGGGGATTAGTCTTTTTAAAACCTAGTCAGTCCCATCCAAAAATCAAGTAAATACTATAAGTATGTATAATCAATATTAATCTATATTATAGGAGGTTAAGCCCCCCCCCCTTCGAAATATTCGGCCTATGAAAAAAACACGTTAACGCCATTAATCAGCTAATACAGTGGTGACCAACCTTTTTTTACAGAGGGTCATAAAAAAAAAAAAAATACAATAATAATTTTTGGCGGGACAATAATTTAAAGTTGTATCTATAAAACATAATATTCGCTATATTAAATATTATATTTTATTGCGGGTACATCCTAATATAGGTACAGTGATATATGTAACTATTTATTGTGTACTTATTGGTTGTTATGACTTATAAATGAGAAGAAAATGTAAATTATAAACGTATTATCTTATTTTAATGCGAGTGTTTATTTTTGAAATTTGAAATTATTTTATTTTTCAATTTTGATTTAATACTTCGGTGGGCCGGATGAATAAACGATCGCTGGCCATAGTTAGCCACTACTGTTCTAATACAAGATGAAGCTTAGATCATGTAGGTACATATAACATATACCAAGTCATATTGATCATATTACGATCTGAACAATGAAGTAACACTATCGATCCATCGATAAACGATATGCTTAGATACTCATTTAATAACATGCTTTTATACAGGGGAAATTATAACAATCACTGTGACCAGTGTTATTTGTCTGATGCAATTTCTCATAAGGTGATTTCGCGTAATTTCACGTTTATTCGACGTACATATATGGATTTAATTTTTTTCGTCGCGTCTGAGATTTTGTTACCGAACCACTGACAAACATAGGTCTATAATAACTGAAGTACAAAATGATTATGCATGTCCCGGAAACTTAAACAAAAATCAATAAATATCAATGACTAATTTATCAAGACAATTATTGATAGGTATATTACCTTGGAAAATTATTTTTTTTTACCAACGTAATCAAACGTTTTTAAAATGAGTGCAGCAAAATAGAGTGAAATCAATATCACTAAGATATACTTATATACTTATATCTTAGTCCGTGATACATATATTATAATCTATGGCCAATACTTGGAAGTAGAAGCTAGTCATGTTATCTAGTACGTGGTGATAACATTGTCTACTGATAACGGTGAAAAGTGCTATGCGAACATGTGGATGTGAATTGTGAAATTATTTGTAGTTACATTAGGTACTAACGAAAAATCTTGTTTTTTAAATTTGTAACTTATATAAATAATTCGACTTGGGACTTAAAGTGTATTAATTATTATATTTAAATATTAATTTAACTGAATACATTGTTCTTCCAAATATATTTTGTTTACATCAATCAGTGTTTGAAGATCTGTTATATTGTGAGTTCCGATTAATAGGTAAATATATTTAGATATTCATAAATATTTTCTATTTAAAAAAAACCATAAAATTAGTATATTATTCAGTGTTTTTTTTTTTTTTTTTGTATAAAGTTATCATGGATGATGTATATACTGTCGGAGCATTAGGTGATTTGATTTCGTCAACTAGAAAAAATAAAAAAACCAAATCTGGTAAGTGTTTGATCAATACTGTTAACATTATTATTTTATAAATACAGTCAACTTACGATATAACGAATATTCGTTGTTTCCTTGAAAATCTAGTGATGTAACTAAATATTAAATGTGTTTTGGTCCCCTCAATAAAATAAATTTTTTTAGTCACAGCTCTTGCGATGTAACAAGTTTTTACAATTTTGAAGCTAATAAAATATATTAAAAATAAATAGCTTGATATTACGAAGTTTTTCTACTAACTCAAAAGCAATGGCACGCTTGAAAACACGTTGCATTTCATACATTTTATAAACATTGTGATTTTAGGTACTGATTTAATATGTCATCTGCTGTACATTTATGGTTTAGTATAGTATGCTATCTACTGTATATTCCCTGTATAAACTTTATCATTTTGGCATTAAGATTAAAATTCAATGAAATTATATTATATCTATAAATATTTAATTATTTTGAAATTAAGAATTAGGCTTTTTACAACAAAGATGAATTAACTGTGAGTCATTTGTGTTGACATATAATTCAAAATGAAGAAATATGTGAACGGTTTTTAAAAATCCATGAATTATTACCTAATGAACAAACATCTACTAAAATCAAATATCAATTTGTGGTGATTTTAAATGAAATTCTTAAAAATAGTAGGAAACGAAATTCAGAAAAAATTGACAAAGTAGAAATACCATATTATAAATGTAAGATAATTTGTATTTTTAGATAGCATATTAAATCAACATAAAATTATGGTAGATAGTATATTGAACGAGTGCTCAATTATACTATGTATGTAAATATTATAAATTAATATAAATTTTTACTTGTAGTGGGTTGATTTAAAATTTGAATCTTCCTTTAAATCTCATTAAAACTAATTTTATTGGTTTATGCTCTTGATATAATTAATTTTTGATGTACCAAACTTTTTCCTCGTCTTTTAAAATTCGTAACTTTACAAGTTGACTGTATATTTAATTAATATCAATAATCTTATAATTGTTTGTATTTCAGGTAAGATTAAGACAGAAAATGTTCAGTCTGAAACTAGCCTAGATTCATTTAAAATTGAAAATGTTAATATAATCAAAGATAAAACACCAATAATAAATCCCGATGGATTAAAAAAAATAAAACCAACAAAATGTATTACAACTAATGAGGTTAGCGAGGAAACCCCACTAATAAATCCAAACAAATTAAAAAGGAAAAAAATAAATAAATTAATCAAACCTCTTGATGATGAGGACAAATCACAGATGAATCCAAAGAAATTAAAAAAAAAAAAAATGGATAAATCAACTATGCCTAATGATGATAAGGAAAAATCACCAATGAATCCAAATAAATTAAAAGAAAAAAAGAAAGATAGATCTATTAAACCCAATTCTGGAAAAATTGAAAAAAAAAATCCTGTGTCCAAATTAGAGTAAGTGATTTTTATTATTATTTCAAAAAATGTATTAATTTAATTCATACCTATTATTTATAGAGATATTAAATCGTCTGAGGAATATATTGAAAAAGAATCAAGAACCATATTTGTTGGTAATGTTCCTGTGAATATCAAAATGTCAGCAATAAAAAAATTGTTCAAACAATTCGGAGAAATAGAAACTACTAGACTAAGAAGTGTAGCTGTTAAGAGCCTTGATTTGCCTAGACGTGTATCCATAATAAAAGGAAATTTCCATCCTCAAAGGGATACTGCTAATGTATATGTACGGTTCAAAACAAAAGATGCTGCTCAAAAAGCATTATGTTTAAATTCCACTAAGTTTGAAGAACATACCATCCGGGTGGATATGTCTTTGAATACAGATCACAAACAAAACAAGAAAAAAGCAATTTTTATTGGTAATCTTCCCTATGGTGAGTTTTATTTTAAATTGTATCAACTTGTGTATGGCGGTTCTTATTGTAAATATTTGTGGTAATATCACAGTACTAGAATAGGAAGTGAACATAGGTGAAAGGAACACTCTATCATTTTTCCATAGATTTTAATGAACCACTTTAACCCAAAAACTCTTGAAAAGCAACTCTAAAATTTGTATTGTACAACTGTTAATTATTATTGTTATCCCGAATTCCAATTTAGTTAATAGGGCTTTTGGATCCAGAAAAACTTTACTAAAAACCTGTTCACATAGATTTTAAACATATTATTTTCCCAAACCCAAAAGCCAAAGATTAACTTAAAATTATAATATATTTTAGATTGAGAGTATAGTGGGGAATCTATTGGTTTTGCTATGATGTGGGCTTATTTTTTTTCTGTCTATCTTGCTTCAATATATTGAGTTTAGTGCCTTTTCTGAAAGGAAATTTCATCTAGTTGGTGCATTAGAGATATTATTTTCAAATGGATTTTCGAAAAAATTTAGGAAAAACCAGAAAGGAAATTACAGTTAAAACAGCAAATATTTATGGAATGCTGCAGCATTACTGATTTCATAATTTTTAATTGTTACAACTTATGTTTATAATAATTCGGAAATACAATTTTTTTTAAATTAGGACACCGATTTCATTATTTAAAATTGTTAAAATTATATTTTTCTACTAGAAATATTGCTCCAATAGAAAACAATATTTTATTGTTGAATTTTTAATTTAGTTTTTGACCAACAAAGTCATTTTTTTGATTTTCTTTGTAGTTTTTTTAATATTTAAGTAAACACAAAAATAATTTTTTTATTTAAAATTTTTTTTTAATGTAATTCAGTTTAAAATATCCCCAGACTTAAATTTTTACAAAAAACTTATGATCACTTTTCTAGATATTTTAATTTTGCAAATTGTCAACATAATTTTTATTTGGTAGGTATTCTGTGGATAAAATGATTAGACTTGACGGAAATACTTGAAAATTTGACAAGAGGTTCATTATAAGCATTACTTAGTGATAAAAAAAAAAATTGAGTAATAAAGTTTTTTTTTGTATGAAAGTTCAAATCAAATTTTGAGAAAAATCATAAATATTACAGCCTTTCTAAACATGTTTAACCAAACTTAACTTTGAATCCTTTTTCCTTAGCAATGGTTTATTGTTGGTTACAGGTATAAATTAAATAACTTTATGTATCCCACCTTCCCAACTAGAACAGTGGCCACACCCATCCCCAGTATGTTCTTCTTTTTTTTTTAACAACTTTTTAACTAAAAATGTTGCTCTGATCATCAAAATTAACTGGTTTCTTGTAAATATATTTGTCTAGCTAGGGATGATATTTTTTTATTTTTTTGCTATTTATTTAATGATTGGAGAAGCTGGAAAGTCAGAAAAATAAATATAATTGTGAAATAATTACATTTTTTATTAATTTTTATCATAATTCAGTGAAAAATAATTTTAGAAAATTTAAATTTTGACCAATTACTTATATTAACTCTGTATGTGGTAATTTTTTTTTAATGTGGAAAAAATTGTTGCAATTATTTATTTTTATCGGGTTTTAAGTTTATAAATTAATACAATATACAATTTAAATAAAAAATATTTTATTGAATTTTACTCAGAATCATTTTTCATTTGCAATAATTGATTGGTACATTGTACATACAGTATATAAATTAAATTACCCTATATGTACTTATAATAGTAACCTAGCCATAGTTCAATGTATAACTATTTTTTTTTTTTCAATACTTAGTGATATTCACCAATGTTTAATAGGGGTGATAAAGTTATTTTATACTTTTGTAATTATTAAATTTATACTATGAGTCTACACCCACAGTATAACTTACAGTAAACTGGGGGGATGAAGTTCCCTCGGTTCATTGTAACATTTGTTTGCAATGGACCAATGTTTTCGACAGTGCCCATCCTAAATTTTTTAACCAATTTGAATATTGAAGATTAATCATTATATATACATACAAATGTATATCTACTTTTGCTTTTGTTTAGGTATTCAAGAAGACGAAATATGGGAATTTTTCAGAGAATGTGGGGTTGTATCTGCTGTGCGTGTAGTTCGTGATAGCACAACTGGTGTTTCTAAAGGTTTTGGATTTGTTGATTTTGAAGTAAGGATTAAAAAACAGCATATTAAATGTTATTTTATTTTAAAACCAATTGGTATTATGCATTTTGGATAGATTCTAATCTGGAAAATTCACAAAGAATAATATAAAATATACAACTATTGTATGTAGTAATTAACTATTTTTGTTTTAGTCAAAAGAATGTGTAGAATTTGCCATGCAGTTGCAAGGTAAAAAAATTCAAAATAGAGAAATTCGTATTAAAAGAATAGATACCAAAACTAATTCTAAAAAGTTGGTTAACAAATCATTCATCAAAACACCAGTACAATTTAGAAGAACTAAACCTACTCAAAATACTCAAAATTTCCAAGGAGAAACGATGAAATCAAAAATGCACAAAAAGGTAATACAAGTTTATTATATTTCATAGTAGATAATAGTTGATTGAAACTTTTACTCTTTTAAATTTAACCTTTCACAATCTTTAAAAATTATCTGTGAAAATAAATATTTCAGTGTACTATTTCATATACTCCTCTTTATTTTATCAGACTTTTTGAAATTAGATACCCTAAACCTCCACCTCTACTTACAACAGTGCAACATCATCTTGCATAAACATTATTTTTGTATTAAAAAACGTTCATGACTTCCAACTCCTACCCTGCTGTATACTCATTCTGTTATCTCATTATCTCCAAAATTATGTAACCGTTTTGTATTTGTAATTTCAATTTAACTAATATATTATATTTTGTGTTTATGTACAGAAAGGAAAACCAACAAAAGCTGATTTGACAAGAAAGAAGATAGCCAAACAATTAAATGCTTGATTCCTATTGTATGAACTAATGAATAAACTGACTGAAATTTTAAACTAAATGATTTAACAAAATAATAGCATGTATTTTAATGAAATTAATCTTATAAACTTAGTTTAATTATTGTTATCAATCGAAAGACCTTGTAATTATACTATAAAACCTTTATTTTATATAAACTGTATAATTACTAAATTTATTTTTATATATTGCTATGTTACATAATATTAGTTATTTCAAAAATAGTTTGCTTTAAATTTATACAATAAAAAACTTGTCCAAACTGATCATTTACTCTTTTACATCACCAATACCATCAGCATTGATAGCAAACATAGCTTCTGATTCGGGTAAACAAGGAGAATCATATATTTTGCATATTCTAGTTTCCCCTCTTCCCTTACGCAAATACAATCTGGTTGTTGAAGCATGAGCCATAATATTTCCACCAATTGGTTTTTTAGGATCTGCAGCAAACATTGATGCACCATCAACTTGAGCAACAACTTGATTTGTAATAATAACAGCAACACCGAACTAAAAAAATAATAATATTGAAATTATAAAATTGTCCAATCAATTTACTTAATTGTTTTAATATTAATTTAATTGCACAATTATTTATAAGTTTATAGTTTGCAAAAAATGTATTGTAAATTAAGTCACCTCATCTGCAAGACGTAATAACATTCTGAGAAATCTTGCTAAATGATTTTGTCTGGCAGACAACTCGCCTCTACCAGAATAATCAGTTCTGTATAAAGCCATGGCACTATCCACAATCAATAACGCATACCTAAAATATTAGAATATTTAGTTTAGGTTTATAATTAAAAACCGGATTTATATTCTCTTAAAACACCTAAAATATGATAATAATATTCTCTAAAAAACCTTAAAATGTTCTCATTATATTCTCTTAGAAGTATGAAAAATATGCAAAAATAATCAAAGAACATTAATATATGCTTTAATATGCAATTTTTTTTTATAACATTCCATAAATAATAAATGACACTTGCGTTTTAAAATAGAATAATAGTGCACTTAAGTTAAAGTAAGAATATATTATAGATATAATTATATCTATTTATTTAATTGTTTAGTAATTAATTTAATTTAATAATTAGTAATTTAATTTTTAAAAACTTAAAAATCAAGTTACATGGTTAACCACCATGTTTAGTGAACTTGTAATAGGTGAATACTATATTACTAACCTTTTTATCAAAATGATAAAAAATAAAAAATTGTAAAATGCAAAATATATGCAAAGTATATGCAAAATAAGCTAAATATTCTTTAACCCATGAAATATTCTCAAATATACAAAAGTAAAGATATGTAAAAACATATAAATCCGGTTTTTATTTGTAATATATTGATTCATAGTAATAATGTTATGTTGCATATGTGTATTAAAAGCCAAAGTAAAATTTTAAAACCAAATAATTAAACTAATGAATTGCAAATAATTTTACCTAGACTCAGCCATCATTGCACCAGCTTGCAATAGTAATTGTGTTTGGTGATCTGTGTTGTAAGCTCTAGCACATGCAATATTATCCAGAACATCACTTCCTACCAAATTATATCTCTCAGCCACTGCAAGTAAACGTTCTGGGCGAAAAGTTCCCTCTGTATCGATATAGAGACATTTACCTTCTCCACCATTTTGACTTATAGGTAACTAAAAAAAAAAAAAATGCTTATAATAAACTCAAAAATAATTTTTTCAGATCATACATTTATACAAATATTTAAAAAATTGATGATAATAATCATAATATACAGTATGATTCTTTTATCATGTTCCATTACATTATTATGATCTGCTCTAGATTCTAGACTGTTGAAACTTATAAATGACACATTTAATAATGTGTCATATCAAAATTTTTTGAGAAATATTCTTCTTTTGAATCTGCGTTGAAAAAGAGCGGGGAAGGGGGTTGTCATTTCAAAACCAAAAGTTAATACTTATTCAAGGTATAAGGAGTAGAGGTAAAATTTAAAAAAAGTATTTTTTTTATTATTGTGTTTATTATTTACCATAGATAGATAATAAAATCCTATATTAAAATAAAATATAAACATTCATAGAAGACACTTAAGAATACAGATTTCGCAGATTTTTTTTGTATAATATGACTCATAAAGTCTATGTCCTAGGATTTGATCACCATTGTACTGTATTTGAAAATAGAATCCCTGTTATAAGTCATCTATCATCATCAGATCATCTGCTATAGTTAACTCATAGATATGAAAAGATTGTAATGATTAAGTTGTTAGAAATTGAACCATTTATGCATATAAAAGAAGTATGTCGTTAAATATGATAGTTTCTGGGTCTAAAGCAGGGGTCGGCAACCCTTTTTACTACGCTGGTCATATTTTCTATCAACTTTTCATTGCAGACCACATACTAAATTTAAAAAAAACATTAATAAAAATATATCATAAATATAATACTAATATATTTATGGATATTAACAACCATTATATAGTAAAACCTCAATTATAAGAATTAATTGGAATGGCACTTAGTTTAGATACACAAAATTTGGTATATTGGTAATTGTTTAAGGCATCCACTGTGGATCAATTTTGTTAACTGAAAATATATTATAACATAACACTGGCCTAATTAAAACTAATTGAAAATAAATGTATAAAGGATACCTTGAACAAATTGATGCTTTAAGGCCTCATCTGCAGTGTGTTAAAATAAAAAAAATTGGTGTGGAGAGGTACTGTATGAAGGTCATATTTTCGATTTTTCTCAATAATTTTCTTGTACAATTTCAAAAACCAAAAAAACAGGAAAATATAAGAAATGTAGGTGTTAATTAAAATATATTACAATTTTGTTTTGTTTCTGTAGACAACTATACTACCAGTAAATTTGCTCAGATTTACAATAATAGTACTTTTTCTAAAAGGAAATTTGCCTGGGGAGGTACTTTAAGGAGGTAATTTTTCTATTTTTTCAAGAGTTATTCCAGCAAATGTGAAAAACACAGGAGAACCAGGAAAAACATTACAATATTAAACAAAAATATTATTAAAGAAAATATATAAGGCCTATTTAATTATTTTACTACAAAAGGGCATATATATATTGTTGACAAAGAATCACTATCAACTGAACTTCAATCAGATCATTTTTTTGAAAATGTTAATGTATCACACATTTATATTCGATGAATAGTTTTTAATTAACGGTCATTTTAAATTCTACTAATCCTTCTGAAAACTGATGTTATCACATAACACAATTAGGTTATTCCCTAAATTATTAGCCCCTAGATAATTGAACTCCGCTCAAAAACCTTTTTTTTCATAACTCTATCAGTGTATAATTTTTATTTTATTTAGAAACTTGAGAACAATGTGAAATAAATTCATACCTTATACTCGTAAAACTATGATAATCATGATTCTAAAGCATAAAATTAATACTTTTATTTGTTACAATTTAAAATACAAAATTAGAGTTTTAAATAAATATACAGTCTGTAGGCCATGGATTGCTGGTGCCTGATCTTAGGCATCCCATACATCAGTCTTCTTCAACCTTTTTGAACTCACGACCCACATTTTTAGGCGTACATTATTCGCGGCTCACATAAGGCACACATAAAGAAAAACGTTTATAGAAAAACAAAAAAAATCTAAAATTACTTAATACTTTGTAGTACTGTTATAACTGAATGAATAAAAATAAAAAAAAACTTTTTAACAGATATGTAAATATAACTAGAATAATAATGCGACTAACATTTATTTGTCTTTAAATACAGCGACAACATCAACAATGTTAGTAAATTATGGGACTCTTTAAGGATAATAATATAATATATTTATTTTATTAATAGCTCGGTTTACTTGTAAATTATTATATTTAATGTCATACTACGTAGAATCATACCAGTACACAAAACATATACTGCGATTTGAAATCCATTAAACTATTATATTTTTGAATATAAATTATATAATATTGTTTATATATAATATATTACAATAATTTTCAAATTTTATTTTCATTTATTAATTTTCTAAGTTAAATAATTAAACAACTATTTGTATACCTTATATTTATTATTATCTACATCTTAATTGTATAAACTTAATTTTTATTTTAAAGAGAAAAATTATCGCAACCCAATTTTTTAGCTTAAGCCACCCAAAAATGGGTCGCGACCCACTGGTTGAAGACCACTGCCATACATAATACAAACAATTTTACATAAAAACGAAGCTAATACAAGAACAGAATGAGAAAAGCAAGAAGAACTTTATCATCAGCAGTCTCCAGTACCTAGTAATGGGCAATTAACAACAGGTTGGTCAGAAAAGGATAAATCAAATAATAATGGTGAAGCTTTTTGTAGAACTCCAGCATGGATTAGAAATATATCAGATACAGCTAATCTAGAGTACACTGTGAACTTCATCTTTTAGATAAGACTTAAATAGCAGATAGTGATGAGTAAATATAGATTTTAATTTAATATGTTCAAGGTGCTAAACACTATCAAAGGCCAAAACCACATCAAGAAATGTACAAGAGGAAATTATTTTTTTTCAAAACAAGAGATTTTATCGACTACTAAATAAACTTGATGAATAGTGAATAATAAAAATTTACTTTTTTTTACTTTATATTAATAATAATTTACCTGGCAAGTTACAGCCAAAGTATGACATAGTTGTGTTTTACCAGTTCGAAACTCTCCAAAAATTTCTGTGATAGATCCAGTTTCAAAACCACCATTTAATAAACGATCCAACTCTTTTGAGCCAGTAGTCAATTGAATAATTTCAGATCTTTTTAGGTGAAATATTGTGGCAGAAGTAAAACCTAGAGGTACCATTTTAGATGCTTCTGCCTGGAATCATTAATTTAAAAAAAAAATACAAATAATATTATTATTAATCTTAAGTAGATCTTAAGTGGTTAAATAACAATTTTTAATTACTTACCAATATTTTATCAGCTTTTGCTTCGCTTATACCTTTAATGGTTATCAAATGTTTTTTTGTAGCAAATGCAATAGATTCTACAGTGTGATACCCAGCTTCTTGAAGTTTCTTAATGTCAGCACCTGTAATTCCTTGGCCCTTCAAAATTAGTGAATTAGTGAATAATAGATTATTAAAAATAAATACTACAACACTATACTATATCAATTTAAAATATATTAATAATTCATTTTACCTCAAGTTTTGAAACTAGAAGAGGTCCATCATCTTCTTCATGATCTACATCCACACTTTCCTCATGTGAAACTGAAGTCGAAGCCATAGCCATATTCTTTAGAACAAAATTTTATTGAATAATATTATAAGTAATGAATTATTATTAACATACTTAAGATAAATAATTATGAAAACTGAGAAACAGAAAAATAATTTATTACATTTGATACGGTTATACTTAATCACAATGCAGGCTAACATAAAATAGTTTCAATAATGAATGTAACAACAATATATTTCAATGTAAATTGTGCATTAGTCAATATATAAAGAAAATAAATGTTTGATTTCAAGGAATAAATATTATTTGACTCTCAATAAAAATTTTGAGATATATATTTTCATGCACTCAATATTTTCGTATTATCACATAAAAGTAAGTACTTATTACTAATCGACTATTTTTGAACATTAATAGGACCCAAGGGCTTTGTGCTTTAGGGTAGTATAACTATAAAAAACTAGATAATTCATTAATTATCTAGTTTTTATCCACACACATTTGTGTGGGTATTGTATAAGTGTAGGCATTGGAAATTTAATCATTTAAATAAAAAATATTATGCAATGATGCTAATTAATGTAAAATTTGGAAAAAAAAATATGAATTTGAATGTTGTTTTACAAAACCTAAGTTCCAAACAAAAATCGACAATTTAATAAGACTAAACAGTTCAAGATAAAAGAAAAATACATAGGTAAGTTAAACTAACTCAAAAAAGAATGATCCGTACTGTTAATATCATTCAAAAACTTACTGAACAAATAACACGACTGAATGTATTCAAATTGTCTCTAAACAGTTATCCTGAGGACATAAATATGTAAAACCGAGAACAAATACTAAAGAATTGAGTAATCTTAATGAGTGAAATTTGTAAATGAGTTGACAATTGACTGTAGTTTTCTGTTAAAAGTGTTACTTTTCAAACGTATATAAAATATTATTATCAAAGATCGTCTGCCTATGAAAATGATGAGACAAGAGAATATTAGCGGGAAACAACTATGGCTTTTGAGGTTAGCAAATATTCGGTTTTTGGTCTACTGTCGTTTTGACATTTTTTGTATGAATAAATAGGACACACAGGAAATTTAGATCCCAAGTCCCAACCATACTTTTGGTAACAGTATGAATCTAGTAACGCGCCTCGTGGTATTTTTTCATTTCGGTTTCCAAAACTAGCGCGTAACAAGCATAAACGTATAAAAAATATATGTACTAACTATATACGTCTACGATTTATACACATTATTGTAACTTTAAATGTGTAAAAGTGCATATAAATATTATACAAACAATATAATGACATTTACCTCACAGTAAGAGTTATCAAGTTTTTTTTAGCTCCAGCAAAATTGTAAAATTTGACGTATTCCCTTTTTCACCAAAACCGATATTTTAATTATTTATTCGTTGTAATTATTGTAATTATAATATAATAACTAAATTTTTTTTCCGTGGATTTTTTTCAATTGTGTTTTTTTCTGACATTGCTGTTTAACATACGGAGCCGATGTATAATTTTATATTATATCGCTGTGTGTCTAGTAATAACTAATTGTATTTACTACTTATGTGGCTCGAATTATAATTATTGAACTACGAGATATTTATTTACAATAATTACAATATAAATATATATATTATATACATTATATTATCCCACTATAATATTATAAATGTGAAAGTTAGTGAAGATGTATGGACGTTTGTTGCTCTTTCACACGAAAACTACTGGGCCGATTGGGCTGAAACTATAATATTATTGTTTATACGTCAGAATAACATATAGGCTATTTTTTATCACGAAATTCAACCCCTAAATGATGGCTGATACGGGGATTTTGGTATTTCGTGGTATATTTTTTGTTAATTTAGTTACCTTGGGAACGAAGTAAATAGTATCTGGGATGAGGGATATGAGATTTCCTCGCTTTATCTGAACTGTTTCCTAATTCTGCACTCCCAAAATTATAATGTAAAAAAAATAAAAAAACAAAACAAAAAATTAAATAACAACTCAAAAATATTTAATTTTGTACTTGTTTATTTTAAAAATATAATATACAGAAGCAGAAAGAAATACAACGGTCTGAAATATCTAATTTATTTTATAATACAACACAGGCTCATTTTAACCATAATTAGTGAGCAATATTTTTTCTTGTCGTAAATCTATAAGTAATGTCTTCTCCAATTCTTGACCAGTTAGTTTTATCGGGACACCAACTACAGTAAACATATTTTTTTTTTTTTTACCATCTGTAGCGTGTACATTAAATTTGTACTACTTTGAACAGGTTCCTATACATCCTATACAAAAATTTATCAGTATAATATATACCATGAAAAGACATTATAGTATATATGCTAATAAGCATTATAAATAATATTATTTATAAATTTAAAAAATATGCAATTTTTTTTTAAATATTATTATTTTGTGTACATTACTTGAAGGTCTACATCATCCCCAGAATCATTATATGATAATAATTGTATTCTAATTTATTAAATTATTATTAAATAAGTATATAGTGAAAATTGAATACATGCTATTTATGGGGAAAAAAATATATATATAATAATATTACGAGGATATTATACCTATGTGTCATGTTAAATAATTCAATATTGTCAATTTTATAATATATGTATACCGTAGTCTAGTAATCGGTATGGATCTGTTGCAAATCCACGTCGGGTAGGTAACGGAGAAAAATCTAATAAATTTTGTTTCAAAAAATAAAATTAAGAACAGTGTTTAATTTTAAAATCAAATTTTTACGAAAATCCTAAATATTACAGCCTTTCTAAACATGCCGAACTCACGGTTATTAAACTATTATTTTAACACAATTGACAATTATTTTTAAAAGATCAATGGTAAACACGGTGAATCATTGGTGATTAATTTCAACATAATGAAATGAGCACTAGAGAACATAAAATATTGTAGGTTATAATACCGGTAGGTGTCGTGGGTGAAATCAAAGGAATCCCGAAAGAAAATACCAAGGAAGAACAGACGAAAGACAAAAGAACAAGAATGACGAAAAGAGCAATTCTTAACAATATATTAGTTTATATTAATTTATGCACCTGTATAATAATAATTACACATTTTAAAGAAATATAAAAGTAAGGGCATTCTGTAAACTAATACAAATCAAGTTCAATTGTTAGGTATATTATTATGTAGATGAGTAAATTAAGTATTTGTCACACAATGACAAAGATTCCATAACGGTATCTAGTTACTTCAAAGATCATTTTGGATTTTCTATGAACCAACTACGGCTGAGCAACTACATGTTGTAATATTCTAGTTCTACATATTTTAATTTATTTCTTCAACCAATAGCTGTTGTACAATAGAAGAGAGTGAGTAGCACTTATTTTATTCTATAGATCTCTTGTTTGTATGAACTAGGCTGTTTTTTTTTTTTTAGGGGCCTTTAATAGGTAGGTACACTCAATTTTCCAATTGAAATTGCACCCCTGTTTTTATGGTGAAAATTTGGTTATGCCCGAATATAGTTTTTTGAACGTATTTGAGGATGGGCGGTGAGGGCAATTACCCCCTCCCACCCTCCCAAACCCGTATAATAGTTTATTTTATAATAATTATTATCGTTGCAAACGAAAACGTTTGTGTGCGGAGTCCGATGAAAGTGCAGGTGATAAATAATTACTACACACATACGTTAAATATTATTTTTACCATTAAGTACAACTTATGATGAACCTTGTATCAAATTGTTGAACATCAGTATAGTGCTGAAAACGTCCATCTACATAAAACCAGAAAAAAAACACGACAATTTGAATAGCTATAAATAATTTAAAAAGCTATCTCTATAACTAGAAATTATATTCAAACAAATTTACAATCTCTAAAAATGATAAAATCACCTGGTAAGTTAGTAGGCCAGTAGGTTGACTTATCGCATATATGTGATAAAAATTTTAGATATGTAGATAGGTAACTGCGATTTTTTGTCATTAAACTACAACAAAAAAAGATACAAACATACTTCGCACGAGGGGCAGAGTGGCCGGTCTTGAAATTGAAATTTTCCAAATGGTCTGGACCATATAATTATATGACCTGAGGGTCTGATCATTTTATATGGATAGCATAATTCTCACTGGTATTATTTAAAAATGTAGTAAATATTATTTGTATTACTTCGATAGACTGTTCAAATGCTAGACCATTAGTACCTACCTGACGCATCGTATCTATCATTTCGAGTACAACGTATCTGAGCTGGCGTTGAATACAAAATATCAAAAACGAATAATAATGAAATGAAATGGTAAAAGATGGGTACTCTGAAGTAGATGACTACAATAAATTCGATTTGGTATATACACATACACATACACGACAATCTCGGAAAGCGAATTTATTGAAGCCGTTCATTGCTTCACTGAATTCCGAAAAGTTTCGGGTGAATTACTACAGATCGTTTCAGTAGTACCTAAGAGGAACCAATATTCGTATTATGCGCCTATACTCCTGTGTAGTAACGGTGTAAATTATCGAGCTCATCATTATGATGTTCTATCACTGTGTAGGTATTATACTTGTACGTACCTATACCGTTTCAACTAAGGCTAAATTTGGTTAGTTGTCAGGTTATTCAATCAGCTATTATTTTAAAAATTTAAATTAAGTAAATGTTAACCTTTGTATTTTTGACCACCAGTATTTCGATCCAGGTTTTCAGTTTTCATTGATATTCAATGTCTATAAATGCTACATTATTCTCTAGTCCATTATATGGATTCCATCTCAGTTCGATTATATAAGGCGTCTAAATCAGGGGTGGCTCCAGAATATTTTATAGTTTATTTCATAGTTTAGATACCTACCCACGTATAACTGCACATTTGTATAATGTCTATTATAAATCGATAGTAAAATATATTTTTTTATTGTAAAGTTGTTTTTAATGAAAAATATGAGCTTGTAGAGTACAGCCCTTAAGCCACCCTGATAATTGTCCTATAAAGGAACTTACTATGTTGTCGGGTATGCAAACACTTCAAATCCTTTCTTCCAGACATAAGTTAATAAGTTGGCATACCAATGCATCATTTGTTTTTAAATTTAAAATTGTGATATTAATTGTCCTGAAATCCTAGAAGAAATAGGTTGGTTGATTATGAAAGTTGGAACCTTTTACAACAAATTTAAGACAACCTTTTATGTCATACCATTCATAATCTTATAGTTTTAATGAACCTAAAAGTCGTATTTATGCTTATTGTTAACAATTATGAGCGGAGTTCAGTTGATAGTGTTGCTTTGTAAATATAAATGTCATATAATGGTAAAATAATTACATGTGGATTAAATATTTTCTTTAATAATATTTTACCTATTTTCCCATTTTTTTTATAATTTGTTGAGAAAATTCATGGGAAAATCAAAAAATGGCCTCCTAAAATACCTCCTCAATCAGATTACCTTTTAGAAAAGATGATACACTTGATACTTCAGAGCAAAATTATTGGTAGAAAAGCTGTCTTTAGACAAAAAAAAAATTATGTTACTATTGTAAATGGCAAATTAGGTAGGCAAGGATCCAGATTAAAAATCTGGGGGAGGGCAACAATTTTTTTACAACACAAACACAATTAAAATATAATATAATACATTATTATATATTATTTTTTTTATACATATCAGTAATTGGAATACAGCAATATCAGGATTTATAGAAGTATAAAATAAAAAATTGGAGAAATAATTTGTCTGGGGGCTTACCTGCCCCCCCCCCTTTGGATCTAATCTTGTGAGAAGGTAGAATACATAGTCATTCAATTTATATTTGTTTGCAATGATAAACCATGTTTAATAAAAAATGATTCAGACTGAAATTTGATTAGATTTCAAAATAGGTATAATTTCGTTAAAATTTAATTTTAACAGGACTTATAAATAAAAATAATGCATTAAACTTAAATTTGTTTTTTATACCACAAAGTACATCTTTTAATGATTTTTAATTAAAATTTAGAAACTCAAGTCAATATTGTAAAAGTGTTAGATAATTCAAAAATATTCAAAAACATTTCTAGTTGTGCATTGCTCTGCTAAAATATTGTTTAATATTATTCAAATTATATAAATAAAGGACCTTAACCATTGTAATGCCAATTCATATTTTGTTTTTCATCTAAAATGATCAAAATCATTATTAGTTGAAATGGAAATATTAAAATATGGTAGTACTCATACATTTTGAACAGCAATCGTATGCAAAATGTTGTCTTTATTGTTAATTAATCGTTAATCCCCTATGAACTATGCCTATCGTGTGTGTGTTATTAGGCATACTATAAAAATTGCAGAAATTTGTAAACAAATTAATAATAACTTTAAAATTCTACAATGCCATTTGAAATCATAATTGTTAATCTTTAATAAGTTAAAATTGATTGTAATTTAATTAAATTAATTGTTGGGAGGCAAGAAACAAAATGTATAAACATTTAATACAATCAGTATTTTTAATAAAATATTTCAATTGTATACTATAGGTTATACAAATTGATATAATATATTTGTGTGTCTATTTGATCTGTCATATACATATACAAATTAATCAATTATAAATATAACTAGCCATTAAACATTGATTTATGATAATTATTAGTTATACATATATATATTTAAATAGTTAACACATGCAAATATAAAAAAAAATCATATATTATATGGCACAAGTAAATATAAGCAGTTTGCTTATACATACAAGTATTTACTAAATAAATACATAAGAATCATTTTTCTTTTGTATGACATTTAAAAATAATATATATTCAAATTTAAATAATTTAAAAAAAAAAATGATAAGATGATTTACATTTGTACCATAAATTATAAAGGATCATCTAGATGTTAGATTTTTCAGCAAAATGCCCAACTTTTGAGTTTTAAAATCACTACGTAACTGAATAAAATTACTTAGTACAGAGTGATCCAAACCAACCTATATAAAATATATTCAAATTGAAAATCATAAATTAATACATAATATTATGTATATTTTTTTTAATAATGATAATAATAATAGTATATTTGTCACAATAAAGTTAACAGAACAATAATTTACCAAAGTTTCTCCAAAACAGACTTGTTTCAAATTTTCATGTTTTACAAGTAACAAATTACATAATGCGTGCAAAGTGTCAAACAAATTTATCACTAATTTTGAACCCAAATCCTTAATACACTTTCTATATTCGTTTACATCACATATTGCACACATTGCTCCTAAACAAATTAGTTTTATTTAAAAATATTATATTTGTACACAGTAAAGAGTAAAATATGAATTCTTACCAGCAGAATTATATGTAAATTGTAATAAATGTTCATAAATTATACGATGGAATTTTATTCCAAGTTCAACAAAGACTAGTTCAGCATTTTTATCATCTAAGCACTCACGTATATGTTTAATATTAGAACTTAAATATTGCACAACATATTTACAAGCCTATAACACCATTAAATATATAAATAATTCTGGAATATTATTTAAATGATTTCAAAAAAATATTTTAACAATAATACACAAAATAATAAAATTATATATTTATTTACTACTGAAATCATAGTATCAACATCAGCTTCTGGCTTGAAATCTGATTTTTTTTGTTCAGAAGCAAGACAAATTTTAATCCAACCAGTAATTGCATTTAAAGATCTAAAACAGTCATTTAATTTAAAATAGTAATAATTTTGAAATAATTATTATTCAATTTGTTCATACCTATCTAGACCAAAATCAATTTTCGATTCAATTTGTTCAAGTTTATTTTTCTTTAAATTAATACACTGTGAATACTTTGGAGTTGTTCTTTTAATAATTATAAAAAAATAAAACAAAATATACTAGATTCAAATATCAATAACTATACATCCAAGATAATGGTTTGAAAAAAATATATAATACTTACATAATCAATGGGACTAAAGTTTCTGAAAATTGATTTTCATATAAAACAATTATCCTATGAACTTGTTTTACTACTTCAAAAAAGATAATACTAGGAGGTTCGTGGGTTTTAGCTTCTGGTATTGGCACAGATTGTACAGCTAATTCTATACCATAATCAACAAAATCTTCTATCAAATACATTGTCAATACTTCAAAAATCTGATAACAGTTGGATGGAATATTATTTGATGTGGACAGCTGAATAAAGTTAATAGTTTATATTAATAAACGTAAATTACTTTTATTTGCTATAACAATAGCATGCATAATTATACAAGTAAAATTTTACAAATGATAAATACCGTACAACATCTTTCTAACGACTGATTAAATTCTTGAAGAAAAGCTATAGCAACATTTTCTGACAAAAATGTTTCTCCACCATAATCTTCTATGTGCATTATATTAAAATTTGTACGAGTGCTAATAACAGTTTGTAAATCTCTCCTTAATTCTTGAAAGCTAAAAACAGTAATTTTGATGATTATAAAATAAAAAAATGTCTTTATCCTTAATATTAAATACTTGAACCTATAAACTTCATTTATAACCAATTTTTTTATTTTCATGGCATGCTTTGTACTCTATTATTCTGGTAATAATTACTCCTTTCAAAATCATACTGTTTTATTCAACAATATAACTTACCCTGTATTTCCTTTATAATACCAAGGAAATTCAAAAAAGGCTCATAGCTATTCTCAGTGCACATTACCCAAAGATCATTGGTTTTGCCATAAGTACTCTTCAGTATTAGATTTTAAAAGATTTGTATTCTCAAGTTAGGTAAACAACAGAAATAAAATAAAATAAATTAATTATAATCACCCGCCAGCCTGGAATTGTTTTCTTGTATGTCCTTTAGAAGCGTAGAATTTTTGTAAAATTATCAACAAATTGTCTTTAAGATTTTTCAATTCAGAACTAAAAATCATAATTTAAAAATTATAATTAAACAAATATAACTAATTTAATATTAAAAAATGTAAATTAGTACACAAAGTATGTATCCAAATATTTTTGGAAAATATTTGTTTGCATTTTATTTAAAAACATATCATCGTGTCCCAAATTCAAACTTGAAAAATGCTTGGATAATATTGTAGTTCTGAAAAAAAAAAAAAATTAATCCTATTAATAACAAATTATGTTTCTATTATAGTATACTTTTTATATAGCTGAGAAAGCTTTTCCAAATAACTAGCTGTATCCTTAACATCAGATAATATTGAAATAATATGATTCTAAAAAATATATGCAAATTAGCCAATAAGTAAAATAACTTCAACAAAAAAATATATTTTATATAATAATTACCTGTAATTTAAGTTGATAAATATTTAGTACAAATTTTGCCATAATTTGATCAGGATTTATAAAAACACTTTCAATGATTTTTAGATTATATTCACAGACAGGAATAATTTCAGAAAACAAATTTTTTCCCGAAAGAGAATTCTAATAAAATAATTGCCAAAATTAAAAACTGATAAATGTATGAACTAATTAAATAATTCCTAATAAACATTAACTTACTGCTTGGCTGTTTTCAATAAATGCATCCACACATTGAGAATAACCTTTGAAATGATTTAATATAGCAGCAATTTCTTTCATGCGAGTTAAATTTTTTTGGGAATGATTTTTGATAAATTCTTCTATCAAGGAAATTTCAATTTCATCATACTTTTTAATTATTTTCATCTTAGCTTCTTCAAATCTAACCAAGAAAAGCATGTATTAAAATAAATAAAAATACAATATTTAGTTGAAAACTTACTTGCCTGGAGAAAGCTCTAGAGCTATAGGGAATAGTTTTTGTATTATATCTGCCGCTTCATCAATCTATGAAAAGTTAAGATTAATGTTAATACACATTAAGGCGCTTCTCACACGAAGATACACAAAAGAAACTATAATTGCCAAGATACTAGGAGACTGAGCAACAAAGAAATTTAAGTTACCAGTTACATAAAGCATTCCAAATTAGTATCTCCTCACAATTTCAACAACACAGTTTAGTATTTTTCAGTTGTTTGTACAATACATGTATATTAATATTTATTATTTATATTAATTAATATATTATGTATATTATTTATTATTAGTATATTAATTTTTGAACTGTTGTTAATATTTCGTAATGTCTGGTAGTGATTCTATAGTAGTAGATTTATTTTTGGAGTATCTCTTTAATGATTAATTGTATAGCTCAGGATGCTATTTAATTTCAAAATTTTGCTCTATAATAGATAATAAAAATTGGATACAGAATAAAAGATAAAGTTTAGGTAACTTTGAAGCAACTTAATCAACTAGAGTAGCGAAGAGGTTGACATGTCTAGTTGCCAGGCAACAAGTCGCATCAGTTTATCAGTTACGACATTTATGTAGTGCCATCTGAACAACACTATTCAAACACACATGCACAACTGTCTAGTTACCCAGTCTCTTAGTATCTAGACGATTGCAATTTCTTTTGAGTATCCCTGTGTGAGGAGGGCCTAAGTTATTGTTTAACTTACACAAATTAACATAAGATACAAATATTGTTTACCTTTGTTGGATCATTAAAAACAATTGAAGTTAGGGGTCCAGCTGACATAAATTCTTCTAAATAACCAATAAGTTTATGAACTTGTACAGTTCTAGAACGTGGTGTATTAATAGATTCTAACTGATTTCCCACATGAATAACTTTAGTAGCAACATAATTTATTCGTTCATCCAAATTTTGAAATATTAATATTCCAGCCTGTTACAATAGTAAAGGAAATTAAAATTAAATATGTTCGAAAACAAATATAAATTACATTCTAAGAATAATAATAATAAAAAAAATAAAGTTGGTTCTGATAAATAATATTATTAACTATGTAATTACTTTATTATGATCTTGGCGATTTTGAATTTGAGATAAGTATAGGGATTCTTTTTCTCGACAATCTTGTTCTAGTTTCTCACATTTTCTTTTCTGACGTTCTTGTAAAAACTTTAGGTCTCTAAAATTAATATTAATTAGACATTTTTTATTCATCAAATTATTATTAAAGTATTTAATATTATAGAGTTAGTACTTTATTGCTTGGACAAAGGTATCTTGAAGATCGTCTACTACTGTGTTATCATCATTGGCACTGTTTCCAAATACTCGATAGGCCATACGTTCGACAAACTCATCCGGATCGTATGGGTCCTATCAATGATATATCATATTAACAATAGTCAAATACTGTTAGTAAAATTAATCCAACATGGATTTCAAAATATTACCTGTTCCATTTCCTTAAGATATTGTTGCATCATATTGAAGCAGTTTATTTGAGAACAAAAAAAAATTAATGATAGTTGATTAACTCGAGACAAGTAACATTAAACATTCTCAATAATATTATACTAAAATATACCAAATACCGTTTGGCAATATAAAACTCATCGTAAACTAACAATACATCACGTAGAAAAATATTACTTATGAACTATTTCACTCAAAAAATGGAAATATGGTCAATCGTTTATCGCTTATCAGCTTATCAGTATACGGCTTTGAAATTCGTAATCGAAAATGTCTGGGCGGCTGGGCGTGCTATACTATCCATATAAACAATTCCATTATTATTTGTCGTTATCCTATTCACAAAATAAGTATATATTATAAAGAAATAGTTTATAGTAGGTATATCTATATTATGTTAGTGTTTGATAAAAAAGAATACCTATCAGTTTAAAATCTCTAAATCACCGTCTTGTAAACAAGACAAAAACAAAATTGGAAATTTATTCACTTTAGATAGGTACCTATCACAATGCGTTACTATAAGGTTACAACTCACAAAGTTAAAATAATATTTTACAATTGAGAATTTTCCCATAAGAATTAGATACTAAAATTATGAAACATTTAGTGTAATGATAAATTAAATTTCTTTGGTTGAAAATAAAAATTGCTCTTTTCGTCATTCTTATTCTTTTGTCTGTTCTTCCTTGGTATTTTCTTCCGGGATTCCTATGGTTTCACCCATGATATCTACCGATATTATACCTACAATATTGTATGTTCTCTAGTGCTCATTTCATTATGTTAAAATTAATCACCAATGTGTTAAAATAATAGTTTAATAACCATGAGTTCGGACATGTTTAGAAAAGCTGTAATATTTACGATTTTCGTAAAAATTTGATTTTAAAATTAAACACTGTTCTCAATTTTATTTTTTGAAACAAAATTTATTAGATTTTTCTCCGTTACCTACCCGACGTGGATTTGCAACAAATGTTTGAGGAACTCGGGTTTGAACTTGCGACCCCTAGGATGGCAACAGATACATACCGATTACTAGACTACGGTATACATTAGGGTGGCCATTCGTCCCGGATTTCCCGGGACATTACCGGTTTAGGAACCCATGTCCCGGCGTCCCAGAAAAAGTTCTCGGGACACCGATTTGTACCGGGTTTGGACTTTTGCATAGTAATGTCCCGGAAATTAAAATCATTTTTAAATTGGTATTTCTTTTGCTTACTCGGTTATCGATTTAATTTGAACAAATCCTAATCGTAAATTATTTCGATAACGAACGNTGACGATACAAGTTGTACGCGATTGCAAAATTATCTCAACGACTAGAAATCGTATTATTATTTTTATTTGAATTTTGAGTGTTAATTAAATAAAGATGACCTATCTAATTGATTAATTTGAATATTATTTATACCTAAAAGTTATATACAAATACTTATGTAATTATATACTTACTAGACAATTACCTATTTTTTATGAATTTTGGTGTCCCGGATTTCTAAAAATTAAATCTGGTAGGTAAACACATAGGTATAATATCCTCATAATATTAGAAATTCAAAAAGCTACGATTTCGAAACTAAGGTCACTCATTTCTGACTTCACCATCGATCTTAAATCGGCAATATAGCAAGTATTCATATGATAAAAACAAAAACAATGGAAAAATTCGCAGTACTAGTAACTAGATTTGTTTCACATAATTTTTAATATTTCGATAAACCATTTTTCAATAGCTGACATCACATTAGTAGCTTTGGAGATTAGATTTGATTTATCTGGATCATCAGTCATAAGAATCCCCATAACAGACAATTTGAGCATTACACTCTAAAAGTAGGTAATAGGCCTATAATAATATTATTATTATTATTTCTATCTCAGTATTCATAAATATTGGATCGTATTCATTTTTCAATGCTTACCGACCGTCAATTTTAGCTCTTTTAACAATTGTTTGTTTTAAAATTTATAGTCATTTTTTTCATTGTTTAATTCTTTCAGTACAATTAAACAATGGTTAAATTTTGTAGTGTCTTTAATTGCACTAGTGTAAGTGATGTAAAAAAGAAATTAATATTTCACAAGTTAGTATTAATGTTAATTTTGGTTGATTATTTCATAATTGTATTTTTTGTTCTATTTATTCACATTATAGGTACCTATATAAATAATTTTATTTTGTATTTTTATGGTCTAAGGTTTCCACTCAATGTTAATGAAAGGCTAAAAAAATGGATACATGCTATTAGACAAACAAATTTACTTAAACGATTTTCGCCGAAATTTAATATTAATATTCCTATTTAAAAAAAAGAAAATACTACATTAAAGCTCAATTTGTTTTCCTTTAACCACAAAAGTACGACTTTTAATGAACCTCCTATTAAATGTTCAGGCATTTCTGTAAAGTCTAACAATTTAACTACAGAGTACCTACCAAATAGAAATTACGTACAAAACTCGCAAAATTAAAATGTCTATACACATCTCAAAAATAACTTAAGTGTTCTGAACATTTATCATGTCTAGAAAAAGTGAATAAAAGATTTGTTTTTAAGTCTACGAAAATTTTAATTCGAATTACATTAAAAAAACAAAAGAACTATTTTCGTAAATTTTCCCGTTCATTTTACGTATTTTTCGGTTTTGTTCAATTATTAAAAAAACTCCAAAAAAAAAACAAAAAACGACTTTCTTGATCACTAACTAGATTAAAAATACACCAAAAAAGATCTCTAAATGTTGTTTTTCTATTAGAACAATATGATACTAATATACTCTTAAAAATTAGAAAACATGGAAAGATACTTTCTGTTTTAACATAATATTTCTTCATATTTTAACTCAGTTTTTTACATAATTTTTATTTGGTAGATATTCGGTGAATTAAATTATTAAACTAAACAGAAATGTGTGGAAATTTAACATAATAGGTATATTATAAATTGTGGTTAGTGGTCTGAAAAACAAATTTGAGTTTTTTTTTTTTTTTTTTTCAATATCGTTTTAAGATCCGATTTTGACGAAAACCGTAATAATTACGGCATTTCAAAATATGTCGCTCTGAATCGTATTTGTTAGCAATGGTTGATTGTTGAGTACGGTATACGTATTATTTTATTATACGTACCTACACTTCTTTGGTAAATGTGGCTAACGACACTCTATAAAAGTTTACAAAACATTAGAAAAACTGTTTCATAAACAAAACAAATCATGTATCATTATATTATTGTCTTAGATACCTACTATTGTTATAAAACATCTAATATATTCAACAGGAATACTCAGAAAATGAATATAAACCAATAAACCATTACTGGTTATTATTTTCGGTATTCTATATTTTCTCAATAATAACACGACAAATGTTTGAAAAACCTACTGCGTTGGCGTAGTTTCAAACGCGATCTTAAGATGTAGGTACTTAGTAATGGTATAGTAAGAATACAATTAAAGTTCCACATTGCACGGTAAGTTATCTATTTTTATGGTGAAAAATCGGTTCAATCTTAATTCAAACTAAACCAAGCCCAAATAGTTTTTGACTGCCCCAATCGGTTTTAGTAATCGCATAACGTGCCCTCGTCAAATATTGGTTTTATTTCTAATATAACATCATGCTTTGCAAATTGCAAGTCACGTGGATGTAAACATCATAATATTATTCGTTTTGTTTTTGTTTTTGTTTTTTTTTCCCCCTATTGTCTAATACGCGCGCGAGTTTTACGGCAAACGTGCGAGAAATCGAGTGGGTATGCGATACGATACGCGACAATCAACCAAGTCATTCCGTCACGGCGTCAATCTAGGACGAACCGACGGGAAAACGACAGACGATGGCATTTGAGTATTGGGACGCTATCGGTTGTTCGCTTCAGCGTGGGGCGCGGTGTACAATAATAATAATAATGGGTGCCATCGTCGAACCGATAACATTGCAATCCGGGCGCACCGCGAACGTGCCACACGCAGCCGCGGCCCGGTTGGCCGGGGCCGATCTCTCGCACGGTCCGGCCGCCGACCGACAAGCCGTCGCGTGTCGTGTAAACCGCGACGCCGACGCGATCCGGCGGCGGTCAATCGAAACAAACCGATTCTCGGCACCCGTCGGGGGCCGCGGAGACGAGTGTCGACAGCTGCAGTTCGGCTTATCGCTATGACGAACCAACGCCCTCCACCGCGCCGCGTATCATCAACCGTGCTACGGACTGTTCACTATTGAGTAGCGGCTGTCGTTGTGGCCTGTGGGTGAGGTCTGGTTGCGGGCGCTCAGCGACGTTATAATACTTACTGCGATAAAATACTAATATTATACGTCATGTATTGTAAAATATTATTTGTGCGCGCGCGCGCGTGTGTGTGCTATGCGGTACACGGATGGCGGTGGCTTCCATTGTGGTAGATTAGGACCGCGGTTCTCGCGCCCGTCGTGCGTTGTGTGTCTACGTTTTCCGCGTTATTGTACGTTTTTCCGTTTGATTATTGGCGTAATACTACTGTGACATCGTTTTTATTATTTCGGCCGTTTAGGATGCTCTAATATTTGTCGTGTGTAACACTGAAATCATTCGACGCCGTCACGATGCAAACCATTTCTGTGAAAGATTGTCTACAAGACTCTCCGAAATTCAGGTTGGTTACGGTTTTCTAATATCTCGAACGATAGTTAACATCCGACATGGACATAGGTCCCGGCCGACATATGTTGTGTAATATTAGGTAATATTAATGTTTTTAACTGTAGTTATAAAAATGTACTTTTGTTTACTGATCTAATCAGTAAATATTTTACTGCTAAAGCTCTTTTTGTATAGAATTTCACAATAGTTTTTAATTTTTAAAAACATTTTTATTGATAGGCAAGTAACTCTAGGTGTGTATAGGTATTTTTATAGTTTATTTTTTAAACAAAAATTACTGTTTTAGGCAGTACTATTATACTACTATACATATCATATACTAATAAATATGATGAAGTTAGTAAAGTTTATTGATTTTATTGTCTAATAGAATCCTCTGTACTCGTTCATTACAATTTATACTAAATATGTATTATTAATTATGTATATCTATAGTTATTACAAATACGAATAATACCTACAATTATTCCATTTCAGATCACAACTAGATCTTCATGAATCCAATATAGATTTATTAGAACACAGGCTGGAAAAGGTAATTATTATTAACTATGTATCAATAATTATAACCAAATTATATAGTACCAATATCTATCAAAATATAGATGAAATGTGATTACTACAGTGGTTACTAATGTTTAGGTTGTAAAAGTCTGCAGTTCAATGATAGATTCCGGAAAGACATATGTGAGTCAACAGTCACTGTTTGCCAACAGTTTATGGGAAATGGGACTTTGCTTCCGCGATGACACCTCTTCAACCAAAAATTTGAATAAAATTATTCACGCACTCCAAGAAATGAACAAATTGTTTACGACATTCTTAGACCAAGCTTCACGGACAGTTTTGAACAATTTAACTGTATTTGTTAAAGAGTAATTTTTTTGATTTAATTTTATTAAACATGACATTTTTAAAGTACTTAATCAATTTTTTTAGGGATATTAAAGCAAGCAAAGAATCAAAGCATGTATTTGAAAAGACTGCATCGGAACTTGATGCAGCTCTCTTGAGAAATTCCCAAGTATTGAAATCTCGCCCACACGAAGCAGACGAATTACTCAGTTTAGTTTCTTCGGCTAGAAGTTCTTTTCGTCATGCTGCTTTGGATCATGTGCATTGTATTACTAAGTTATTAGCCAGAAAAAAACCAGAAATTTTTTCTACTGTAAGTTTAATTATTATTTTCTATCCAATATTATTTTAAAATGACTAATATTTAAAAAATAAATAATAAATATGTTTATTTCATAATAGTTACTATCCTATATCCAAGCTTGGAGTACATATTTTCATCAAGGGTTTGTACTTACTGAAGATATACAAGATTTTATTCAAAACTTGAACGAAGAAGTTGTGTTAATGACTTCTGAAGCAACCAAATTGGAAAAGCAGCTTAATGATAATCACAAATTAGTTGACAGGTTCGATATTATTATATGATAAAAACAAAATAATCATTAGGTAATGTAAATGGGGTGTAATATAATTTTTAAGTTTGCTATTTTTGAAATCAAAGCCATGATACAGTTATAATAAATGGTGATATCGAATCTGATTCCAAAGATGAAAAGGATGTAGTTCGTATCGAGGGATATTTGTACAAGAGAACCAGTAATGCATTTAAAACATGGAATCGACGATGGTTTTATTTAAAGAACAATCAGCTAGCCTATCGTAAAAGAAATGGTCAGTACTAAATTATATTCAATACAATTTATAATATATAATAGAAATAGAAATAGAATATAATATAATAAAATAAAGAGTAGGGGTAAGTATAAAAGTGCTCATAAACCAAAGTGGTAAGGAAATTTCTGCGGTAATGAGACAAAATAAAATATCGCTGACTTGACCTAACTAAAGCAAAATTGCACGATAGTTATAGGTCTTCTATAATATTTTATTTTTAACTTTTGATAATTTATATCTATATAGACTACAGACTACATTTCATATTTTATTTTTTTTACACATGTGACTTACTTTTCTATCTTACACTTCCCTGATTATTTATTTATTTATTTATTAATATATATATATATAATAATTATAGAACATTTATTATCGAGGTATATATCGGACTATACATTTAGGTATAGCTTAAATTAAGAATCAAATTAATTTACTGGTATTACAAAAATATTCTGCTGTATATATAATTGTCAACTGACTACAATTTTTCAGTTTGTAAATTCATTTACCACGGGCGGTAAGCCAAATAATAGTATATGTAGCGAAAAAAATTAATTTTGCTGCAGGTCTTGTGCAGTAAATATTTACCGCTGCAAAAAATTTCACTTTGGTATAAGGTCTCTCATTTAAATATATGAAAACAAGTTTTTGCTTCTGCTATCTCTCTGGTTTGTGAGAACTTTAAGTATATATAGTTATGATACAGAAAATGGGGTCTAATGGGTGATATATGAAAATGGATGGGTGTCGGGACCAGTCGAGAGTCAATGAGCCCGCCTTTGGCCTACAACCATTGCATAGGTGTGGAAACGTATATCAAATATAGCAGCCTGCCTTCGGTTCTGATACCACTATAATCAAAGGAGAGAACTTAAATAGATGTAGTAGATTAGGTTAAGGATGATAGGAAAGAACTGGTGAAAGAAAAGGAACTTTTACTGAACAAACCCAAAGAAGAAAAAAAGGCTTTGTTTGTCTAGCAACATTATCTATTAGACTATAGCATATAGTGTAAATAACAGATGTTAATTATTTTGAGAGCTGATAGTTGTTACACTTAATTGTCTATTTCCAATACTAGATATTTAATATATTACAATTAATAATTATATTTTTAATCTAATTCACAATGCAAGTAGGATTTTATTTAAAAATATTTAAACTCAAAGTATCTATTTTGGATTCTGAGTGTGAAGAATGTATTGGTTTCACAAAAATGTTTATTTCTTTTATTTTTTATGTGTATTATATAGACCCTTTTCTAAAAGGAAATTTTCTTGGGGTAGTACTTAAAGGAGATCATTATTCGATTTTCATCAGCTGTTTTCTCATCAATATGAAAAACCAGAAAAAAACCGGAAAATCAGTACAATATTAAACAAATATTATTAAAGAAAACATTTAATGCCCATTTAATTTTACCATAATTTGGCATATAGATATTGTTGAAAAAGCCACACTATCAACAAAATCCCGCTCAAAATTGTTTTTCCTTAGCAATGGTTTATCATTGCTTGCAGATTTACATTAAATTCCCTTTTGTATCCTACTTTCCTAATTTCCTACCCAGAACAGTGGCTGCACCCACAGTGGAGTATGTTCATCTTTTAAAACATTTATTATGTATTATTTGGTTAAACTCTGACCATGAAACATGTTAGTTTTCTGTCTACCACCAACATTTTTTCTCCTTTACCTTCCTCATTTGTGTATGGACATCTTTTTTTCATATACTTCTTATATCTCCCCTAATAAGCTCTAGCCACGTTCCTTGGTTTCCCATCTACACTTTATAAACTGACCTCGACTATCTCAAACTAGTATGTTACCAATAGTTTTTATTCCTTTACACACTTTTAGGTGATGATTTATTTACTATTATGGAAGAAGATTTAAGAATTTGTTCTGTTAAACCAGCATATGATGCAGAGCGAAGATTTTGTTTTGAAGTTTTATCTCCAACCAAGTATTACATATTATATAATATTTTAATTTACTTTTCAGAATTAACCATTAAACAACAAATTATTCTCGTTTTTCTATAGAAGTCACATTTTACAAGCTGATTCTGAATTTGTGTATAAATCGTGGATAGAATCTCTTCAGCGGGGGATTGGAGCTGCAATACAGCATAGTGATCAACGCAATATTAATCCACCATTTGGCAATAGTATAATGACTAATGAATCGAATACTTTAAATCATCGTTTACCAAGCAGTTCAAATAAAATTAAAAAGTCAAAGTAATAAAATATTCTTTGTAGATCATTTAATAATTTAATAATTAAATATAATAAAATATAATAGGACTTTGGAAATACTGGTTAAAATTCCTGGTAATGAAAAATGTTGTGATTGTAATGCGCCCAATCCAAGTTGGTCTAGTATTAATTTGGCAATTACTCTTTGCATAGGTGAGTATTTAATTTATATATAATTAGTTAATAAACAAAAATAAGCAAATTGATTTAATAATTATTTATCCCAAAAATAATTTGTCTAATTCATTTATATCCTTTTTAAAGTTCTCTAGTAGATGTAATACAATTATTGCCCTATCTATGTTTAGTCTTTAGAAGTTATAATCCTTGGTTTTTTAGTCATTTTATGTTGATCTAGTGCCACACATGACTATTTTTAATTTTCGAAATAAAATCAAGTCCTATGAGTCTAAATCTGGTTTATGAGTTGGTGGTATAATAGAATTTTGAGATCAGACTCACGCACAAGTATTCTCTTTCAATTTCAATTTTTACTCTAAAGATAGCAGCTATAGAATAATTTTTTCACATAACTTTCTCAGTTCTTATGTCAAATTAATGTGTTCTGAGGATATTTTGATGTTGAGTATTAAATTTATCACCCAGACAGTTATTTTATAGTCAAAAAACACATTAGAATGTCCTATGTTCAATGTTCTTGTGACATAAAATCAGAGATTAAAACTGTGTAGGAAAATTTTATTTTGCGAATATAAACATTTTTCGATTTTTTTTTTAAACATTTATATGATTTTTATTATATTTATCTTGTAATTTTATAACTTATTAGCAAGAAGTAGAGTTAAAATCTGAAAGTAATAAACAATAAAAATACATTTAAAATGTTAAAAAAGGCAAAAAAAGCATTTAATTTATATGAAAATCAATTAAAAAATGTACTAAAAAATTAAATAGATTTAAGTTGATTTAAAAAAAATTCATTACCTTGTACTTAAATTAACTGTCAAAGAGTTGATAGTTTGGACCCAAAATATTTTTGTACAATCACTGAAGTGTATTTCATACATAAATAATTATCTAAATTAAGATTACTACCTACTTAATAAATGATTATTGTTAATTGTTTCTCCAATTAATACTTGGGTGATTTTTTTGATGTTTCCCATCTTTTTTTCTTCAACATAACATTCTTTGAGTTTAATTTCTATATTATTCATAATATCTACACTTTTCGATAAAATAATTGTCCACAAATTATTAAACGAAAATTGCGGTTGACCAATGACATGATACGGAAGTAGCTCTACACTGGGATTTGCCTATCATTTAACTTGTTTTTTTTTATCTCAGAATGTATGTCAGGGGGAACACTGTTCTATATTTTTTTTCTCTCTCTTTCTCAGACGTGTAGGTACATATATATATATATCTTAATTTATGGTAGTTACACAATGCATCCACACACATGATAAAAACAATAGAAACAACATACAAGTAAATACAAAACACTATTAATTATGATAGTAAATAAAACAGCACTAAAGTTGTAAACAAGATGGGTTCCTCATGAAATTATCAAATATCAATATTATTAATATTTAACAGCTGAAAACATGGTAATATAAATTATAAAAACATAATTTTATATAAAACTGTATGGAAATTCTAAATCAAAGACTTACTCGAGTTTCCAATAGACTGTGTGTGCATCATGTATTGGAAACTCAGCTTTATATAAGTGTATTTTGATTTTGGGATAATTATAAGTATAAAGAAAACTATACTTCAAAAATATTTATAATATTGATATGAAGATAAGAGGTGAATGAAGATAAAATATGTAAAGTAAAAATATGATAAAAGCATAAGATTGCCATTTTGCAGTCATTTGGCGGTTTCTTTCCCTTATGATTTTAGATAAATTATCTTAAATTGTGCTTTCCATAGATGCTTGTCAAATTATAAAAGTATAAGAGACACTAGAGTGACAGAACTCAGGAGACATTAAATATTATGAAATAATAATAAAATGGCTTTCATGTTTTTACAAATAAAATACTTTTTTAAAAGAGTAAAAAGTGTTCGAAAATAATATATTTTTGTTGTTTTTTATGTTACATATTTTTGCAAAATGGTTTTCACTCCCTGCATGCAATTTCTTGATTATACATTGTCTTTGTGGATACTTTGTCTATACTGCCTTCGTTGCTTAATTGCTTAACTGCTTAATTTAATTCACTTATAAATTACTGTTTTTCTCATTGCAGTGATTTCATAAACAGTATTTAAGATTTCAAATTTCTATCCTCAAAAAAGAGAAAAATAAAGTTTAAAATAACTTGTGTTAGTACAGTCAGCTAGTGGGAGCCGTGTGTCCCACTATACTACTGTAGAAAACTAGTTCGCAAATTATAAATATATTGTGATACTATGGAAAAATTAAATTTTATTATTTTTATCTTTTATTTCTGTTTAGAATGTTCTGGTGTACATAGATCTCTGGGTGTTCATTACAGTAAAGTCCGTTCTTTAACACTCGATGATTGGGAACCAGAAATTTTAAAAGTTTTAGCTGAAGTTGGAAATTTAGTAGTGAATGAAATATATGAATACAATGTTCCTGATAATGTTATACAGGCTTCACCTAAATGTTCAGAGTAAGTAAAATGATCAGTTATTAAATTAAATAACAATTGTGCATTATAAATTATTTAAATAAATAATAAAATGTGTTCTAGTGCTATTCGTGAACAATGGATTCGAAATAAATATGTAGATCGCCTTTTTGTAAAACCATTACCTAATAATGAATTAACACTAAAAGAATTTGATACAAGAAAATGGAGTGTTCGCAAAGTAAGAAGACGAGTAAATCAACACCAGTCTACTCAAAAACACGATGTTATGATATTCGATAGTAATGTTAGTAATAATATATCTGCATATGCCTTGAGTAGTGACGATGATTCCACTATAAGCGACTGTGAAACTGAGAAAGACGGTAAGTGGGTTGTACTTAAACTTTTTATTGATAAATATATTGTCAGTCTTATTATTATATAAATAGTTGGAGAAGAAGATATGTCAACTTTGGGTCCAGATATGTTATTATATCGAGCAGCTTTAGCTCATAACCTGCCAGTTATGTGTCATGCTATGGCTATTGGAGCAGATAAGAATTGGAGAAATCCTAATGATAATGGGCGAACATGCCTTTTCCAAGCTGTACGCAGTGTAAGATTTATTTAATATATTTATTTATACTCATAAATTTATATTAACTATTTTTTTATTCTCAGGGTTCTGTAATGGCTTGTGAGTATTTGATACTTAATGCAGCTAACATAAATATTCAAGATTATGATGGTCAAACTCCTCTATTTTTTGCAACACAATTAGGTAAATTGTTTTGTAATTTTTTATTCGTTTTGCTTATTTATTTGATTTTACATAAGTCAATGAATAATTTAATTTGATAGTAAAGCTAAAAACATAGTTCTTAAATAATAATTCTGAATGTTTGATAATGTACTATAATTGTTTTATAAATCTATATTAGGATGGACCAAGATTTTATTTTTATCTTCTAATATAATATTATGTTCTATTGGGTAAAAAAAAGTTCCCCTTAAATGTTTAGATCTTTAAAATTATTTTTAGAGGCCAAAGGTATTGATTTATAAATTTTTATTTTTTTTAAATCTTACATTTTTCAAAAAAAAAAAAAAAGTTTATTTAGCTCTTAGTAATTAAAATATTGAAATTATTAGTAGTTTTGAAGTGTGATTCATCAAAAGTTTCTAAAAAGGAATCCTACAAATTCAATAAGATTACATTTTTTTTTTTTTTTGAGAAATAAGTTTTTAGACTAATTATAAAAAATAAAAACTATAAAGCTGCTATGTTTGATAAATTTGAGGATATAAACTCAGGAAATCATTTTAAACATTTAAACGATTAAAAGAAACTTTTTTTATCCAGCTGAACATAATATCACATGAAAAGAAGAAAAAATTCTTGTCCACCCTAATATATATTATAAATAGAAATTTAATGCTATATTTGCATTACATAATACATTTTTAACTATTTGATTGATCTATTCACTGTGAATTTTGTGCAATAGAATATTTATTTATTATGTTTTTATCTACTTTCAATTATGATTAGTTTAATTATAATTAAATTTGCAAATATTATTTTCATTTTCTAAGGTCACACAGCTCAAGTATGTCTTCTTTTAAAACACAAGGCAGATCAATATCTCCGGGATCATGATAATGTGGAACCACTTGAAATTGCTATTAAACAAGCCAACGCAAATATAGTAACTTTGTATGTTACTATTTACATATTTACTATTTAAGTACATATAAAGAAATACAATTTTAAATCTTGAATCCACATACAAAAAAAATACTTTTATTTTTTTTAAATAAACCTGAATAATATTTATTCACCCCAAACAAATTTTAAATATGATTTTTATGATTGAAGGGTGTAGTTTTCAAAATTGACTCTATCCTTTTATCATTGTTATCATTAAATTAAATTCAATTTTTTTATAAATAGAATATATTATAACTGGTATGTTATTACCAGTAACAACTTACTAATAGCTTTTGAGGTTTTCATTAATTGTTTAAGTATTTTTAGTTCTGTATACTCTTAGTATTTATTTTCAAATGTACAATATGAATCTCTATTTTGAATTATTATTAACCAATTTGTATGTTAAAACATATTTTGACAAAACTAATTAGGCCTTTTTACTTAATTTTCTAAAAAATTCATAATAGTACAGTTTCAAGGCAAGTAATCATACAGAAACTAATATACAATTGAACCTTGATAACTCTAAAAACTTGACAACTCAATTTTTTTTTTATTCCTCTAGAAATTCTCTCAACATTCAATGTATTATAAGTCTTGTTAACTTGAATATAAAATTGTGATAAATAGCCTAGTCTAAGTATATTATATATTATACAAATATATCTCGTACATTTTCTCATTTTTCCTCCCATTTTTTTCTATGGTTTTTCACATTGGATGAGAAAAATTGAGAAAATTGAAAATTACTTCCCTAAAGTACTTCCCTACACCAATTTTTTTCTATTGTATCTAATAAATAATACGTAAGTACATACTTATAATATCATTGTATCTTTTTTTAGTTTTTGGATAAGATTTATGTACATATATTAATTATCATACCATTTTTATTTCAGAGCTAGTTATCTTGAATAATACATATCCTAAAATTAATTTTTATCTCCCTTTAACTTCAAGTTATCACAACTTGACTGTACTTTGTTTACTTTACACATGGACTTTATCTAATACACCATGGTAGGCTATTAAATATTCATATCTACAGATTTTAGTAGTATTGCTTATTATCATACATTTTCTTACCTAAAGATTTTTCTTTTCAACTTAAAATTGGCCTACAGCTAAGCTATAATAATAAATATAAAATATAAAATCACTTCTTTTTCAACCAAAACTTAAAAGTGGAATATATCCGCAATGGCTTGACAGAAAGTAAAAATTTCAACATTAAAATTATTTTTAACTAATACTATTTATGGAATTTTTAATATAGGTTGCCATTTGAAAACTAAAAGTAAATGTTGGTTTTACCCCCAAAAATAATGACTAAAATATCAAAAATATCAAATTGTAGGGCTGTTTGTTTCTTAAAAACAATGTTCTAAAAAACAAATTTCGAATAAAGTTAATAATTTCCAAGACAATGATAGTAACCACTTAAATGGACCATCTGGGATTTTAGATTCTGAGCAGAGTAAGGAATGTAGTGGTTTGATAGTGATGTTTATTTTATTTTTCTGTGAACAATTTTTCTACTAGGAATCTTGCTTCAATTTCAAGCATAGCATTTCCTTTTCTGAAAGGAAATTTTATCTGGGTTGTATTTTAGGGAGGAAAATACTTAGGAAAACCAGGAAAAGTTTATAAGCATTTAATTTTGTAAGTAAATTTATGTAATTTCTATTTAGTAGGTATTTTGTAGATAAAATTGTTGAATAAACAGAATACCTGAAAATTTAACAGGAAATTTATTATAAGTTATATTTTGTAGTAAAAAAAAAAAAGTATTTTAGTATAAAATTTTAATTAAAATTGTAAATATTATGGGCTTTTCAAAACATCCTATAAACCAAACTCCACTTAAAATGGTTTTTCATTTGAAATGATTAATTGGTTAGTACATATATATATTAAATATTCTTCTACCTTCTCAACCTACTACAGTGGTCCACTCATCGTGTAAAATATGTCCTTTTTTTTCAATATTTTTTAACTTCTCTGAATTTTATTTTTATGATCATAAAAAACATATAACTGTTTATTTATTTAGACCTATTTCAATAGTTATTTTAAAAACTAGTAATATATTTTTAAAACCCAACCTATTTTTGAACTACTGTAAATATTAACATGGCTAGAATGGAGAATGGTGTATGAAGATCTAAATTTTTAGAATCATACAAAATTGTGATCTTTATGTGTACTTATTTTTATAAGACTAAAATATTTATACATAATTAATTATGTAATATGTTATTATTGTTATTAGGCTGAAACTCAGCCGGTTGAATGAAGAAATAAAAAACTCTGAATTTGGGCTTGCAGAAGAATCATTCAATGAAGTTGTCCGTGATTTTGAACAATTAACATTCAGTCCTTTACATAAATAGTTTTAAACAAACTGAACAAATTATTAGTCTTAATATTATACTACAATATTTTACTCTACAACAATGGTTTTCCCTACAGTAAACACCTATTAGATTTATTATGCTAGTAAGTATCCATAATAATGAACAAAATACATAAGTTACATTATAAATTAAATTATTTTATTTTTATTGTTATTGTATTTATATATGACATTATTTCATAGTAATTTTATTATTATTTTTAAAATATTACTGATAGTTACCTGATAATATTTTAATATTTTTAACAATATGCAGTTATTTATTATTGTTATAATTACTATATATACAATTTTATGAATTATTGTATGAAACATGTTTATAATTTAATGTTAATGTTGGCCTCTTTTTACCTTGTTATGTATGTCACTGTTATAATTATTATTATTTTATCCTGATTTGTTGAATTGTAAATGTTAAAATTAAGCTAAATCATTTATGATATCAATTTAATTTTAACTATTTCTTCAAATATGCCTTGATAGTTTTACTAGCATTCTTCAGTGTGGAGAATTTATTGAATCTGATGGTTTCATACATAAATGGTTTTCATAGTAATATATAATATTTGTGAACAATTGCATTTTATATTAAAATGGAGTTTGAAAAAGTTATTTTAGTATTTGATGAAATATTTTCAAAAATAAATTTACAATAGGTAAAAGACTTAGGAGATAAATTAGATGTTACAATATTATTAAAAAGGTTAACTAAATATTAAAAGACTAACTGTGAAGTGTGGTTATATTTATTTAATAATTCTAAAGCAAAAGTATGTACAGTAGGTAATATTTATTTGTCATTTCATGAATGAACAAATATTATTATTGAATCAAAGTTTTATTTTAAATTTACTTTACATACTTAATACTAAATAAACATGTTTATAGATGCCAAAATGTGTTTATTTTATTTAAAAACTCAATTTGTTATTAATATCTCTAAAATTCGACTGCAACATTAATTTTAAGATTATGAACATAGTGGGAAATGTATTTATTAAAAAATAATACTTATTAGATTTGGAGCTTAGCATAGAATGTATTAATTTTACAATGATGTATACATTTTTTATGTACTGAACAACTTTTTTTACCAGAATTCTTTCTTCGAAATATCAAGTGTAGTACCTTTTGAGAAGGAAAATTTTTGTTAAGAAACATGTCTATGGTCATGACTGGTGCTACCTGGTAGGGATGCCAAATGAAAACTGATTGCCAAAACAGTATGTTCTCTTGTGAAACTAGGTAGGTTTAATTATTGTATTAGTTGAAAAATAGTTCCTTTTGTAATATTGAACAAACATTGGTTGATTCAGAATGTTTCTGGTCATTTAATGATTGGTTTATAATTATTTATTTTACTAATTACTTAACAGAATTTAGGTTTCAACTATATTGATATAAAAATGAAAATACAAATCATGTTATATTTTCATTTTTAAATTGATAACCCTTATAACCCATCTGTTGTAAATATCCAAAGTTCATGAGTACATATTTCTATTAAGAATAAATTATATTTGATTTATTTATGCATTTATACTTATTCTGATAAAAAAAATTCCATTCACCTTTAAGATTTACATTTAGATAAATATAAAACAGAGATGAATTATATTTTTCATTACTTTTGTATTTTTATAAATTCTTAATATTATATATTTTTAATAAATCAAATTGATATTTTTCAATTTCTATCACTTAATTCTTAATGCATATAAAATAGTAGTGTTGTCATTCAGTAAATTTTTTGTTCCTATGTTTGATATGCATTAAGGCCAAATACTATCATGTTTTAGAAAGTTCATCTTAATTTGAGGTACCTATCCACAAATCGTGGAAAAAGAAGCCCGATTAAAAAAGGTCCTACACTAGGAAAAAGTGAATTAATTAATATTAAAAAATAAAATAAAATACAGTAGGTAGATAGTATATAGTTATTATAATAATACTATTTACAAAATAATGTTTAAATTAGACTTTTTTTTTATGTTATGACTTATAAATGTTAAAAAAAGTTCCCTGCACACTAGGAAAAAGTTAGGTCTAAATTTTATTAATAAATAAAAAAAATTACAAATTAATACAATAGTCCATAATTATTATAGTAATAAAATTTAAATATATTATTTTATTCACACCGATTTTGCTTGCTTGTAATATGTGTAATTGTATGTATGAGTTTGTCCTACTTTTTTTTTCTACTCGAATCTCCTACAGCAGCTAAAGTTAATGCTTCATCTGCTTCATTCCATTTTAATTTTTAATATTTTGATGCTCTCCACTAAAATGGTTGTGTGAACATTCCACAGACCACAAGAAAGGTAAAAATATAGATGTAATTTTTGAAAACACAATGTAGAAGCAGAAACAACTTGCCTATAGGTACCATTTAGATACTAAAATCCATTAAAGAAAGCATTAAATTAATTTAATTACCTATATGCAGCAGACCAACTGACATCAAACAACACCTTCGTAGACGAGTTCGCAGACTACTAAATCATAATTACTTCCCACATAGACCCACTTATTGCCGGTCAATATTTACAAAATCACCTAAAGGCCATGGAAGAATATTACTTGAAATGGAAGTTTAAAGTAAACAATGAAAAATGTTCCCACATTACTTTTACGTTAAAAAAAAGTCCCTCTGTTATCGCTATCTAACAAAATCATACCACCGTCCTCCAATGTCCGTTATTTAGGATTAATATTAGACAAACGTCTTACCTGGGCCGGTTCAGCGGTTAACATATGATAATAAAAAATGTATAGAATTGTTAAATAAATTGGTCACACTTGTGTATCCCTACTTTAATTACGGTAACACAATAAAAAAATTATTTAATAGCGTCTCGCTTTATTCCATTATGAACTCATGACGCTCTGAATTTTTAGGTTAAACTCGGTAGTCTTCATTTTATATCTTTTGTTCTGTTTGTTATGCTCTGAGTTTCTCTACGACTGACATCTTCGTGTTACTTGCTTGAGTTATCCATCTATTAACAATACTAAATATTTTTACGGATTCAAATCGCCCCTAACCGGTTTTCTCTGACCGGTAATACTTTCAAGAATAGTACACTAAATCTTCTGTATAGGTATACCTATAGATACCTACGTTATTTCGGTTAAAATCTGGCTCTTTGGGGGAAAAAAAAAAAGTCAAATTATCGAAAAACGCAATATGAAAATATTTTCCATGGCCTTCCGTCTTGCCAATGTTAAGTAATTGAATATTCGATTTTCCCATTTCCCGCATAGAATGACAGGTTTAAAAGTGCGCGTTTGAGATTTTAGAATAATTTTTGTCTGAAACGCCGCCTCTTGGGGTCAAAAAAAAAAAAAAAAAAGTATCGAAAAATAATCCAAATTTTTCCCATTCCCCTTCCTTACCTTATGAACGTTCTTTAAACAATTTTATTCGTCACCTACCCAAAAGCCATATTGTTGAAAAGAGTTAACATATTAAATTATCAAAATTCTGATTGTTTTATTTGGATATTATATTTTTTCCGATATTTTTAAGTGAGGGTTTACCCCGAGAACCAAACAGCGTCTAACAACAATACAATTCTAAGTCCGCGAACGTGAATTTCTAAACCCGTCGTATCTCAATGGAACATAAGAAAATTAAAAATTCAATTACGAGTCATTGGTCATCAGGGGCGCACGGAAAATATATGTAGTTGGCGTTCTTTTTTTTGACATTTTTTTACCCCAAAACCCAAACTTCAACCCCCCGTTTTTAATAATGGAGGTAGGTATGTACTATATACATAAAAAAAATGGAAACTTCATCCATCATGGCATTCATGTACAAATTATTATTACGAATTCAAAATTTAAAAAGCCTTTGGGAAGGTAATAGAGAGGAAATTTAATGTATATCTGTAAGTAACAATAAACCAATAAATTGCTAACAAAAAAATGATTCTGAGTGGAGTTCAGTTGAGAGTGTTGTTTTGTCAACAATATATATGCCATATTATGGTTAAATAATTACATAGGTATTATGTTTTTGCTATAATAATATTTATTTAATATTGTACCTAATCACATTTTTCGTAATGTTTTCTTGTATTTTTACCCGGTTTTTCTCATTTATTGGAAAAAAAACTGGAGAAAATAAAAAAATTTACTTCCCCAATCAGATTTTCTTTTTATAAAAGTGCTATTGCTGATCAAAATTGTTGGTAGAAAAGTTGTTCACAAGGAGAAAAAAGGCTATAATATTTTTTCCAACTAATACCTATATTTCGTACATTTTCCTAGTTTATCCAATTTATTCTGAAAACCCTTTAGAAAATCAAAAAATGACCTCTTCAGTACATTTTCAGTCAAATTTCCTTTTAGAAAAAGTGGTATCATTGTAAATTAGAGCAAAATTACTGGTAGAAAAGTTGTCCACAAAAAAGAAAAAAACATATTTGTAAAACCATAAGATTCTTCACTCCACTCAGAATTTAAAATGTATTATTTACCACCAATAATAATAATTGTAAATTTAATTTTTTCATACTGGTACAATTATGATAAATATCTTATTGTTTGTCATTACCAACTTATTTTCAGGTAAATCCACGGATGGATTAGCGAAATATAAAAATATTTGGTAAATCAATTTGAAAATAATAAATTATATATCAATATTTTATGATTAAAAAGTATCATATGACACACATGAAGGGGGCAGGTTGTCTGGGACGCTGCAGACTCAAGTTCGTAAATCAAGTGTTCAATAATAGTAACCAAGATACTTAAATTGGTGTTCTGTTGTCTTTTTAATATGATTGTAAAAATTGCAATTAATTAGTTAACCTTTAATAATTTTCCTATTACATAACTTTCTAAAATACCGATTGATTTCCGGGTTTTGAAACTAGAGAAAAAATGACTAAAAACGTCTTTGTTTTTATAAAAATTATAAATTATAAAAGAACTGTTATCATTCTGTTTATCATTTAGAAAATAATTTGCTGCCAGATATTCTGTTTTGACATTTCCTGACCAACAAAATAATGTTATTTCTATCTGGATGGTACTTAAGGGAAGCTGCCATGTTTTGATTATTCAAGCGGTTTCCATAATAATTTTGAAAAATTGTTAAATGTATATACATGTATAAAAAAAATATCACTTTGAATTGTTTTTCTTTAGTAATGGTTCTATATTGATATAAATTAAATTGCCTTCTATATCCTATCTTCCCAACTTTTCATCTATATCAGTTGCCCCATGCAAAGCATGTTTTTTTTTTAAGTATTATCTTGAATGTTGCAGAGTTTCTGCCTAATGATACTTTATTCCTTTCACTATTCCTTATAATGGAAAACTGGGTTGTTAATAAAATTAAATATTGTGATATCTCCAGTCAAAATCGTTTGATTTTAATAATTTATCATTGCTTTCAGCATGTAAACCTTTCAATCTACAACTGTAATTATTTTACAATTAATTTTTTTCTGTAAAATTTAAACACATATATAATAATATAGAGAATATGATTGTATATATTCTTTATTAATGTTTGAGTTTAGTCTATTTCTCACTTTTAGTTTAGTTTGTGATTTATTTATATTGTTATAGTTATTTTTTTAAAACCGTTAATGTACCCATATTAACACAAGACCACATTGACATGTAGAATATACTGTTGAATATTATATCTATTACTGATATATTATAATAATATTATAATTTCATTATTCATTATTTTTACAGTACGTTTTTTGTCTAAAATATTCAGACTTGAAGATCCAGTGATAATCCAAGATATCAGTGATTGAAATATTATTAAAAAATGGCTAAACTAAGTAAATAATATATTAATTTATTGCGAGGTCTTTTTTTTTTTTGTTTAACACAAAGGCAATTATTTAATACAAGGGTAGACAACATCATTTTTGGTGTCTAGGGCCAAAAAATAAAAATACATTTTTCACACACCACAATTAGAATACACTTTATTTTATTTAACTTTCAGGTAGATACAAATCTAGTGCATAAATAAATACTCGACTGACTCAAACTATACCAACCACATCTTAATTAATTATTCGAGAATACCTAGAAGTGCCGATAATCTGCACAGATTTATTTATTAATTTTATCTTAATTATGGTGTGAATATTGCTTGCGTGCCCACCAGAAGGTTAAACAAAAGTTTATAGTTATATCAAATTTAATTAAAGTTTATCACCATTTGATATATTAATTTAACAAGGTTTAACAAACAAACTTATCATCATGATAATAATACATCATAATAATAAAAATAAAAGTAAATGTAATTTTTAAGTTTGAATAGCATCAACCAGTTTATTGATTAAAGGTTTGATATTCAATGAAGAAATTCTCTTTACATGATTTAATCGAACACTGGTTAATTGTAAATTATATTTGCTTTTTTGATTGATTTTCATGAGAGTAAAAGTTTGCTCACAAATCGTCTGCCCCTATGAAAAAAGGTCATCTCTCACATTTTTGTTGGAGTAGGTGAAATATACATCAAATAAATATGGGATATTTTTTTGTTATTTTTAAATACATCCATTGTTTATAGTGCCTTTTATACTAAACATATATACTAACTCTTCATAAATATTAATATTTGAGCTGTGTCAGAAATATCTATGATCTTCTTTTGTAGCTATTGAAAAGCAAGTTAAATGATAGTATGATCTTCAGATTACTTACCTAAAATAAATCAACAATAAAATATTTTAATAAATTTAGTAACTTTTTTTTCTATTATTATAATTACACAATTGGCCATTTTTCAAGGATTTCCAGTTCAAGATTCTGAGTGGAGCAAAGAAACTTATGGTTAAAGGTGTTTTTTTTTTTTTCTATGCTCAAGTTTTCTACTGAAAATCTTGCTCTGATTTTTAAGTGTAGCAAATTTTCTAAAATAAAATCTGAGGTATTTTAGGGATGTCATTTATTTTTCAATTTTCTCAGAAGTTTTCTCATCAAATGTGAAAAATATGGGGAAAAAGGGAAAATCAGTACATAAAATAAATATTATTAAAAAAAATATATTATAATGCTTACTTAATTATTTTACTGTAATACGATATATATATTCTTGAAAAATTATCAAGTGCTACACATAATAATCTGGTAGAAAAAAAAAAACATCTTTGTGAAACCATAAGCTTCTTCGCTCTACTCAAAATCTAAAAACATTGTATTCACACCTGTTAAACTATAAATGGGCATTGATCTGTAAATTAGTGGAAAAATCTTATAATAGAAATATTCACTAAAATTTAATAAAAACAAATGCAAACTGTGGAAAACCAACACTTTTTAAAAAATAATTCAAAATTATAGAAATTACCAAGCATTCAGATTATATGCTATTTATTGCTAAGCACATTGTGTAAACAATTAAATATTAATCACTATGCATATGACAACTGTATTTTAAAGATAACTTCCCTTAGCTATCTAGTATTATCCAGTTGTTATCTATGATAAAAGTATAATTATTAGTTGTATATTCTTCAATTACACACATTTTTAACTGAAATAGTTTCTTATCATCTGCTTTAATTCTAAAATTCTCTGTCTACTTCATCCCCAGGTTTAAAATCTATGGTTAAATTGTATGATTGAATATACAAGGTGGTGGTGTCCCATAATGATTCTACAAGTATAATAATTTGTTTCGTTCAATATTTTAAATGTTTCTTTTTTGTATTACTAAAACCTTGTGCTATGATTCCTCTATTATATATTTGTTTAAAACAAGAATCTAAAATTATTTTTGGTAGGAAAATTGGTGAATCAATTTATATTATTTAGTAGTGGCTATTTAGACAATTTAAATTATTTTCTAAAAACTTCAAAAAATAATATCAATTATTCTCCAATTTTTCCATTCTGTGCTAAGGGAGGAAAGTATTGGTTATTAATAATGTTTATTTTTTTATACTGTACAAATTTTTAAATAAAATATATCAAATATTTCAATTAACATTAATGTATATCTAGATAAATATATTTTATTGTTGGTAATCAAAAATTTTTTGGTTTTCAGGTGAAATATTTGAATCTGCAATATCTTTTTTTGATAAGGAGGATTATTTAACTTCCCAAGAAATGTGTGTAGTACTTAATATACTGCAACCCAACAATTTGAAAGTTCTGCTCATGTTATCATCATCCTATTATATGCAGGGGAAATATGACAAATCTTTGGAAATTTTACATATAGTTCCAGAAAAATATCTTGAATGTACAAAAAAATTTAAAAAATTTGGAGCAAATCATTTAAAAAAAATTATTATCCAGAAGCCAGTAATGATTTAGTAGTATGCAAAAAAATAGATATGTTTGAATGTTGGTTAAATAATATAACATTAATCAATAAGGACAATTCTGAAACCGCTATTCACAAGGCATATGTTAATGATAAAAACATAATTTTAACCTTGATTAATACACACAATGCTTTTATTATATTAAATTGTGTTTTTTGTTGTAAGTCAGATAAAAATATTCGTAGAGACTTGAAATATTTAGACTAGAAACTTATATTTGCCTTTTCTAGCTATGATAAAACTTATTTCCTGCTGTGGCACCAAATATGTACAGGTACCTAATAGGGCCACAAATGAAATAATTATTGATACCAACCATTAATTAATTATATAATATAATAAATGTAGAATCTACTAAATATTTTTATTTTAATGTTAAGAACCTATTTTCTTCCATAAATATATCAACGATTTTATGGATATCAATATATTTAGATACACTTTTTTCATATACAAAATTGAAGTGTTATTAAACCACCATGCCTGTGACATAGAAGTTTGAAGCCAACTTTTTATTTGACCCATGGCCGAAAAACTCCTTTTACAAGTGGAGGAACTTACTGGTATTGTTAAAGCAACTTAAAGAATTTACATAAATTAAGGAAAACTTTTTGATAAAACCTTTTTAATAATATTTAAAGTTATACATTGTTTACCAGTAGACTGCAACATAATTCTTTGCAACTGTCATTTCTGATTTCAATTCAAAAGATTATGTATGTTAGATACATCAAATCCTAAATAAATATATAAAATACAGGTTTACTTTTAAAACTAGAGAGTAAGTACTAGTTAATTATCCGACACTTACTTTAATAATTTACAAAGAAAATACTTTCCTCAAAGTTTAATTTAAAAAAAATTATAACTAGCTATATGGAGGCTTTAAATAAAAAAATCAATACATACATCAAATACAAGAAAGAAAGCATTTTTCCTAAAATAATTTTTAATGGTTTCATTGTCATCAATGATTGTTGTGGAAGAGGTAGTATTCACATTTTTAAGATTTTGTAGCTTATATTATTTAAATAAAATAACTTATATGGTTATAACTTGGAAACCTGGTGTATAATGTATACACTATAGATTATGTACTTTATAGAACTTACTAGAATTTTATTATCAATGTTAGCAGTTGATAAAAATGTATATTTTATACATAGACAATAATATAAAATAGATTTTTATAAAATAAAAATGGTAAATTAATAGATATTTACTGTTTAAAAAGTTTTGTTTATTTTTACAGTTGTATGTTATATAAGTGTAGTAGAAAGACTAATATCTTCTGGAGAAACTTGAAAATGTTCTTAAATTCGCCTATGTGTCCGATACTTCAGCTTTAAAGCCTAACACACAAAGATGATTGAATTTTCTATTAAATACATTTATAATTACTCCCAAATATTGTACACTAAAATTTTAAAACTGTTCATAGAATCTTAGTACTGCTTACAAGCCAGGAAAACAAGTAAGGTAAGCTTAAAAGAAAAATACACTACAATAATATCAAGAACACATAATAAACTGTATGTATTTTTTTTATCAGATATGATAAAGTAATATTTTTGGAAAATTATGACTAAACAACAATGTCAGGATATTGTTAATACTTGTTTTTGCAGATAATATTAATGTTTAATTACATAATGTTTATAATTTGGTTTTGTAATATTTATTATCATTCCATTTTCTAACTTATATACATTTTTTCAAAAAATATATATGTACAGCCATATATGCAATTTTAATTTTAAATGATGTCTTTAAAAAATATTGTATATATAATTAATTTTGTTGATTAAATAAAATTATTTTAAGACATAATTTTGAAAATAACATAAATATAATGAATCAAAAAAAAAAAAAAAAATACAACAAAGTAAACTATTACTAGATAATTTGATAAATTTATTACATAAATAAGGTAATATATAAATAAATATAAAATAAAGATTATTTGATTGAAAAAAAAAAATTGTTAAGACTAGACCGGATTAGATTTGAACACAATAGCATATTGTAATTCATTGTGTGGTATGGACTTTAAAGATTCTTTATTTGAACCATTTTCTTGAATAGAATTTTTTTTCTTGATAGTACCATAGCCATAATGTGAGTCATCTGCTTTCCGAGCAGGCATAATAACAGTATCTGGTTTTATATTGGTTTTGTGTTTGTTGGTTATATTAATAGGATTAATTTGTCTATAACCGGGAGCTGTTTTTGATATGAAACCAAAATGTTGCAGGCGGTCATAATTTTCAGTCCCTTCATCAGAAATAAACACAGTATTACTAGCATATGAATTTTCACAATGATTCGAATCATTTAAACCCATAGTCCTCCAAGCATCATTTCTCACTTGAACATCTTCATATGCTGCATCTGAGGATTCCATTTCTTTGGTTTCACAGTGAGGTTCACTTATGGCAGGAATTATTGGTAATTTTTTGGAAAAAATTGTCTTTGGTTTTGGTTTTAAAGGGGGTGGCAGAGGAGATTCATTTGGAAATACTAATAATGGTGGATGGGGCATATGAGGTTTGGAAGAACAAGATAAACTATTTAAGTCATTGTTATCCAGAATTAAAGGAGTAATGCTTGTGGGTGATGGAGGTAAGGGGCTTCTAGAACGTGCCATCATAGATAATGCTGCTTGGAATTGATTATCACCACACATGATAGATGATGCAGAATTTTCACAACTCAATAATTTTTTCATACTTTTCATTTTTAATGAAATACAACGAAATATTTCTTGTTGATTTGAATGTTCCAAATGAAATACACCTTCCCCACTAGTACATTTGCGACCAGCTTCAAATGTAAATCTACCAGCTCTATATCCATATCTTCGAATGAATCGATATGGCCAGGTTAAAAGGAGAGTATTGTTTTCATCAGATTCTCGTAACTGAAGAGCAACAGGAGTAATTACTAATGTATAATATGTGTGTTCTTTTAAACCACAACGTTCACTTGCATCAGAAGATATTAATTTCACACTAAATACACCAGCTGTAAAAATATTTTTAAAATATTAATTACTCATATGAAAAATAATACAGATAATCAAAGAAAAAAAAAATAGTGTACCATCTCCAGATGAACAATACAAATCATTATCTTCTTCAAATGTTTGCCTTGACACATTGTCCCTAAATGCAACAGCTTGCATTGCACATATCCAATTAGTCATTTCTTGATCTGAATTTGCAGAAAAGTGATGAACACCGGTTTTAGTCCAAACCTTAATTGAAACAAGAAAATATAAAATAAATAATTATTAAAATATATACCTATAATAACCTAAAATAATAATAATAGTAATAATACTATGTATATTAATATAGGTACAAATAAAATATTTAAACAATTATTAAATACCTACATTATTTTTAAAATTGAAAGCAATATCCATAATACCAATAGATCTATACAATATTTAATATTTTAATATTGTTTATTTTAGTTTTTTTCTTTTTTTTTTTTACGACTTAAGAAGAAAAAGTATTAGATTTTGAAAAAATAGTCTGTTTAGCAAAAGCAAAATTAAATATGGTATAAATCTAGTTTAGTACCTCCTGATTTGATGTATAAACAAAATTTAGTAGTCAGATTTAGTAATAAGACTTTAGTGTAATATTATAATATAATGGGATAGTGGTAATCATTAGATGCTTATATTTTTTTTAAAAAAAATTTATATAAAATGACAAGACAAAATCAAATTGACAGTTAAATAATAATTTATTGGTTATATTTAGTTTTTGAGTTTAAATTTCATGGCATTGAGTATGATACTGCACTCCTGTCTTGTAGCAAGGTTTAATTTTACTTTCAAGATTATTTGCAACATTATCAGTTTCAAAATTCTACGGTAGATAAATTAGAAATTTGAAGTTAGTTTTGTTATGATTTTAGAAGTTTAATCATTTGGTATTATGAATTCTAAAATAATAGATTCTAAACATCTTATTTTTAGAAAATTTTGAAGTATGAAATTTGATTGATATATTTTTTAATAATGGGTTCCAAAAAATTCAAATATTAACAAACATTTTTTTTTGCTTTTTTATAGGCAACAATAAAATAAATTATTAAGGTTCTTAAATTTTTATGCTAAGTACGATAGTATATTAAATTAAATAAAATAATAAAAAAACTATCCTCTTTCGCTATATTTCACCCTAATGTGGTACCAGAAGGGGTTAAGTGAGACTTTCCAAATTTTACCCAAATTACTTACTCATGAAACTTAACAAATTCAAGGTACTGTCTTAAAAAAATAAGGACCATGCTAATCACATGCTAATACATATCATTTAAAACAAAATGATAATGGTTGAAAATTGGATCATTTAAATATCTGTTAAATTAGTAATAAACCAACAATTGAATCAACATCAAATAGAACTGCAATATTTATCATTTTAATTGTTTCTATTATTATTCTATTAGTTCGCCATAATAGTATGAACAATTTTTAACTTTATATTAATAGTTTATGTTAAATGTTTATCTTTATTTAATAGATTGCTCTTATTCTAAATAATTAAAATAATATTATACATTTTCAATGTTTGTTTAATGATAATTAATTAATCAAATGACACGAAAAAAATGTGTTTAGATTCTTTTTATCTCCCTTGCATTGATATGAATATAGATGTTTACGAACTCTGTTAACAATTAACCAAGTAATTCTGGGTATTTGATTGTGTTTAATTATTGCATTATAGTTCATTAAAATAAATCACTAAATAATAAGAAATTCATTAAACAATAAATTTATTATAAAATTAGTGGCATTAATAGATTAACTACTTAATTAAATATAAAAACATTAAAAATTCCTATTGATGATTGTTCAATTAAGTTATTCAGAAATAAAGTAAACATTTATTGTTCATATTTAATTACTACCATGAATACAATTTGTAATAAACTCATTATTAAGGATTATTATTACACATTACAGACATAATATTTTATCTAATAAATATAATATATTTACAATTTGATTAAGAATAATAATTAATAATTTTTAATAATTTGTATTTGATTTTAAATATTATAAATGTATGCTCGTTTGAATATATATATAAATTTATTTAATAATAAATTTGACCAGGGACAGAAAAAATATTAAATACATAATTTAAATTATTTATCTGAGAAAACAAAAGTATGCAATTTTAAATTGTATAACATACTACCTATACAAATAAAATACCTACACTAATTAATTTTAATTTTAAAGTATGTGCTTTGGTAAATATTAAATACAAAACAAGAATTAATTTTCTTACCGCAAACACATGTGGTTGGTGTTTTTGTGCATCTTGTGTTATTTTCACACAACTTTCTAAAGGTATAATAGATACAATAGTTGAAAATTGTTGATCTTCAACTCCATCAAATACTTCGAGGCGGTCTATACCATGTTTACTCAATTTGAATAACCGACAATAGCGTTTTTGCCATGATTTCTGAAACAAATATTTTAAAATTGAATTGATAATAAGTTAATATTCATAGATATTTATTAAGTTTTTTGAAGGTAGGTGTCACATGTTTACATATTAAAAATTAAAACACGTTTTAATAAATTTATATTACTTACACATGGAAGGAGGTGTCTAAACATCATCCTGGTTGCACCACTGTGTAGAATGTTTACATTTGTTTTTATATTTTTAAGATAAGAAATACTAATATTTTAATTTTTATAATGTACCAATTGTATAGTTAGTTATTTAATTTATCAATTCAAGTACTCCTCACTAGAAGTAGTGAGGAGTACTTGAATACAATCTTCTAATACTCATACAATCTTCCAAATTAATTGATACCTACCCTGTCTTCATATTAATTTCATAGGTATTAAATATGAAAAGGTTCTGTTACATTAAATAATATATAAATGTTGAGAAACCAGTAGATAGGTACACAATAATTGTAACAAATGATTTGTTTATATAGGTGCAAGAATTTGTTGGTGAATTTTACGATTGCGTAAGTTTGTCTCTCTTTTGGTAGCTCGATTGTGTACGATTTCTGTACCTGACCCTTAAAATTTGTACAATTGCGTACATTACATTGCGTAGATACCTTACTTCTAAACTATATTATTATGAAATAAAAAATGATAATATGTCACTGCAGTATAATATTATAGGAGGTATCTATGTTAAAATAGAATCCAGGGAAAGTCTTAAATTAATTTTTTTCAGAAAAATAATTCTATCACAAAAATACTTAACAGAAAAAAGTCTGGTTTGATTTATTATACAACCTACAGTAAAAGAAGGTAAAATAATATAGAATGCAATAAAAATACCAAAACTAATCTATATTGCAAGATAAAATATAAAATACCTATAAAAAATAAATAAATAAATATAAAATCTATAGGATGACAGGTACTGCAGAAGAAATTAATTTATTGTCCAACCTCTCAGATTTTAACATTAAAATAGGAACCTGGTTGATTTCTATGATTTTGAAATGGGGAAAGAAAATAATTTGTAGTTTTGCTTACGCAATTAATCATGATCTATCAACAAGCATCCGCTGGAAATGCTCTCAAAAAATATCTGAGTATTTTAATCACTTCAAAAGGTAAATAACAATAAACAAATAATAAATTATAATAAAACATTTATGTATTAGAGATTTCACTAACTTTCGGTTAATTGTGGATCATTCGCATGCAAGAATTTTTTATTTATACTGTCCATTGTATTTGTAAACGAAATAAATATTAACAAATTATTAGTTTTAAATTATATTAGACATTATTTTACTTTTCATTATTTATATTATTAATAAAACGAGTCTTATTATAATGAAAAAAATAATAATAATAATTATGTGTCGCTTTTTTCCGAAAATAATTAAATCGGACTTATTTTCCCGATTTTTTTTTCTACGGACTAATTGATACGCTAAGGTAACCTACCTTTAACTGCGATAGTACACCGTGGGGAGGAAACCACAAATATCCTTCTTTGTACGGGTCGTCGGATTTTGCCATTTGGTCAAATCGTTGACGGACGGCTACAGCTGAAGAAAAAGTCGCTCCGATTCTTCTGGTAATCTCTTAGCTACGATTCTGTTTATCTACAAATGATAAAAAAAAAAAATTGTTGAGCTTTCAAATAACATTCCGCGCAATTACCTAGAGTTTTGTATCGATTCAAAAATATACCTAGGTCTGTATAATATTAATATATTCTATAATGTTATCGGTTTAACACGTGTATCGGGTAGACGGATAGAAAAATAATCTTTGAACAGAGATTTCTAGTTGTCGATGTCGCTGTCAAACCACTGGCAACCTTATCAAACCGTGTGCAGTCCCGAGGCAATTGAACGCGTTCACGTAGACACAAACACGGTTACGCGCCAACGTCGAAATAATGGAACGGAGACGGCCGCCGCCGTGTCGGACAAAACGGGATGGCAGACGACGAGCGCGCGAAACGACAAAAGCGAACGATCGGCCGTCGGCGGAGAACTAGTTTCGTGTTCGTAACCACCAGTCACCACTTACGGCGGCTCAGGAGTCCGTCTTGTATACCGGCGGTGGGGGATTGCGGAGGTTCACCGCACTCCGCGCCGATAATAACACGGGCGGTAGCGAATTTCGTCCGTGATTTTTTTGTTTTAAGCCGGTTTCACACGGAGCGGTTTAACTGCACGCGCGTTGTAGGTATATTAACGATGTAAATCGGTAATATTAATTCGGTAAAGTAAAGTAAAACAAGTCGTTTATCGGGGAAATACGCCAATTACATTAATCTGCAACAGTGACAGGAAAAATTTCGAAGGGGGACTACATTGGCTGAAAATTCCGAAATTCCGCGTAAGAACTAACTGAAAACCGTACCGAACTTTCAGGATACCCGTCACGGAGACACACAACTCTTCAAAAACGTTTTCCCCTCGCACACATTTGTTCATAAAAATGGTATTATACTAATAGGATTTAAAAATAAACTGCACCTCACCCTCAAATATTATCCTACGCATCATATATGCTTGCTCGGTAAAACACAATCTAGGTATAATCTAAATAAATGTAAAAACGAATCTGCATCGTTATTTTTTTGTCCCGAAATTAACTAAATTGTTTATGAAAAAAAAAAAAAAAGCCATTTGTATAAATAACCAAAACTCATTGGCGCAATAGAAAGAACTTAGTGAGGGTAAGTTAGCCCTCCCAAAACTCATGTTATTATCAGCTAATATATTTTAAGTGAAATTTTGACGAAAATTGTAAAAGGCATAATATTTCGCATATTTTTATTGGATTTATATGGACACAACTTATCCGGCTCTATAAATATAGTGCTCAAAAATTATCTTTTTTACAGTTATCTATACATTTTAAACTATTTTTAAATTATTTATGTTTATCAAAACGTAATTAGTCGAACTTCGTTTAGAAGTTTCGGTTCTAAGAAACCTTAGAAATATTTATTTTTCAACAATGTTTTATTATTGCACACGGTCGGACTGGGAATAGTGGCGTAGCTAGATGGAAAAGGGCTCCGGGGTAATTAAAAACCTAGACCTTCTAGGTATACTATTATTGTTTATTTCTTCGAAATGATAATGGGCCCCACTAAACAGATTAACTAATATAATCTTTAAGAAAATTCGAAGTATACCTGCACGTATCAACTTTTAAGTGTAAATACTTACTATAAACCAAAAATGAAAATAATAAATAGATAATTAATAAATAAACAAAGTAAAAGGAAATCCAGTTGGCTATACAGTTTGTTATATACTATACAAATCATAACTAACATTACGGTGAACACCGTTCATTGTATATTATTGTGTACATTATTATTCTATTTAATTATATTGATCATGACTGGAATTACCACATAAGATTTAAAACATTCATAGTTGATAATTCATCAAAATTTGCAATTATTTCAAGGAAGTAATTTCAGAATTATCTAAGGCCTCCCCCCCCCGAGCATTGGGGCCCCGGTGCACTGCCCCACTTTGCCCTATGACACCACTGACTGAGAATCCAGTAAAATCGGTCCTCTATTCAGTTCACTGTGTATTTATGTATTCTACATAAACACAAAGAATATTGAGAAGGCTCTAAATCCTTTTAAACAGAACAATCCCTAAGTTAAAATAAACGCATAAGGTACCAAATCTCAGAGGTCAAATTAAAAATAAACTAGCCAAATTTTAGATTCTGAGTGAAGTGAGGGGATCTATTGATTTTACTATAATGTGTATTTTTTTTTTTCTGCTTGTAAATAACTCTTCTCCTAGTTGCCATTGGCAACTTTTTTTATTTATTTTTTGTTATTACTTTGTATTTTTTTTAAAAAAAAAAAATCATTGCTCTGAAGACGCACATTGTTGAAAAAGCAATAACTGTTGACCGAGCTCTGCTTAAAATCGTTTTTCATTAGTGGTGATTAATCGTTGCGTACAAATATAAATTAAATTCCTCTCTATATCCTACATTCCCAACTTCTCACTTATAACTGTAGTCCACTCGTAATGCAAAGTATGACGTCCATCAGTTTTTTTTTTTTATTCTGATTTTTAGATTGCATTTACGGTTTTCTCTTAGCTTGATAATCTGTACCTATTTGATGATTGTTATTAAATTGCAATATTACATCATAATATATTAACATAAATGTAAACATTTTGAAATGCAAATATGAACAAATTAAAATATTAAACTATTGTCAAGAAATATTATTTGTCAAATTATGCTTTATTAAATTATCAATATTTACTTAAACAAACTACATTTTTGTTCAATTAAATTAATAACATTTGTACGCTACATCTAAATTTCAATTTAACAATATATTTTCTTATTTTGACATAAAAATGAAAACTCTCCACCTAGATTTCTTCGATATATTAGTCCTAAGTCATAATTATTAAACTGTTTTAAAAAATTACTGTTTCATGCAATTAAATCAATTACACTACCATTCTTAACACTACACAAAATATTTTTTTTTTACTGACATAAGTAAAAAGTTTTTAAGTTTTTCTTGAGACATCATACTTTTGGGCTTGTTCAATGTATATTTAGAAAATTAAATAAATAAACAACAAACATTCACGTTTTTAACACAATATTACAGTTTAATATTTCACATACAAACATAAATAAAATGTATATATACAATCAATGGTTTTTAGAGTCAATATACAGTAACTGTACAATATGAATAATAATATGGTATTAAATGGCTTGTTATTGACTGAGTGACTAATACACTATAACAATATTATCTATCGTGTTATTTTATAGAATATCAATGTATTATTATCAACAATCGGCCCATGAATTAATTATTTTGAACGGCCAACCGAGTTTTGATCACTACTTCACCGACCCAGTCCAACTCTGTCGTTGCGTATAGATATAAATTAAATTACGTATCAGTTAAAAAAAATAAATAAGACAAATAATTATCTAAAAATATTATTTATCAAGTCTGGTGTCCATGTGTTTTAGCTATTTCACGCATTCGTGTATGAATTTTTGATTCTTAAACAAATTTCCGAGAGGAATTCGGATTCCTTGAACACCTTCTGATGAAACCAAACTTATAGCACGGCATTTACAAATTTCCCTAAGAACTTAAATATATAATTTCCATCGCAGATAATTTTAGTGAATATCCACTACGCGTCCACTTCTCCTTCCCATAAAAAGTTCCATGAGCTATAAACCAAAACCGTTCCCTAGTGTAAGAGTATTTTTCTTAAATAAAATAAAATATTTTAATAAAAAGAGTAACCCAGCGACTTCACTTTATATTGATTTAAAATTTTATATTATGTATTTATTTAAATTTAATATATTAATTTGATTCAGATTAAATGTTTAGATTGTGACACCGTCTTATTTTAAGCTTCCTTTGGGGATTACCAGGTATTGAGCCTGAGTCAAGTGCTGAAATTAGTGATTTAGTATAGTTTTCCATTTTAATAATTAGTAATTATTATTTGTTTATTCACTATTTACCGTATTTATGGTTATTTCATTACTAATCTATAATGTATAGATTATCCCTTCATATTAAACTAGTTCAGATTGGTTCGTTTCGAAAAAAAAAATAAAATGTAAACGTTCAGGTTTGTTGACGTATTAAGTAGCTATAAACACATTTTTTATTTTTCTGATAAAGCATTAGATATTACCTATATACCTGTATTTAAAAGAATAACCATAATTATAAATAATAGATATTGATAAAATGTAAAGGAGATATCTCTCTTCAATTTCTCCTTCCCTCTTAAGTGCGTCACTGCACGAACTACACGTTCACGAATGAGCGATTCATCTAAAATAATGTGTACCTATAATAAATATACTTTTTTTTTTTTATCGTTACCTACGGCTATGTATTAAATAATGTATAATATTATATTATCTTTTAATGGTACTTTTATTCCTAATATTTTTTTACCGACTCTTTTTACATTACCATAAATGCACTACATACGATATGACATGTAATATTGACCTCGAATTCCAGCTCCTATTTACACCATTGCATAATGATATTATATTGGTGCGAAACAAAATATCGTAGGTCGGCGTGTCAGGGCATTTTTAAGGAGGTTTTGTGTAATCAAATTGATACCGCATTAAAATTAAATGCATCCAAATAAGCAATAACGATCAATGTAGAGATTGATTAATATAATAGATAAGTATATTGGCATTATAAACCTATGCACCGTGTCAATAATGATATTAAATAATATTGAACTCTATGGGTATTCAATATTAATTTGAAAAGAATAAAACGCATTTCTCTTGGACAGTTTTAAATATGCACTTTAAATGTTCGACTGTTAAACACTCCACTGTATTAAACGGACTTGTATAAGCTACAAGTCAACCATAAATCGAGAGCGCCCGGAACAATATATGTCTCCTATAACTTCCGAGCCTTACTTAACATTAAAATGTAATCGGAACAATGTTCTACTAAACTTTAAAAAAAAAATCGGAGATAATTAGGCGAACACCGGTACTGGGCCCTTTCATGAAAATGCGGAGAACGTCGCGAACAAAACATGTTTTCCCGACTCCTCGAGAATTGGAAAACCCCTCGAAACATAACGACCATGTTACGGTACGTTTTACTCGATGGTAATCGTTGTTTAGCCAAGATCATATTTTATTTATTTATTCTATCGAAACCGTTCGCGTTGTTGTTTCTACCGCACGGCGCGCGCGCGCGTGTGTGTATGTGAAACCAGCTTTACAACGAAATTTCTCGTTAAAACATTGGCGTTCCGGTTTTTCGGGCCACGTCGCGTGGTCGTCCCCACCCGCCCCCGGCGCGACAGGCGGCGGCCTGAGCGGCGGACAGCGGACGGCCGCGCGGTTCAATTGTTCGAAACACGTCGTCGTCCACCCGTCGCATCGTCGTCACGTCCCCGAACGCCCGCCGCCGACGCCGCCGCCGCCGACGACGATCGCAACTCGTATTATTATTATTGTTGTTGTATGCGCGGTGCGTGGATAATTATTAATTGACGGCCGCCGTCTTCGCCGTTCTGGTACCCACCCGCCTGCGACGCATTTTTCCGATCGACACACTCTCGTTTTCAATCGTAACTATAATATTATCATTTATTATCGTTATTCGATTGTGCTATTATTGGCCGGTCGTTTGCACGGTACCTATGTATACGAGTATGTGCAACTTACATGGGCCCAGTACCCACCTCCGGGTTATATTGTCACCTATATTATCGGCTATAATACCATCATAATATAACGTTATTGTTATAGTAAATGGTACCGCGGAGTTGGAAAAACATGACGTGTTTACAATACGTCGCGTCCGTGTGACTTGTTATTGTATAACAATAAAAATAATAATAATATAATAATGATACAATATTATTCGGATTGTATGTCTCCTCCCTCCCCCTACCGACATTGACGGAAACATATTATTGCACACACATAATACGGACGTATCTCATACTATCATTATTATTACATCATACACAATGTTAAAAAGAGGATGTCGGCGAGATTTTCGTTATTGTTTGTGTATTGCGACGGATATTATATCGTTTTATTCCCAAACGAGTACATATCCATATCGCAGCTTTACGTCTGATTTAGTGTTCATGTTCAGGGGCAATGTGCATAATATATATTGCCCGGGCAATGCGAATATAACCATGTTGTTCAAGCGATTTTTAACCATTACCTATCTCTTGTGTTATACATATATTTAAAACAATTGTACACCCGAACGTATAGAGTTATTATTGCAAAGTCCGTGTGTGTCGATAAAAACCATAGGCGTTTTTGCGGGGTCAACTTTTGAAGTTCAAATGGCATTCTACATTCCATATGTCACATACAGATGCAGTGTTGGTTTGAATACGATTTCATGTAATGTAATTTCATGAAAATGTATTCAAACTTAATACTAAATCTATTTATGGAATTCCGAACACACGTAGGTTCCTATTTGAATTTCCGGAAACCCCACCTCAAAATAAAAAGAAAAAAATATGTGCAAATCATTTTAGATGTTTCAAAAACCGAAACACTTTTGTATTATACATTTTTCTTTATTTTGTATATTTGTAGGATAGAATTGCCGTGAGATAGAATTTTAAATTATATATTTCATATATATAAACGTACATTATGACTAACTTTTTTTATCGTAAAAAAATATGCCACTGTTTTTTTTTTTCAATCTCGAATACTTCTACCGCTTCGTTGAAATAATATATTACAATACGTCAATAAAAATTGATGAATAAGAATACCTAAATATTATTATACGCCGTGCTTAATTTGTGCACGCGCTCTAAGCAGTCTGGTCGCGTCGCACTTTTTTTTTTTTTTTACTATGCTCATCAATTTTAATACATGGACCGACATAATAATATACTACGGCATAAGCCGTATAGTTCGATAGTGCCCGTCGCCCCGAAAGTCCCATCGTGGTGGTGGTGGGGGGGGGTTTCCACCGGGAAATTCCCGGCTTCCCGGTACAGGCCTATCCGACCGTGGGCGCCACCGCGGTGGCGTACCCCGAGGGATTTTTCCGACGGGAAGTGCCAAACATAATATTTAACCAAATTTCTAGGGCGGTATAATAACGCGAGCGTAATATACCTATATTTATTTTGTAAAAAGCATCCATTTAAAAATCGGTAATTATCATTGTATTTTGCATAATACACAATTGTGCGGTACGTATAATAACAATTATCATTCGCACATACTGTAGTGCAGCAAATGCGCAACGATTATTAATTTATTTGAAAAAAAAAATTACCGTGTTTTCACCACGCCACGCTGCACCGGTTCGGTGTTATTATTGTTTGTTTGTGTTTTAACACGGCAAATGGTAGGGGGCCGAAGCCCCCTAAGCTCTCCCTCGCCCGCCACCAACTCCTCCCGAACGCCGGGTACGCCACCGTTGAGACGTATCCACGTTGAAAACGCATTAGGAATAAGGAGGATGTCCGTTCGATTGCCGACCACCTCTCCAACAGAATTATTATTTTTTCACCGACTCGGCCCACGTCGACGAGTCGTTTACTCGTATCTTATCCGAGTACCTGCACACACACACGCGCACACACCGCGCGTCGCGTTGTATTATGGGTACACGTATGATAAATAATAATATTACACTTCGTCTGTTCGGCTTATTATCACAAATTCTTTATTTATTTTTTTTTTCCGCACATTATATTATACGGGCAGATAAGCAGTCCGCGACGATTGTATGGGTACCCGATACATTGGTGTGTGGGGCACTTATTAACGCTATGAACTATTGCGGACGAGGAAAAAAAAAAAATCAATGAAAACCGAATACTACGAGAGTAACGCCGGTATGTTACGAGTATGATTGCTATTATCTTTTCATCGCGCGTCCTGTACAAACGCGTGATTTTCTGTATTGCACCGTGTTGGGCGTACGATTCGCGTATGTCCCGGCGATCGTGCGTCGGGTACAGTTTCGTTATAATCGACGTGTGCGTGCGCCAGTTTTTTTATTTTTTTTTTTTTTCTTCTGTCGCACGGGTGTACCACCTACCTTCAAACAGTTCGAACGGTATAATCCCCGGCGTCGTCTGTATCGTAAAATACGTTTTACGGCATTGCACGGCGACAACGTGCACAACGACGTGCGGCCGAGACACACGCGCGCGCGCACACGGTAACAATAACGCGGACTGTCTCCACGCGGGTTGTATCGCGCGGCGATACACTGTCGCACGGTTCACCGAGAGCGATTGGAAAATCGCGCACGATACGAAAACTGTACGCGTATGTCCCACGCGCGTCGATCGCGTTAGAGTTGTACACGTTGTACCTGCACGCAGTGTTGTAGGCGTCGGCGAAATCGACGACAATGCGAAGGGGACAGGGGCGAATTCTTCGATAGTGTCGATACGCGTTTCAAATCGAGTACTGCCGCACAGTAATTCCGCATCTTTAGAACGAAATAACCGTTTGTTATATAGAATTAGCAATTTAACATTAAGGTGTCTATCGTTTATCAGCCATCCAGCTGGATTTGAGGTTGAGAATAATGTGCAGTGCTTATGCGGATTAAACGTCTTATATGAATAATAACATTTCTAGAAATCGGCAATAGATCAACATTATTAAAAAGAGAAAAGTTATTATTAATTTTAAATACAATTATAAAATAATCACGTGGAAAACAAGATATAGGTGCCATAATAAAGTAAACTGAAACATCATTATAAATATATAAATATAAAAATTTCTCATTGTTCACATAATTCAATACTTTATTTAGATATCTGTTTACATTAGTTCTTAGATATTTTTCTATATATCTATTGAGACACTTCGTAAAAACATTTTGAAGCATTTGCCTAACAGAAAAAAAATTGTCAAATAACGTAACATCAAAATGAGAAAATCCGGATATCTTCCCCGGTAAAACTTGAAAAATCAGAGGATTTTTACCAGCTGTAAAAGCGTTTTCCGATAAAACAAAAAAAAAAAAACTAGATTTTTCGTAATACTCAATTGACTGAATCTAAAATTGATCTCAACACGTTTCATTTCTTTAGATGGGGCTAATTGTAAGTAATTATGGCTGGTATAAAATATGTATGTATTTTAAATATCTCGCACTACTCCGAAACGGCATGACCGATTTTAATGTAATTTTTTTTTTGTATATTTGGTAAGTATGAGAATAGGTCGTAAAGTATTTTTCACCCTCCTAACGCCATTCACCGTTTCTTAATCGTGATTTTAGAATTTTAATTCGGTTTTCAGGTATTATTAAATTATTTGTTTTTATGGATTACCTTAGTCACACGGATGAAATGAAAAAGAAAAATGTAAAAGTTTGGTCACAAAACGTATCTATGGTAATTAACATAAATACAAATAGTTCTAAAAATCTATTGCCATATTGTTTTATGCAATAAAATGTAATGTTATAAACAGTCGTCACGTAATTTCATCAGTAAGACAGTAAGCACAACAAGTTTGTTTATTTGTGTGAGTGTATGTGTGTGTGTTACAATAAACACAAAACGCAAATGGGCCCATTTGGGCCGTCGAGTGAATAAAGCAACACACATGCGAAATAGTAGAGCAGAAAGAACACACGGCAAATCCAACAAGATAACGAAAATGTAGATGCGAGTATGTCGCCATTGCGTGTATCTCAATCACAAGAGGCACGAGCTGAACGTAATGAACAACGATTGGAGCAAAGACGAGCGCGCCGTGTCTTAGTGAACATACGCAAAGCAAATGAAAGACAACGCCGGCGTCGAGCATTTACGTCCGATTAGTTTCTTTGTCTGGCATTCAAGTATGAGCCAGATATTGAATATTACGCTCATTCGAAAGTGACGATTGGTGTTACGGACAAGGAATGTCATGCGCTTAAATTCGAAAATGAGCCAGTCTGGATGTGAGGCGCGTCGGGAAAATTGTAACTATCAGTAATAGAAAAACCACTAGAACCGTTGAATCATCAGCCTGCTCATCGGCACGGATGTTAGAACAGAAAACTAATAGTCCGCCGAAGGTGGACTACCCTTTTTCCACCTGTTTATTTTTATTTGTTATTATTCATTACGGACACGGTAAAAACCAAAAAGGAGGAATATGGGTAAAAAATGGCACGGAGCAACGCTGGGCAGAACAGATAGTTAATAATAATATAAAAAAATATGCGTAATACATAATAATATGTTATATGCATCATGGATAGACTGCTGTTGTAGGTAGAAAGTTTCTAAGGTATAGGAAATAAAGTAATTTAGTTTACATACTGAAAGTCTGAAAGCTACGATAAATCATTATAACCACCAAATGATTTTTAGAGCAGTTCGGTATTGCATAAAGTAACTATATTGCACACTGCACTGAAAAATTATATTTTTTATTAAACAAATATAATATATACAGCCATATCTCGTGCAGGTTACATTGTAATATTTTCACTCGAGATTAACATTAGTTTACAGGATAGTTATAGGTACGTAATAAAGGTTAATGAAATATAAACATTAAAATACTGACCTGATTAGTTAGGTAGTCCTATATTACCTATATGTATAATATTATGTTATGTACTTACTATAAAAAAAAAAAATAAACGTTTTAAAAATGTAATTGAATATAGCCGATATATTAGGTAGGACAGGTAGGTACTATAAAGATTGAAGAACTAATTATGTTCATATATTTGCTTGATTAATATTAATTCAATAAATACCTATTTTTATAACTAGTTATTTTTCAATCTTCAGAAATAATTATAATATAATATACCTACTATCGATAATAATACAAATATCTAGTTATATTATAATATTATTAATATATTAATGAATTTACATAAGTAAATGGATTAGCAATTAGTAATTACTAATTATATTTGATTGTTACAACTGTACTTACAAGTTGTAACTAATGTTTAACATTTTTCAGTAGATTTTATTAAAATAATTTTGACTAGTTTGTACCTAAATATAATCCATATAATGTATCGCTATTATAATAATACATTTAAATTATCATTTACTTTCAGACTTCAGACTAGTGGACAATGTACATATACTTATAATTTAAACAATTGGATATTCGAAAAAGTAGACTGTCTTCACTATAATTGTTTATTCATTTAATTAAATGTTGAAACAAATTTTAAGTTTATTAATTAAATATGTTTATTTTGTATTTTTAAAATTTGGGTTTACTCTTTTTTTTTTTTATTTATTATCATCACAAATAAGGTTTACAATAACTGTAAATTGATTATAACTCAGAAAACTGTTTTAAGTAATAACAATTATCCAGTTTAATAGTGCTCAAATTGAGAGGGGCATGAATACATGAGTGGACTGCAGTGTCTTCTTTAGTTCTTTTATAGATTTTAGCGTACCCCATAATTTAATTAACCTAGGAATGATTACTAAAAAATTTGGTAGCAAAATAAACACAAGAAAAGTATCATATAAAATAATGATGTGAATTTATTTAAAATTTCATGAAATGTATTCAAATCTGCAGATTATGGTCAACTTTTCAATTTGTTCAAACTTTATAAAAATATATATTTCTATAATATTATATTTCCTAAAATGTTGATACAGTGTGCTAGGTAACTATACCATTACTTAATGCGCTGCCATTATACATTTTAAAATATCGCTTTACCACATTACGTGTATTTGACACCTCTCCAAATTTTGAAATGAAAAATTAATATACCGTGCAATTAGGTGATATAGTAAAGAATTTGGGGCAGATATTTTTACTTGTAATAATTACTATTTTGCAAAATAGGTAATGTAAAATTCTATGTGTAAACATCACATTGTGCTTTTGCTCCACTACTCTCCCCCCCCCCCTATCAAAAGAATAACATCTAAATATCTTCTTTTTTTTTAATATATATAATTGAAGAAAATCCCAACAATTTGGGTACATATATTATAATTATTATTATAAAGAGGAAAGATTTATATTTTTGTTTGTTTATCACAAATAAACTTAATAACTATTTAATGAATTTTAAAACTTCTTTAGGTGTTTTTGGTGGTACAAAAATTAAATTACTTTTGTTGAATTATGTATAACTATAAAAGTTAAAAATAATAAAAATAACAGAAATAAAAATTTCATAACAACTGACAACTTAAAATAAAGTCTGTCTGACTATCTGGCGGTCTAATATTGGCTTGAAATTAAATGGGCTACCATGGTAACACGGATGAAGAAAAAAACAAAAAATTATGCGCTGTACTGGGTAAGTGAAAAGTGAAAATACATAGGTCTTTGAATCTTTGTATTTTTTGGTATATTAATAACACTAGAATATACTATTACCTATGCCCTCATAATTTTAGTTTTAGTATAGTGGATTTAATATAGTTTAATCCCTATGCTGTGCTAGTATCTATGGAGACATGAATGAAAAAAAGTATGATACACTTAAGAACACACTTTTAGTCCATCAGACTACCCAACCTATTTTCTTTCATTCAATATAATTTGCACAGGAAAAACTGGCGCAGGACAGTTAGTATAATAAAAAAAAGAATGGAACAAGTTCACTTTATTAGGCATCCATTATTTTTCAATTTTTTTTGAAAACATGTTTTAACTGTTTGAAATTTTTTGCAGATATTATTATTAAACAAGTAATGGAAATTTGATGTTGGTTGTTAATATGGTTTTAACTTTTATTTTCATCTTTGTGAACATCAGTTTTGTACTCTTCATCATTCTCTATATTGTATAAAACACCTGCATTTTTAAAAAACTCCAGTCAGATCCACTTGTAATACACAGCACTTCTTTAAAAACATATACTTTGATAAATATCCTCTATAAAACTCTTTTTGTCATCTATAGTTGGGCATTGATACCTTTGAGTGACACCTTGTACTCTCAATGCTATTTGTATGAACATAACAGGTTTCTGGATCTTTGAAATTAAGAGTCTGATTAACCTTAAGGTGAACATATCCTTCATTTTCGAAACAATCATAGGCCTAAAATAGATTATACATTTTGAAAAAAGTTTTATCTAAATTTTGTTAAACTTTGATTAGTTACCTTTTAAAAATGAGAAATAATTGTGGTATCCGACTTAATATACTCTTTAATAATTTCTAATAAAGTGGCAGATGATCTCTCTTCTACAGGGATAAGAAAACAAGAACCAGTTTCCCTATGATATTCTCCAAATTATGAGTCAGAAATTTTATTTATTTTTTATTTTTCACAAAATTTGTATTTTTCTTTTAATCTGTTTAGGCGTTAATTGACATACATTTTTTTGGTATTTTGCCAGTTCCTGAAACATATAATACTCATTTTTATAAGTTTTTAATTGTAATTTTATTAATTATTAACTGAATTTTTAATTGAAATTCTAAAATATTTATAATACAATATAATATGTTTAGATGTATTAACTCGCATAAAATATAGTTTCATTAATACAGATGTAACTGAAAATATTTATTTACATTGTTGTAATCTTTAATATAAGATTTTAACAACAAGATTAATGTATATTTAATATTAATATTGAAAAATATATAATGAACACCACAAACCAAATTACCAAAATTAATTTTTTTTTTTTATATATATATATATTATGCTTTATTTGTATACTATAGTGCATATTATACTAGGTATAAATTATAGTGCAGTTAAAACATTTAAACTAGTAGTTTAAGGATTTCAAATTTTTGATTGTTTAAAACCAGTTTAAGAATGAAACATTTAAACACAACTAATATTAGATTATCATAATATTGATATATCAGATTTCCACCAATTTGTATTATTATACTCAGTTTATGTAATAACTTTACTGGATCCATTATGATAATGAAAATGTAACTATGATACCTATTATTTGTGTATTATGTTTAATGAAATAAAATTGTAATATAATAAATAAATAATAATCGTAAATAATAATTATATTGTTGTTATTGTTAATTCTAAAAATTACTCATAACACCATGGTTGAGAGAATATTAATACACACATACAATACAGGTAAATATAGGTAACAAAAGCAATTTTACACATAAATTACATAAATAATTTTAAATACTTTTTTTTTGTCATGTTATAATTATTGGGAAGACATCGTCTCAAAGTTTTTCCTAATGCATCACCCCTGGTTACTCATTAATAGAAACTTGTTTGTTTTCATAAAATACTAATCCCCCCAAAAATAAAATAAAATGATAAATTATATAAATAAATTATTTTAAATATTTGAGATAATACAAAATGATTATAAGTATTTGTAAATAGTTATAAACTATTCTGAAACATTTTAAATGTACCAAATAAAATTTAGTAATTTATTTACTAATAAACCATTAATATTATTTTTAAAAACTAAGCACTTAACCTTATAATTGTTACCATTTATTTCCAAAAGTGATGTCATATTTTGTTATGTCTGGAGTTAATTTCATATTGTTTTTCTTAATTCCTGTTTGTTTACTTGCTTGTTCTTCGAGTTGAATAGCACCATGCAATTTTGTTGGTTTTTTTTTAATCTAAAGATGAAAAGTTTAAATGAATAGATTTCACTTCTGTTTTTTTATACAGTTTTAATATATTTTTTTACTGACCTTTATATTTTTAATTTTTTCTCCTTTTACTTGTGGTTGAATGTTAATGAAAACAAAAAATGGATCAACTTGGATTGTTTATTAGACCAAAATCATTTTAATTTTTAGCAGCTGATTTTTTATGAATGAACTAAATTAAATTAGAAAAAATCAGTGATTAATCAAACTAATTAAAAAATAATTTAAGTATTATACTTTATTAAATATAAATACCTGGCGCATATATAATTAAGTTTCTATTGGGAATTTTATTTATTTTCTCAAATATAATAAAAACAAGTGGGTGATGCCAAATTGGGTGCATAATGCATATATCTTAAATTAAATACATATAGGTAGGCAAAGAAAGAATGGTTCAACTACAACTGCACTTCGAAGAAAGACTTTCAAACTTTAATCTCAAAAGGCACTCACAATCAAACGTTTTGGATACTTTTTGTTACAAGTTTCTGTATTTTATATTACCAGATAGTAAAAAAAAGTAAAAACAGTTTATATCACTAATAAAATAAACGGTTTTTATCATGAACTCATAATAGGTTCTTATCATTTAATATATATACCTAGGTTTTATGATTTAATGTGAACATAACACAGATATAGGTAATAAATTGGAATCTAATTTTCTGGTTAGTATAATCACGGTCTTGGATTATCTTATATCTTAAGTCTTATCTTAAATTTACAAGCTGGCCAGGCAACGCTGCTCTTTTGTGTTGTTGGTTGTGGGTTCTGCAATGTTATCATACCTACGTGAGCTCGTAAAATATATGATTATTATTATGTTGTACAACAAATATATATTATAAACAAAAAAAAATCTTGTTGATAATAATTGATAACGTTAACCGTGAATAACAACGTTAATCGGCTAAATTCGGGCGATTAGTTCTTAATCGTGATTAAGCAGCGATTACGCTAACCGGACTTGGTGAAATCCAAAATCTCCGGTTAGCTGCGTTAATCGTGATCGTTAACCATGATTAAATTAGTTTGTGAAATCAAGTCTAGTCGTCATAAAGCCACTCGACAACATATAACTTTACAAATAACTATCCAATCTATAGTACTGTAATCTTGGGATTCTTAATAATCATGGTTGGTGTCACTGTGTGAACGCCTGGGTCGTGCGCGTACCAGCTCGAATGAGTGTAATCGATTCTGAACCCAACGCCATCAATCGCTACCGTTGCCGCAGTTATTCAATTTTATCACTATCAATGCAAATAGTTTTTTGTTGACATTTTTTGTATTTTCTGTTCTTATGTACCTATATAATTCAACGCGTTTTATGAAAATTGTGGCTACAGTTATAAATCTTGTAATCAATGTGACCTCAAGTAATAAATAATTTTACATTTTTATTCATTTATTGAATTGTAATTTCACATTTTTAATTATTAACTCCTTAGTAGATATTTTTACTGAAAGTACACTAAGTAGATATTTTTTTACTAGATTAAGGAGAGAATGTAAACCCCTATTTCTATTAGAATACTTAAGTTTTTCATTGTTTTGTTTATTTTATTTTAGAGAACTGTAGCCTGTAATAATCGTGATAAGGATTACATTTACAGTTCAGATTTAGTGCTCGATTATTTTGGTACAGAGGTATTATGGCATCAACATCCAAATATTCAATTCCAAATGAACATAATTATAGTAGATCATCAAAACAAAAAAACATTAAACAAGATAAAAACAAAGATGGACCAAACAACATAAATCTTCCTGAGGCTAAAGTTAAAAAAATGGTTTGTTATTGTTAATTATAATTATAGGTACGGTAATATATTTGTATATAATTCTTGTTTATTCTCACTCTTATAGGTCAAGAACAATGTTAAAATTCCAATAGTAAAATCTGTAGCTGAACAAAATGACTCTTTGTTTGGTAGATTAAAAACAAATAAAGATTTAATTACTTTACCAGAAAATTGGTTTTGTGAAGTATCCAAGAATAGTATACAACTTCCAATTTCTGTAACTTTCTTCACACTAAATAATTCATGCTTCACTAAAAAAAGATATCTAGAAAAACAGTTGGTGATAAACCTAGGTACAGTACTAATTTAATTTATCATCAATTTAGAACAAGTCTAATTTACTGAATATCCTTTGTTTCCATTTTTTTTTTTTTTTAAATAAGTGTTTGATACTGATTTTGGGATTGTTTGAATTTTTTTGTGGAAATTATTTAAGAAGTTAGGGAAGTTTGAAGTTTGTCATATAAGCATTAGAAGTGCACCTAGAGACCTAGCGAAGTCACTCATTTGCTGTGCTCACTTGTATTGTTTTAAATGAAAATCCCCCTTGATTTGTTGTGCAATAACCTAATCTAACTTAACAGGGAATAAAATTGATTGGGGGGGGGGTGAGCCTCTGAGCAAAATTAAATTGTTTAAATTACATATAGAGATTATATGCGTGTTTTTCTACAAAAACTGTAATAACAACAAACTTCTAACTTTCATAATTTCTTTAATAATGGTTTCTGCAAAAAAATTCAAACAGTTCTGAAATCAGTGTCGAAAAAAATTGGTATACTATATGATAATATCATAAATTTAAATGTTGTAGGTACATAGGTGTATTATATAATTAAGATTTATTTAAAATCATAAGTATATAATATTCCTTAAAATTAAATAAACAGGTATTGATTTTTTTTATAAGTATTTTTAATTTGCCCAGCAATAATTCTGTATCTTTTTTTTAAAATACAAATATTTAAATTTTAAATGTAGTGATAAACTTATAAATGCATTGAATGTATTTGAACTCACAATGAAAGTGATGTCATATGTGATCTACCAAATTCATTTTTCTACCAGAGTTCTAAATGAAACAGTATTGAATTCTTGCGTTTATAAATTTATTTTAATTTTAATAAATATGTATTAACTATTATATTAGACAAAAAAAAAAAAAATTAAAGTTAAAAGATTGTAATTATTTTTACATTTTATCTAAAATTAAAAATATCTATTTCAAGTTTTTAAGAAGTCTTTAAATATTCTTGTATTAATTCTTCTATAATAAATTATAATAGTATTGGATAAGAACAAAAAAAAAATTTGAATAGAATAAAATATTTCCAGTTCTCTATATCAGTAATTCTCAAACTGAGGGTCGCCAATATATAAATTTGTTGTTTAAATATATGCATATAAATTATAAACTTTATTCGAGCCAGTGCAATAAGTAAATACTAGTATTTTTAAAGTAATGTATGGTAAAATGGGTTCAGGTTAAACAAGTTTGATACTATATTCATATGGGGAAAAGTCTTAACTTGTTTATTTGACTATAAAACCAAAATAAAAATATTTTTGAATAATATAGAATTACCCCTTGGTGATTATTTTGAAAATAATAGTTAGCAAACCTAGCTTTTTTTTTTTTTTTTGATATATTTTTTATTCTTAATGATTAAAATTAGAGTTTACAAGAGATATTAATTTCCAAAAACTTTTTAAGTTGTGAAATATTACATATTTTGTATGCTCACAATTTTCAAATGATTTATTTAATTTTTCCTTGAAATATTGTAAAATTTAATAATAAACCTATAGGTTTATTAAAATCTAGTTAAAAAAAATGTTATTTTTAACAAACTTTAAAAATTTTTTAAAATTTAATGATATAATCTAATTAATAGTTTTAAAAATCAACTTCTTTTCTTCTTAGGTACTCTCAGTCATTAGGACTATCCTGACATACATCCTTGTCTCCAGTTCTCTTTATCCAATGCCTGTATTTTCCAGCCTAAACCTCCTAATGCTTTCATATCATCACTTACTATATCTCAAATGTGACCTTCCTAGTAGTCCTTTCCCAGTAGGATTTTCTTCTATTATTATGCAGTGGGTTTTAGCTATGCTAAGCATATCCAGCCAATTGTACTCTTTTATTCTTCACCATTTCCATATACTGAGTTTATGAAAGAGAATTTCTAATTCATCTTATTTTTTTATTTCTCTTATTTCTTATACTTTCTTCTTATTTTTTTTATTATTTTCTTATTCTCTACTCACAATTTAAACAAGCTCAAAAAATGTTCGCAGTATTTTCTTCCATCACTTTTTTTTAATGGCTATGTCTCAGTTCTCAGCCCCATAAGCTAATACAGGTTATATAAATGTTATATATAATTATATTTTTAAATTCTTTGATAGTAATTGTGATCCCGATAATTTCGAAAAACCATAGAGACATTAATTACCTGACTGAATTCTTGTCTCTATTTCGTTTTTGATTTCATTTCTTTCTGATGGTGTAGTCCCTAGGTATTAGACTTAGATAATACATACTGAATAGATCTACAGCATAGCTGTGCTTAAAGCAGACCTGTTCAGTCTGATATATTTACTGCACATGTGTCAGAAACGAAATAGATAGCACATGGATGGTGTAAGAATCATAATCATTGTTTGTGCATGTGTAATTGTAACATAATTGAAGTTATATACATTATTACTCTATGGTTTATACCTAATATCACAACAACTTTTTTTTAATGTTGTGTGCATGTATAGTAATGACATTGGGAGCCCATTTGTTATACTTCAAAATTTTAAATCAGCTCTATCCAATATATATTATAATTTGTTTTGTTCTTTTGAAATTTTATTTGTTCATAGTTGGGTATGATTTAATGGTCTCCTCTTCCTATAAACATATTTTCTGCTTTGTCCTCATTAATTTGAAATTCAACTTTCAGTACTGCTTTCTCCAGCTGACATAACAAAGATTTTAATTAGTCTTGTCTCTTCCATGATCATCTGCATAATAAGCTAGCAGTCCTATGGATAATTTCTGGAATTTTGTACACCAAAAACTTTATTACTTTCTCTACCATAAGGTTGGTGACATAGCGTCTCTCTGTCTAAATCCTGATTTAACTAATATTGTGTTTATATTTCCAACCTAAATTTTTACTAATGTTTTTAAATTGCTTATTTCAATCAGTTTAATATGCTTGTCCTGGAAATGAAATTCCCTTATAATATTGATTAGGCTCTCTGTGTTTGCTATCTATCATGTATTCTTAACATCCCTAAAAAGTATATGTATATCTATATTGAATCCTTAGGTTTTTTGATATATTTGCCTTAAAATAAATATCTGGTCTGTAGTTGACCTTCTTGGCCTGAAGCCACATTGGTAATTGTTTATAACTTGTTCAGATTTTTATTTTATTTATAAGCCACATTTAAGAGAGTTATCCCATGATAGTTATTACAGTTTTGTTTACTTCCTTTTTTTATGTATTAAATAAATTACCGATGTCTTTCATTCTTTTGGTATTTTTTCTATTGTCTAAATCTCATGAATTACCTTCCATAACCACAAAATCATATCTTCTCCCCCTTCCTTTAGAAGCTCTGACTGAATGTCATCTTCCCCAGGAGATTTATTATTTTTAGTATATTTATCTCAATCTGTGATTTTATTTCCGCCAAGAACAGTTCTTCACAGTTTTAACAACTTATCAAATTAATTACTCCATTTCTTTTTCAGCATTTCATTTATAACTCTGGGAGCTATCATTATTATTTAGAAATCTTTCTTTTTGTATTCATCTCTGAATCCATTTACTCGCATATAAATCCCTTCGCTTAACATATCCCTAGTTCTGTATGCTTTATAGTTGAGTTTCTAATTTATTTTGAATGTATTTTCCCTTTTCGTATCATTATACTGCTGACTTCATGTTTGGTGTCATTTAACCATTCTTGTTTTGCTAGTGCTTTACTTATATTTTCTTTAACATTTTCCTATGTTTTACCTACATTCCCTTCCATACCTAGCTGCTTACTTTTAATAATACTGTGAAAACATTTTGCATACTCTTTACATAATGGTTTATCCACTAACTTAGCTATACCATTTTATCTACTCTATTTGTTAAGATTACATTTTTTATACAATGGATTCCGTTGAATGTGGGCAGAAGTAACTGGTTCCAACATGCCCACATTAAACTGACTCCACTATATTTCATACTACATCAACAATTTGTTTAAAACTGTTATATTAAATTTTATTAAAAAAAATCTAAATTTATTTATTTTTGTTTTATAATAATACAATATTTAAACTACAATGCAGAGTTCAAGCAATTATAACAACAACAACAACAAAAAAAAAAAAATTACATTTGCTAAATATTTGTCCTATTATGCCTTGTATGATATATATTACTTATTTAATATTATGTACTAACTAATTATACATTTTAAATGTGTACCTTTGTTTTAGATTCTGAAATAACTTTTGTTGTGAATGGAAAAAATTTAATTCCATCAGAATTCGGTTTGAAAACGTACACTAAACCTATTGATATTGAAAGTTTACAAAGTTTCATTCAGGAATTTGACAGTATTAATATCTGTCAAGGAATGACAAAACAAAATGTAACACTTGTTAAATTAAGAGTAATTGAGTCTAATGAGCGCTGGTGGCATCCAAATTGTTCAAATACTCCAGCAAAGAAAAGGTATAAACTTAGAATATTGTATACAATTGTTGATTTTGACTCAGTTTTTGTATATGTGTAAAACATATTATAAAAATAATAAAATGTTTTTTATATTTTAGCTTTCTTTGTTATTCTTGTAAGATATTGAACTCTATTATATTGCAAGTAATTGGTCAACAGAGAAATCATCAGCAAAAACCTCTGCCTATAGACAGTTCTATTCCCTCAATAAAGAAAAGTAATATAATAGAACCAAATCAAATTCAAATTAAAAGGGAAATTCCAGCCAAAGTAAGGAAAATTATCAAAACAACTCATACATCAATACATGAACATGGATCAGAATCAGAAGACTCAATATGATGGCATAACAAAATAACAATATGTCAGTGAACTGTTTATGTATGAATAAATCTAAAATCAGTCACTCCACTGCTGTGGTATAAATATTGCAAACATTTCTGTACAGGTATGAACATGTTCAATATAAGTGTTGACAGTGAGAGCAGTTTACCATCTACTGTTTTGATTAAATATAAACTTAACTTATATATTCAGATGGAACATTCAGTATGTTAACAATAACTCGGATTTTGTAGCACTAAAAAGTAGTAGTGAAATATATTCTAAATGTAATGACTGAAAAAAAACTTTTATGTAAAAATAATGATTGACAATTTTTTTTATTTTGTATTAATAATGTTTTAGTAATTTTAAATGAGTAAATTATAAATTGATGTATAATTAATTGGTTACTAAATAAAACTTTAATGTAACTATTCAAAATTATCACACATAAATCGTTACTTTTTTTCTAATATTTTTATTCTAATTAAACAATATTTTTGATAAACACAAAATAAATTTTACTTAATGCGTATTAGCAACAAATAGTACCAAAAATTGAAAAATTCTTAAATATATTTTAATATTAAATTGTATATTAATTGTATCCCATTTCAATTAGCAAATGTTAAAGAATCCGAAACATAATAGTTTATGAAAGTGGATAGAGAGTTCTTGAAGGATTAAATGAAAAACCAAAGTCAGACTTTCCTCACCTATCTGAATCTTTAGAATAATGCTCTGTCTAAATTTATAAGCGTATAGATGTGTATCAGTTTGTGTGCAACAGGTCCATTAACTTATTTTTATCAGGTGTTTGCTTGCTGAAGTAATTTTAGTTGCTTTTTTAATAGGTTATTTGAAGTTTTGAATAATTATTATCATAATAATAAGCTATTAAAATTCTGTCAAATATTTTGAACAAATTGTTATTGAATATTGACTTTTGTTGGTTACATCATTTATATTTATTAATATGTTATTATATTTTTAATTTTTGCTAATTTTTAAAATTGCACAATATATGTTTATTATTTGGTTTCGATCAAAATAAAAGAAAACATTTTTTCTTTCAAAAATGAATGGTTGAAATTCCTCTCAGTTAAAGATCTATAATAATTTATTGTCAACTTTTTTTTTATTTTCTGAACTAATGCCTAATGTAGTACATCCTAATTTTTCTGCAAAGAAACTATTATAATTTAATTTCAATACTGTAAAGTTATGATACCTCATAGTACGCATCTACAGACATGCCACATTAGTTTACTAGTTGGTAGATGGAATTGATTCTTATGTCAAACACAACATTGCATATAACTGGGAGGTGTCTAATCACTACTATGTACATTTGCTTTTTACTGTATGTTCCTATATTATTTCTTTTTGTGTCAAAATGGCCATTTAAATGTTCATCTCTTAGTGTGTTTATTCAATGCTACTCTTGCCAAATTCTTAATCTAATTGTAATTTAGAATTAATTTTTATTTCTATTTAACCTATTTAAAAACATAATATATATTCATTAATATAAGTAAAATACACTTGTTGTTTAACAGAGGACTGCTGTTTACTAAATGATTTGCTGTGTGCATAGGGATCCATATCAAGACTGTGCTATCAAAAAAAAATGAACAGCAGGGTTGAAATTTAAATTATGCTTCAGTGTGTCTGTAGATGAGTATAGGAATTATACCTTAAGAAATGTTAAGTTAAGTAGTTTTTACAAATAATAATTATGTGTATAAAAATATAAAATATAAGTATTCATAGATATTGTATATATATAAAAAAAAGAAAAAATTATTGGCCCATTCTTTAAGATGTAAAAACTTGCATCCCTTTGTATCTGAAATTGTCATTAGTTTATATTATTAACAATCAGAATCCAATATATTATATTAATTTATTTAAATATTTAATGTGTAAAATATTTGTTTAAAATATTTATTTATTTAAAATATCTGCTGTTTGTTTTTTATTAGTTTTGTTTGAATAAATTATTACATTTAAGGATTTATATTTAGATCCTGAGAACAATTTTATAGTGTTGAAAATTCTTTTTCACTTCAGCTTTACTTAAAAGTTTTTGAATTTAATACAACTGCATATATTTTAGTATTTAAACAATGTTCAATCTTAAAATAGTACACTGGGTGTTAACAATTAAATATTAATATTGTCAACATTTTATTTTGATGAGTTAAAATGTTAAGAAATCAGTTTATAATATTTATAATTTGATTTCATTTATAGAATGTATTTAATAAGGTAACAGTATCAAAACATAATAAAATAAACATTTAATTAATTGTATGAATTAATTTGGACTTAAATCTACCTCTAAATCGCTTCAAAAATTTTTCTTATCTAAAAAAATATTTGGGTATATCTAAAATTGTTTGTAGAAAATGAAGACCCTATAAATTCCTTCTAGCATAAAAATAAAGTTTTAAGCCATCCTTAAAGTATTAACTGTTGGATCTATAAATATAAGTAGAGGTAAATAAAAAAGTATTGTCAAAAAAAATATTGATAGTTGAGAACATTTAAAAAGTTTAATAAAATAAGTGGTCTTGTTATTTGGATTTAATAAGAAAAAAAAGTTTTAATTTATAATAAAATTAAAAAATAATTTTAATATTGTCAATTATTTCACTGATTTTAGGTATAATCTTTTCTGTTATTAATAACATGATATTATTTGACATAATACAAGTGAATCAACATAAAGAATGTCCAGTCTTAATTTCAAATAACTTGCATTGTTTTTACTGTGGAAGAATTATATCAAAAAGTAAAAAATAATTAATGATTTTACAAGAAAAAATAATCATTGTAGAAAACAGAAAAATTATTTTGAAAAAATTCGAAATTTTTTAAAACAAAATTTAATTCAATCTAATTACACCGATATTTCTCAAATGAATATAAATGGAAAAACTAGGTGAATTTAAATAAGTTCCCTACAAACCACAATACTAGACATGTTTGTAGTAGCAAAAGTAATGTAGTCTTTAAACAAATATTAAAATTATTAATTTTTTTTATAACCCAGTTGGTAATTATAAAATTAGGTACTATTCAAATGAGTAGGTGCTACTGGCCATAATGTTAAATGTGATGATTTTGAAATATTTAAAATATGGTCATACTTATAAAGCCCTTGTAAGTTTTGGTGAAGATTTCAAGACAAGTGATATAAATAAAATGTCATTAACTTGTCTAGTTTTTATGTTTCAGCCAAATATTTTCGACTTAATCTGTAGTAAATTTGTGTCAAAAGGCCAAGTCAAAGGTACTAAGTATTTAATTTTTTTCATCGAAATTAGTAAAACAAATTATACACAACATATTATTTTAAATTTATACTGAAAAAGGAAAATATAATGTTTTGTTATTTATGTTAAGGTACTTATTGATAATTTGACAAAAATAGTTATTAAAGCTATACTTAATGCTTTTGGCAAATGTTAGTGTTGGAGTTGTTTGTCCATCTACAGATATGGCTACAAACAATAAAAAAATGTGGAATAATTTAGCAGTAAAAAGTCTAAGAAATTTATTTTTAAAGTATTTTTTACTTAATATCATTGATTATGATATCAATTATAATATCAAATATGTATAATTGTAAAATTGATATACGTATAGTTTATGAACCACTTTACGTAATTTTTGGTTAAAATCAAAATGTTTACATTTTTAAATCATTTAGTCACTTTTTTCACAACAGTGACAGTATAATATGCCATATTGTAATTTGCTGGTCCAAATGATTATTTTTCTACACTAACTAAAATAATGTGATCATTTATTCATTTACACTTCTATTATGATCAATTTACCTATACCTTATTTATCATATATCAGTATAAAAATGTAAATTAAAAAAAAAAAACAGTACATTACTGGTATTTTGTATCATACAGGATTCTGTTCATGGGTGACCACTATTGTTGGTGGGAAGTTAGGAATGTAATTTAATTTATACGCACTGATAAATCACACTTAAAGAAGAATGATTCTGAATCAAATCATATTTTGATAAACTTACAATTAAAAATAATATTAATTTGTAACTAAAATGTGATCTAGGCACACACCAGGCAAAATTTGATACTAAAAACTACCTCAGAAAGTTTATTAGAGAAAGATTTCTGGTAGAGAAATTGTTAACATAAAAAATAAATTTAAAAACTCTTAACCAATACATTATTTGTTACATTCAGAATTTAATAAATAGGTAGGTACCTAAGTATTATTTATATATATATATATTAAATATCGTACTTCTTTAAGAATAGTGATACCTACAAATAAAAACATTTTCAAATTATATGCATGAAAATATGTAGAATTTCATCCTTTATAATTTATTATATTTAAATTTTTTTTTTATTTAATTAATTTTTTAAATTTTTATTATTAAATATTTATTTAATTTTTTAAATTTTTATTATTAAATATTTATTTAATAAGACCTTATGAATTCAAATATCTTTAATTTTAGTTAAAACAGTTTCAAGCATAAATATTGATACTTTTGAGATATGATTTTATTCTGACATGACATGTTATTTCACATTATTTTTGTTTCAAAAATAAAACCATATCTCAAAATTAACTGTTTTGCATAGGAACAATTTTAGAATATTATATTGTGAAAAATTAAAAGTCTATTTCCAAACATTTTCATATTTTGATTTGTGTCACTATTTCAAGGATGCAGATGTGCAATACAATGATTTAAGGTATTATAAAATATAAATTATAACTTATACGAATATACCTAGTGTAGTATAATATAGTATACTAGTATTATCCGTTGCTGGGATTAAAAAGTAGTGACCATAAAATTTACAAAATATGAATGTCCTTTGCAATTATTGAACTCAAACTAACCTGTAAACTTGGCCACCCATCCTTATTCCACTTTTCAAATATAATTAGTAATGTACAAAAATAACATCAATAAATAATACTTCTGTAGGTTGTTTTGTTATAATTGTTCTTTGTTAATATGTTCTGTGTTTTAAAAATATCATTATTTACAAGAAATATTAGTAAGTATACTAAACAACTTATACTGAGCAAAAAATTAAGGCACAGTAGAGGACATAAATGTATGTACATATATCTGAGGACGAGTATGGTAGAGCTCTATCCTGACCGGTCTCAATTCGAGCACCAGTATTATCTTCAATTGTGATTTGCATTAATAGTTTATGCAAAACTTATATTAGACATTAAGTTAATGTATTTTTTACACGGTAGCATTCATATTATTATATGATTCTAAAATCCATGATAATACTCAATAGGATGAATTCCAGTGATGGCAGTCAATTTAAAACATATTGTAGGTATGTACAAATAGTTGATCGAAAAATTATGAAAAATGTGTAATGATAACTATAATAAACTTATGAATATTAATTATTAATTGAGAAAAAAAATGCCACAGTAAACATTGATGAGTTATGTCACCGTTTATGGACAAAACCAAATCTGTTTTGTGTACTGTAATATATGACTGAGTTTATCTCTTATATATCCTTATTCGCATTCTAGACATAATAGATAAATATTTTAAATTGTAGAATACAAGTTAAAAAAAAGTACACACTAGTAAAATTTATTTTTTAATCCTTTTGATAATTTCTCTGTTGGTTATCAATTTATAATTTATCACTAGTGATATCACATTTTAGAATTTCTGTACGTCGCTGATAACGAATAACGGTGGATACTGGAATCCGTTGAGTAAAGGAATGTCACTTATAATACCGTATTGAACATACCCATAGATCTTATATTTTTCTATTCGTATAACTAGCCATATCACGACTGTTATTATTCTATGGTTATTCTAACATCAATACTTCAAAAAGTAGCAATCACAGAATGCGGCATATGCTTTAGTATAGAAACCAAAAAATTCTTTTTCATCGTGAGTTCTAACCTAACCTTTTTGTGTTTGTTGTAAAATACATATTTTCACTTTTCAGATTTCTGTCCGTTTGAAAAATTACTTTCTACTAATTTTATAATACTACTGAAGTTAACAACATAATACAATTATTAATAATCATGTCTTATCAATTGTACAGAAATACAACACTTGGAAATACTCTTCAAGAAAGCATCGATGAAATGATTCAGGTAAAATTGTTCAAACAAAAATAATTATAAAAAATATTGTATTTTAATAATATTTCAGTTTGGTCAAATAACACCAACTCTTGGTATGAAAATTCTTCTGCAGTTTGACAAAGCGATAAATAATGCATTAGCCACACGTGTGAAATCTAAAATTACGTTCAAGGTAAATAATTTTTATATTTGAACATGATCTACACCTTAGAAGTCTCAACATTACCATTATTACCATTCCATTAGTCTCTACATCATATACCACTTAAAATTACACAATGTGTCAAATTGTAAGAGATCAAGAATCAAATTTCGGGAAGTTATCGTCTAGCTACACAACAACATGTTATTGTTAAAAAGTGCGTAATAAACATATTTGGTTAGGACCCCAGGGTATAAATGTTAGTCGCCATCTTTTCAGACAAGTAATAAACAATAAATATACGTTAAGAATTGTGTTTAACATTTCTGATTTTGATCTTAGGTTACCTGAACTTCAGTTCAAAACGGTTGCCCGCAACAGTGTAAAAAAAATTAATTTAATATTAGAACAAGCAAATTCTAAAAACGTTTTATCATAGAAAGAAAATACTAAATACTTCACATTATGATCATTTTAAAAATTAAAATGTAAATCTTATAAATTGTTATGTGATACAGTTATTAGATAAAATGTAACATTCCAAAACTAACATCAACGGTTTATCAGAAACCAAATAAAGTTTTAAAACAAAATAAAAATAAATTTTGTAAGTTTTACATTTTTTTTCATTGTCTCTACAAACATCAACAAACCATTCACATTTTAGTATTTTACTTTTGCATTTATAAACAATAATCTATGAGTTACCCATACATATGTTGCTATGTGTTATTCTTTCGGCTGTGCTAAGTGTGGTGTGGTAATCCATTTTAAGTACACAATTTCTTTAGCTTATTGATAGATTGCAAGCAAAAACTGAAATGTTGAAAAATTAGGTTTTAACATTTTTCCAATAAGTATATTTATATTATCCTTGTTACATCTTCTATTATCATAATTTACTTTTGTCTTTTTTTAAACTATTGATTATACAATAACGATTTTTCTACTAAATAATTATGAACACTCATTTATTTAATATCTATTAACTTGTTATTAATTTTTCCTTTATACATATTGGTTATTAGATGGTTTTAACGATAGTGTATTAGGTTATTGAAATAATAACAGTTATAATTATATTATATTATTATTTTTAAGTACATTAATTGTTAATAAACTATTAAAACAAATAATGTATGTTAAAATTATTCATTTATAATAATATAATTACTTACCTAGTACCTATATGTATTGGTTAGTATGTGATCTATTGTGCTACACTGAATTTTTTTTTTCAGTTAACAAAAAATAGCTTTAAGTATAACAACTATGAGTTAAATTTTAAATTTTAACTCGTAGTTATGACTTCATGAATTAACTTCTACATTTTCATTATTCAACAAGATATAACAACAAATTTATGATTTGTTCATAAATTGTGATTATTATCTATTACATCTCTTTTCATTGAAAATTCCTGGGGGATTCCGTTACAGATAACTTATTTCTCATTTACAGTTAAGATTGAAGATAAAATTATATCTATATCTAGATAAAACACAACATTGGTTATATTATGGCTACATATTTATAGTTGGCATTAGGCAGTCAAATTTTCTGTACCATCTGTAAAACTACAACTGGGCATGATAATAATTAACAAATAAATAATTCTAGTCAACTGTAATAACATTTATACTCAATTAGTCAATTGTTCTTTTATTCTTTGTACACATAATTTGTATACCATCTACATATTTTTTTTTTAATATGAATTTGTTATTTTTAGGCTGGAAAAATGGATACATATAGGTTCTGTGATAATGTTTGGACGTTTATGTTGAGTGATGTTGAATTTAAAGAAACACAAGAAATGGTTAGAGTTGAGAAGCTTAAAATTGTAGCATGTGATGGAAAAAGTAAATATTTATATTTTTATGTATTATTAAGTTATACCTTTTATATTATTATAATTGGTTTATTAATTACATTATGTATTTATAATCAGGTGTAAATGACGAAAATTCAAGGAAATAATGTTTGAACTATGAAGGAGTTATTATAAATTTATACGCTCACAAAATTTTGTTTATGTACTTATAATTTATACAAAAATGTATAAAGCATTATCAATGTACTTATATATTGTATATTAGATAACCATTTTATAATTAGAAGAAATTATTGATGAATTAATTAAATATTGGTACATTTATAAACTCATTTAGTACTGATAATAAATTTTTAGAAATGATTAATTAACCTTCCTATTTGTATTAATTAATTAAAATCTTGAATTATAATTTTCAATAAATAATAAATTAGATCAAGTTGGTGTTTTATATTGGCAACCTGAGTTATTTTATATTATTTAAAAGTATAGATAAATATTTTACCAAATTAATATTTGTATAATCACTTTAAATATATATAATAAAATGTTAACTTATATTATTTAAAAGTATAGATAAATATTTTACCAAAATACTGTTTGTAAATCACTTTATATATATAAAATAAAATGTTATTTTATATTATTTAAAAGTATAAATAAATATTTTACCAAAATACTATTTGTATAATAAATATTTTACCAAAATACTATTTGTATAATCACTTTATATATATAAAATAAAATGAAAGGTTTTACTTCCATGGCGGTAGTTTATATTTGGAGTCAACATTATACTGCCTATAATTGTCTAGTTGTACTAATTGCAGCTGTTCCATTGGTATTGAGTTATCATCTTCAATCAAAGTCTGATTTATTTTGACTGTGGAGGAATTACTGGTGGAATTCTTGTAGTTAATACTTTCCATTTTGCACAGATTGTGTTTGGTTCTTAATAAATGTGTCCTTGTAGGTTTGGCACACAAAAGCCTCTGCATTCTGCCAGTCATTCTCGGCACAGTCTCCGGTAATGTGATATTGGATTGTTCAGCCCTCAAACTCGAACACTCACGTATCAAACACAGTGAATTTCTTCGCAACACAGCATTTGTGGTGGTACACAAGTCCTGCGTACCTGAAAATAACGGTATACTTAAAATTTTGTTTTTGTAAATACTTATCTAGAGCTTAAATTTTTGTAAAAATATAAAATATTCTTTATATTTGTATATTATTACATGTAGTTAAAAATATTATAAATAAAAAAAGCAAAATAAAAGGATACATCTCATACATAGGTATTTTAAATAATTTTCATAAACATTAATTCAAATTTGACAAAATTTTAAGTTTTTTTTAAATTGTATAGAAAAAGCAAAAAACTATAGCAGACTTCAAAATGTCAACTAAAAGTTTGCTGGGTAACCAATTATATACCTAAGGATGGACATTAACGAGTTAATAAGTTAATAAGTTAATTTAACTTTTTAATTTGATAAATTAATTTTTGTTGAACTATTAACTTAATTGTTAACTTGAAGAAATAACTTTTAATTAACTAGAGTTAATTTTATATTAATTTATATTTATATGCTTACATAAATAAATATATTATTATCAACATTTTAAAATAAAAATTATTATGAATGCCTGTTATTTTTTATTATTGTCCTCAGTTGGGTGTTGTAGTACATTATTAGGCAATTATAGTAGGTAATAGATAACATGTACATTTTTTTTTTTAAATAACACGAGTTTAAAAGTTAATTTTTAATTTGTAACTTTATTTAAATTTAACTTAACTCAGTTAAGTTAAAAACAATTACTAACTTGCCTAGCCTTGGATACACCACCCATATACTTTACACTAGTAAGTAATATTAATGTTAGAGTGTTTTCATTTTTTTTAACTGTTTTAAAAATAATATCATCTTGAAGTGAAACATATTTCATTTTTTAGTTTACACTTTATGCAACACCTAATTTGTATGTTATCAATTAAAATGATATTATTAAAACTTATGAGGACATTTCTTAAACAAAAATCTCTAACATTACCAACATTACTACCTTCAAATGAAGGGGTTGTGTGACAGATTGCCGTCAATTGCTTCACCAAAAATGGAGACATTCCAGTGTTCTTGATTGGTTCGGTAGGCCGACAATTACGTTTAATTATATGACTACGTTTGTTCAACATATTGCGAAATTGTTCCATCTATCATCATATTTATTTGTATTTTTTAAATATATTTACATATAACTGTATAATATTAAAAAAAAAAAAGTACATTGGTACTTATATAATAAGTTATAGCTAGAAAAAACATTGTCTAGATAATTGATAAGAAGCCATTTCATATTATTACTTATGAAAAGAGGTATTAGCATTATGATATTCTTTTTGGTGATACTTAGAACATTCTCAATAAGAAATAAATTTGTTTCATACTTCACTGATGTGATATACAAAATTTTGTTTTGCTTATTTTATACATACTTAGGACTTGTAGAGATATTTACTAATTTATAGTTTGAAGCAGTGTAGGGTTGGCATATGAAAAACCCAGTCACAATATTTTTCTGGAGCATCAATTATTTTTTTTTAGTATAAGTATATCTATCCTGAGAACAAGAACTATAGAAATTCAGCACATTCAGTTATTTCTCACTTATGGGACTAACTAAAAACTGATACAGATACCCATCTGGGTTGCGCCAATAATTGTAGCACTGTTAAAATTAAAATTAGTTTATGTAAAACTTGTTTGTGTGTATTGGTTGCAAAATAATGCTTACTTTTGCTTCCCGGCTCGTTCCCTAAATATTATAATAGGAACCCTCACGAGACTCCATGCCAAATGCCGCCACTATTTAACTATGAAATAGTTAAAAATATTATTGTAAGTCCATTGAAAACAGAAGTGCAAGAAAAAGTTACAAAAGTTTATCTGGGTATATCTATAATATTATATTAAGTAAGTACCTATACAAATATTTTCATTTTATAAAACTTAGTTTTTTACGAGTAAAATGTAAAATGTTCAGAAAATTTTAGCAAAAAAGTTAAGTACTGTCTTAGTGGAGTTCTATAAAGACTCATTATAGCCTATAGGTAGGTAGATAGATATTATTGTATGTGTTATAGGCAGACAAGTACTTGTTTATAGCTCACACCGCCTGCTTTGGTGAACACTATCCATTGAGACACACCAAATTTTTCTCCATATTTAAAATATTTGCCCAAGTAGGTAAAATACTCTTCGTGCATATGCTTGTTTGTCAAATGGCTCAACGGAAAAACAGGAACATCGGCTATTTGACCATACGTAAGGTTTTTGCACAGGTTAGTTACATGATCAACACCGAAGTGAGGCTCTGATTGGATCTAAAAAAAGAAAAAGAATTTTGTTAATTATAAGTTCAGTTTTTTTTTCTGATTGTCATAATAAATTTATAGCCAAACTATAGAAAATAGCAGTTTTATTAAAAAACGCATAGGTATATTGAGGGGCCGGAATTTGCTGTTAAAACGCTAATTTTCCTGAACAGGAAAAGTCAAAAGACCAACTTATTAACACTTTTATAGTGTGTTTTTCAGTTTTCTTTTTTCGTGATAATTACTAGAGCGTTGCACGCTCCTATCTATTTTATAAATATTTGTTTTAAGGCATTAAATAAAAAATTAATTTTTAAAAAAAATTCAAAATTGGTAGTCATTTTATAAATATAAATATAACAAAACAAAACAAAACTATAGTGTTCAATGTAAAATGAGACAACTTTAACTGTCTATAATTTTTCGAAATTAACGATACCTACTTAAAATAATTTTCATTATTGCCACCATTAAATAATATCAATAGATTAGCCAATTGGTCTATGAGAAAAAAATGTTATTAATGATTTTTGTAAACTTCAACAATTTGTATTAGAAAATTAACTGCTTTACTAGGTATGTATGCTATTTAGTTTCATATAGTCAATATTACCAATCTAGACATCTCTTTGACCTTCTTTGGAAAGCTAGTGCTGAGTAACTATATGTTAACAGAAATCTCTATGAACATTTTTCAGCAAAGATAGATATAGGTAGGTAGGCATTCTATTTTAATCGAAAAAATATACAATTATAACGCCTAGGCATATTATTCAAGTGCAATTACTAGGGACTATGGGTCCATAAACCATGTTAACCCCCCCCCCCAATTTTTTTTTCTTAAGTGCATATTATAATATAATCATTATGGCTTTTTTCACGGTTAAAAATCGACAATGCGCCGTGGCAACTCTTTATACCTAACTCTCTACCTACTCGGGTAATACATAGGTAGTAGGTACTTGGGTATGTTTAGCAGGTAAATCGTTACTTATACTTACGTCAAATAAATACGCTAACGTGACGATTCCGCGCTGGTTTAATTCAGCTTCATCAAACATCCCGAACGATTCGTTGACAAAAATCAAATGCATTTCCAATGTATGTCTGCAAATGGTAACTATTAAATTTTTAACAAGAGAAAAATCGACGAAGATACTCTTTTTTTTGTACATATTATTATTAAGTGTTTGAACTTTGGAAGATTTTCAATTTTTGCTCGGCCTATTTGTTTTATATTTGTAAATTTGATAACGGTCAGTTGTACCATTATAAAATAGAGTCTATATTATAGACTCATCGACTCTTGTAACCCATGGGCCGCGGACACAGGCCGAAGTTATAAACCAACGGTCGGGAAATTTTATGAACGTTTGTATTTCGATCGTGGTTTAGTAATAATCTCTAAAATCGATATCGTACAATTTTATTGATTGTCGTTTTCTCATGTACTGTTATAGAATATTTGTGTCGTTTTTATCTTATTTTATCATGGGTGTGGGTACGTCGCGGTACCTATACTTATTAATTAATCCCGATATTGATTCTCTCGTAAGAGAAAAACATTATCAAAAATCGCATTTATTTCGCATTGATTTTACTTTTACTTTAACCACATGTTTACAAGTTGAATCCATTAATACAATTCTTTTTTTTTTTTTTCATAGTGTCTACTTGTTTTTGTTTTACCTATATATTAGTTTAATGGGTCTTATTTTTTTTAAAAAAAAATTGGTGGTCCGCACAACTAGGTACAAAAAAGGTTGGGAACCGGTGATATAGATAAATATAATAAATATTAAAAACTTTACTTAAATAATACATTTCAAGCTTTTTTATTTTTATATTTAATAACTTAGTCAATGAAAATATGTAATAGGTATCAATGTGCAATAGATCACAACACCGGATATTTTAAGGGGGGGCTAGAGAGGGTATTAACTCCGGGCGCCACATTTAAAGTGGATACCTATGCCGTAATCCATTAAGACGTGGTAAAATAGTATTTTTTTTTTAGTATTAATCCCATAATATATTTTACAATGGCTCAAAAAGGCTTAAAATATATTTTAGTCTTTAGAGCAGCAGAAGAAAATGCTAAGTTGAGTTGGGTTATAATCTGGCGTAGAAAAAAAAAATGTGTTCTTAATAAGAACGGAGCGTTCGGAACGACAGCTGGGAATGTGGGATCAATATTTGCATATTAGGTAGGTACCTATGCTAAATTGTTTCTGGTACTATCTATTGAGTCTTGAGGCTTGTTATTTTTAAAATAAATCCCGTCATTTACCGTTGGCCGTTAATAACGTGTTCGCTTCCATTTTCGTCGTCGGACCAATGAAAATGTAAATGAGAAAACCTATATTTTTCCTTCAAATTCGATCCCGTGATGAAAGGTTCCTTGGTCAGCCAATCACCGTTCAGCACCACTGCACACAACATATTAGTATTGTTAATACAATATATAAAAATTTCCTATGAATAATTGATCCCTGGTGAAGGAGGGCTCAATCTAAATACGACGATGGTTGATTTTTGAAAATTCAATGTTTTTTTTTTTTTTTTTTTTAGATAATTTTTTAGACATTGTATAGGTTTTTATAAACATATTTTAATGTACAATTTGACTATCCACAACCGAACATACACCGTGTAGTGGACTTTTTGTTTAACATTCAGATAGAACAGTGACGCCGAAGTCCTACAAATGTAGTCGGGCGAAATACGATTCAAGAGGTCCCAGAGGTTCAAGATGGTTAACGTAGGTTTTTGTTTCTTTTATAAAGTATTCATTCGGTTTGGCGACCAAACTTTAACCAAAAATTAAGCGGCCCTGCTTAATTTTTAAAAATGTCGGACCAAAGCCCGACCTCACCATAAAGTTCAGCACCACCTAGGCAGAAACTGCATTAAACAAAAATAGTGTAGACAAAAATCAATTCAAAAACATTAGAAAAGAGTCTGCACTTGAAACTAAATTTATAACTCATAACTGAAATGCTTATGAAAAAGGAGACATAATATTAATTCAATACTGAAAAAGACGTCCTAGGATAATGGGATCGGGTGCAACCATTGTTATAAGTAATTTAATGCATACCTGTAAGCAACGACAAACCATTGCTAACGAAAACTCGATTCTGAGCGGAGTTCAGTTGATAGTAATGCTTTGTTAACAAAATATATGTCATATTATGCAATCATTATAAATTGGAGCAAAATTTCTAATAGAAAAGTTTTTTACAGAAAAAAAAATAAACATCTTTGTAAAACCATAAGCTTCTTCAGATTTTAAAAGACCAACATACTTCGCACGTGGGCAGGGGCGGAGTGGGAAGAACTAAATTCATTCTTGGAAAAAATATTAGGCGGCCCACTTACTACTTAAGTGATTGACCTTACCAAAAATCCACTCTGAATTAAAACTTTTATATATATATATTACATTACAAAATATTAAATTCATTACAGGGCTAAATAAACAAAAATGTTAGTTCCCCAAACTTTAAATCATAGTTGCTTTAAAGTACTTTGTAATCTTAACTATATTAAAAATTAAACATAAATATATACACTTAAAACTTAAGATCTTATGTATATTTATGATAAATAATTAAGTAATGCATAAACTTATAAGATATAAAAAGTTTTTTAGGCTTTTTATAAACACTAATATTTTTGTTGAAATTCAGTTAAAAATATTTGTATTGACTCTATGGATTCAAAATTTAGACAGAAAATGTATATTTTCCTTTTTTAGATGTTGTAAAATTTTCAACAAATTTAAGTAATTTTTAAGCTATTAATAGACATTTTATTTTGCGAGTTTTGTAACTCTGTGGTAAAATTGTTTGACTTAACAGAAATGTTTGAAAATTTAACATAGTTTCATTAAGAGTTTTATTATGTGGTCAAAAAAAAAAAAAAATTCAATTTAAAGTAGTAATTTTTTTATTAAGGAATTATTTTAATATCAAATTTTAACGAAAATCGTTGAAAATGTAAAAATGTATGTGAAGCAAATTTTTCTTTTGAATGTTTATTGTACATTGCCGATTTAAGAACAATGGTAATGTCAGAATTGAGCCGACTGACTTAGTTTCGAAATTATAGCTTTTTGAGATGTTGTTATTATATGTTATAACTCTATATTGTCTTTCCAATAGTATGTTTGTCATAGCCGAATGGTTATATAAACCTATTGTCATCCTAAGGTTCGCGAGTTCAAACCTGTGTTTCGAAAAAAATTGTTTGCACTTATTTTTCTCATTTACCTAAACAAGGAAAAAACTAGTGCATTTTAGATGTACCTGAGGACCTAGCTATCGCTCGCTCGGACTATTTTATTCGATAAATACCCCTCGATTTGTTGTACAAACTTTTCTACTAGAAATCTTGCTTTGATTTTTAAGTGTAGCACTTTGTACAGTGGTTTAGGTTACTATCTCACGCCGGTCCCACAACCACCACGTTGCAGCCAAGGTAGGCTCCTCAACTTTGGGGGCACTAAGTCCGGAGCGGATAGGTCGGTCTGGCGTGAAGTGTGGCTCCCCCGCCCGTGGTACCGACAAGGTTTTAAGTTGACGTAGGTGGCTCAACTCGAGACTTCGTTTCTCCCACTATTTTGGTTCCCCAGCCAGCTAGTGGTGGGCCACATCATAGTAGGTACAGTAGGAATTATAAAAGTATCTGATAGATTATACCCGTCCGGCCGTTGTTTCTTAAATTCATTCTTTCTGGTTTCACTTCAAAGTTGTGAAATTCCAACAAAGGTACATTTATGACACACATTTGATCCGTGTTGACAGCTATCGGTGAGAAAGGTATACGGTCTAAATCTTCATTGGTCCATGGCAATTTCAATGACTCCTCTATGAAAAATATAGGAACCTGGTTATAATAATAATAATGACATGGTTACAGGTTAATGCTTACAATTAAAAAACCTATTTCAGTATAGATAGGTATGATTGAATATTCACTGTTTATTATTTTAGTTTTGATGTTTTGTCAAATTTTCTCCCTAAAATTTGGACTTTTTTGTTTTTGTAACATATAATATATTTTCCCAGTACATTTACACACTTCTAACACCTCCCTAAGGATCAAATGATCTTAAATGCTCTTAAAAGTTTTTTATTGACTGATTGACATTTTTTTTAGCTTTTTATATCTCTACAGATCCCCAAATGAAGCCAGGAAATTGTGTATCTACATAGTATAATATTTGAATCTCCACCCCAACCAATTGGGTTTGTTAACTAGAGAAAACATTATTTAAAATAAACAATTATTTGACAAAAATATAAATCACTAGATATACCTATTACACTTTTTTAGTTTTTAAATAGATTAATTAATAAGTATACCTTCATTAAGTTGAATGGAATTCATATTTGGAAAATATTATCAAACTTAATGGATACAATTCACATAATACGAATAATTATTCATTATAAATAAAATGTAATATCTACTTACTTCAAAATTTATATTACCATAGTTTCAACACAATATTTATACATAAATTTGATAATATGATTTGTTTAAGTAGCCAATAGATTTATTTTTAATCAGTATATTTTAAGTGTAAATATGTATTACCTGCTTATATATTAAATGTAATATTGGTATCTAGTAACAAACTGATAAATAAATAATTTGATATCTCAGATGTATTAGAAATTTATTAAATAACATAGAAATGGGCAAATAAATAAAAAATATTAGAAAATACATTAAGAATGATTAGCAGGTTATAGCTACCTGTTTCCCAGAACCATTTGCACAAACTTGACAGAGATTGCTGATATGGATGTGATTTCCAAAAATAAAACACAACTAATTGCTTTTGTTTAGACACTAAAGTATCCATATACAAAAAGTGCAAACACTAATCAAAGCACTATTCACTACTTAATAATATGTACAGTTAAACTAAAAGAACATATATTTTTTTTTAAGACACAAAAAAATGTATTTTTATTAAAATGGTATATAAAGAATAAAAGTGTAAATATTATTTTATTAATAATAAATGTATAGACATTTTTTTCTTATAATAATATAATAATTAAAAAAAAATATACTTACAATTAATAATGTCTTAATTAATTAGACAACCTTAAAAATAAAAATAAACTAATGTCTTTTTTGAGCCTGCATACATTTAAAAATAACTTTCTAATAGTAAAATAATAATAATAATAATAGAAGTTGTTTTTTTTATTATGGTTTAGTTATAGGTTTGGAAATAAGCATGTTCTCCAGGCTACCAGGTACTTGATTTAATTTGTAACCTCGCTCATTAGTTAAATGAAGTAATGCGACAAAAATAATATGCAAAGAAATTCTTGTTTCCTTAGCCGTTAATTTCAATAGCAATGTTTGAAAAGGTATCTCATTAGACCAATTATTATCAGTGCCAATTTCCTAAAAAAAAAAAAAAAAAAAAAAAAAAAACAAGATTTGGTTGTAATAATAATAAATTTATAACAAATATTTCTTAAATTATTAAAATACTCTTAAACATTTAAAATAATAACATCAATACACCAAAACTTCAAAAACAAGGTTATTTTGTTATTAAAAGTTAGCGGACTAAATTCAGCTACAGTGTCCTATAAATACCATGAGGAGTATACATTAAAAAATCAACACTAATTTTCATTGATAATCAGTTTTTATGCACAGTTTAGGATCCTTTTTTATAGATCATTATATAACATTATTTTTTAAATCACCTCATAAGTATCTAAATTGCATATTAAATTAATATTATATTTTATTAAATATCATTTTTTTTTTTTTAAATAAAAAATAAATATTGATATTAAATAGTTCTATTTAAACTTTTGAAAATAAATTTGAAATATTTTAAAATTTTGAAAAATTATTATTTTAATGCATAGTTTGAACATGGTAAGAAAAGTAAGAAAAGTCACATAAAACCTGTATTAGCTTTAAGAGTAGTTTTGATTAAAATCAACATTTACTTACAATACATTCTTTATCAATTATCTCAGATATTTCTTTTTTAAGTTCAGATATATTCATTTTTGTTTCTGTTTTAAACTCGGCTTGAAAATCATTTTTGGTAAATGACTAAAAAAAGTAAAATTATATTAGTATAAAATATTATTTTAACATTTCTAAAACTCTAATAAGTTATCTGTATGTTTAAAATATATTCTACCTAAAAACTATACCTGATCAAAGTCAACATTAAAAGATTCCTTCATATGCCTTTTGAATTCTAATATTTCATTATCTGCTGTACTGTCATCAGAATCATAGGATATTACTTCTTCATTTTCAATAATTTCTTCATCAAAACCATTATTAGTCTAAAAATAAATTATGTATTATATTTACATTTGTTCATAGAAATAGGCAAACTAAATAAGTAAAAAAAAAATATCTGATACTGGGGATGGGTGCAGTCATTGTTGTAGGTGGATAGTGGGGAAAATGGAACACATAGTTATTTAATTTATATCTGTAACCAAGTTAGATTAAATTAGGTTATACATGTTTTTAAAAGCTGCAATTTTTACAATTTTCATCAATATTTGATTTTAACTCTTTCAAAAAAAAAAAACAAAAAAAAAAAATACTACATTAAAATAAATTTTTATTTTGACCACTCAATATGATTTATAATGAACCTCTTTTTAATTTGTAATAAGCATTTCTGTGAGTCTAACAATTTATCTACAGTGTACCTACCAAATAAAAAAAATATGTACAACTTATCTGTCAAAATTTCAAGTCTACGAATATTTTAACCTGAATTACAATGAAAAACAAAATTGAAAATAATAAAAGCATTTTTTTTTTGTAAAATTTCCCTTTCTGTTTTTTTTTTCAGTTTTGGTCTGTTTATAAAAAAACTACAAAGCAAATCAAAAACAGATTTGACTTTCTTGGTCACTAATTCAATTAAAAATTAAAAAAAAAAAATTTATTGATATTTATTTATTGGAATAATATTTGATTGAAAACATAGGCCATACAAATTTTTAAAAAAAGGTATATTTTGTCTTTTTTGGTTTTTCCCAATTATTTTGAAAAATCCTTGTAAAATAAAAAAATTATCTTTAGAAATGGTACTCTGCTTTCCTAAGTAAAAATGCTGTAAATCCAAAAAATTGAAAAATGAATTATTTACAAAAAAAAAAATTGTAAAATTCAAACTTTCTAGGTCAATATGCCACATGTCTGAAATATTATTCTATAAAACAACTATTAACAATATTTGTTTTGAAAAAATGCTGTAAATGGTGAAAAATACATTTTTACTAGGTAAAAATACCATATAATAACCATGCTAAGTAAAAATGTTGTATATATTATATGAAGATACAGCATTTTTGCTTGGTAGGTATATAATAAAAATAATAATTTATATACTCATTACAGATTGTCATTTTACTTATCGGAATGTTGTAACCTATAAATCATCAAAATAAAATAATATAAAAACTTTACAAATGATATAATATCAGTTATTTGTTGATTATTTATACAATTACCCATGGATTCTATTTGTGAGTCTATTATTTAGTACAGTTCTATATACCAATTAAACTAAGGATTAATGTAAAAAGTTAAGTAAGTGCTTCAGAATTAATTTATTTTTATTACATTACATTTATCAGGTAAAATACTATATGAAAAGACATATACTTTTATAAGTAAAATGTAAGAGGTATTACGAATTTTAGAAAATTAAAAATATAAATAAAAACCAGTTTTTTCTCAAAAACATTGTCTAATTATCTAATGACTTAAGGCCTTTTTACTTATGAGGGCAGTGCTAATAGCCTATACTTCAGAGCAAGTTTCCTAGTAGAAAAGTTGTTCACAGTTCTGTCAATATTATATTTAATTTTTATAATCATTCCTTGATTAATGAATAAAGATAGATTGTTAAAATTATGGACAAATCAAATATACAAGGTGGTTATGTCCCTACAATCCCTTTTACATGTCTTTTAAAAACTCAACTATACCTTTCATTTAAAATTTTGTATGTATAAATTTATCATAACTATTTTAACATTATTTTTCATGCACACATGCATTGTTGGAAACCTGTATTTTGATCTACTCATTAATATTATGAAGTAAAATATGGATAAAATATTTAGTCGTTACTATGAAATAGTTGATAGGGTTTTTTTGGAGGTGCTAATTTTAAACTTGGAGGTATTTAAGACCCCCTGCACGCCCTTGTATGATTATATCTAAATTATTAATCAGAAATAAATGTTTAGAATAATATATTTTAGAAAATGGCTATTTTGAAAATTTTGATGTGAAAAAATAAAGTTTTTTTTCTCAATAATTATGGGACGAAAATAAAAATTTAATTTTTCGCTACATATTTGTTTTGAATCCCAAATAAAAAAAAAAAAAAAAAAAAANATTCCAGTGATTCACCTTTCCAAATATGTGTTGGAAAGCTACTGTCATATTGTTTCAGAATCAATATGTTATTTAGCTGAAGCGTAAACAACAATACTTTTTTTTACTCTGAAAATGTCGAATTTTGTGCCGATTAAAGTGTTTTTGCGGGGAGTACTTCTTCATTACTTCAATATGAAGAAAAAGGCTGCCGAAAGTCATTGCATTTTGGTGGAAGTGTATGGTGTGCATGCTCTAGCTGAGCGTATGTGCCAGAAGTGGTTTGCACGGTTTAAAAGTGGCAATTTTGACTTGGAGGACGATGAACGGCTCGGACAGCCAAAAAAGTTTGAAGATCACGAATTGGAGACATTGCTCGACCAAGATCCATCCCAAACACAAGAAGAACTTGCAAAATCACTTGGTGTCGCTCAACAAACCATTTCTGATCGTCTAAAAGCAATGGGAATGATCCCGAAGGTAGGCCATTGGGTGCAGTATGAATTGAAGCCAAGAGATGTCGAACGTCGATTTTTCGCGTGTGAACAACTGCTTCTGAAAATGTTTTTTGCATCGACTTGTCACTGGCGATGAAAAGTTGGTCCATTACGATAATCCAACGTATGGCTACCCCGGCCATGCATCATCATCGACGGCCGTTCAGAATATTCATGGCCTGAAGGTTATGCTGTGTATTTGGTGGGACCAGCTGGGTGTGATCTATTATGAGCTGTTGCAACGGAATGAAACGATCACAGGGGAAGTCTACAACTGATGCGTTTGAACCGAGCATTGAAAGAAAAACAGCCAGAAACTGAGACCAGACACGATTATGTAATTTTGCAACATGACAATGCTCGGCTACATGTTGCACAGGTCGTCAAAACCTACCTTGAAACACTCAAATGGGATGTCCTACCCCACCCGCTGTATAGTCCAGACCTTGCGCCATCCGATTACTATCTCTTCCGATCAATGCAACATGGCCTGGCTGACCAGCACTTCTCCAATTATGAAGAAGTCAAAGATTGAATCGATTTGTGGATAGCGGAGAAGCCAGCCGAATTTTTCAGAAAGGGTATTCGTGAATTGCCAGAAAATGGGAAAAGGTCATAGCTAGCGATGGACAATACTTTGAATATTAAATTTGTAACCATTCTTTCACAATAAAGCTTCAATTTTTCGAAAAAAAAAAACCGCACAAATTAACCGGTACACCTTTTAGTTAATCATTATTTAAAAACTAGTGCATAATAATTTTCTTTATTAACTACATTATACAGAATAGTGTTGTAAATTACAATTTATTTATGAAAAAAGGATATTCATACTGTTTATAGCATATATTATGCTAAAATTTAAAATCATTTGAAATCTAAATTAATTATATTCAATATTAATTTTAATTAACTAAAATTGAATTTTTACCTGGAAGTTAAATGCAGTACCAAAAATATTTTCTTGTGGTTCATCTGGGTAATGATATTGTTTTATTTGATGAGTCTTCAAAAAAGCAGACCTTGTAATTGAATCAACATTTATTTTTGATTTTAGAAATATTTAATTAAAATTACTCACTGAAATTGGATATTATCTATTATACTCTGAATGTGTTTAACACTCATTATATGATTAAATGCATTCCATTTGCTTAATCTATATGAAAGTGATATTTTTGATCCTGAAGATTCTGGCCATTTGTCTTCCAACTTATCAGCTTTATACCAAATTATATTAACATCAGCTTGTTTCTTTTGATTTATAACTGTTTGAGGTTCTAAATTACTTTTTATTTTTTTAGAAATGCTTGGAGTAGCCATAATCTCTTTTTTTTCATCTAAAAATTAATTTATAATTTTTTACTTCAAATTTAACATTTTTGAGAAAGTTTATTTTACAATATTTGAATACCTAGATCACAGGTTTTTAATGATTTTATCATTGTTTGAGTTTTCCATGCTTTTGGACCTTTGAAATTAGCAAAAAGTTTAGGGTTAAAATTACTAAAAGGTCTATCAACACCATCAACACAATTTACAAGTTCTGCAACATTATTTTCTTCTGGAATATCTGGAGTGGAATCTTTAAAATAATATTAGTTAAGTATATTGAAACTTTTATAACAAAATGTATGTACTTGTTAAAAATCATTACATTATCTAAGACTTATGAACAATTTGTCATTTAATTATCATTTTTAGATTGTTACTTTTTTTTATATTCAACTGAGAAACATACAATTAAAAACAAAGAAAATGTAGTTATTATAATTTAAAATTTGAGTACAGTGAAGAAGTTTTGCTTTGTGTTTTTTCTCAGAAAAAATTTCCTTGGTTAATAGAAACTAACAAAAATTGTTGATTTATACATTTTATTTTAAAATTAATTATTATATATAATTATTTTTTATTTAATTTTTTTTTATGTTGACTTCTGCCTTATATTGGCCACAGCAAAAAAAAAAATATTAATATACTACCCCTCGCAGAATGGTTTTTGGTTTGTAATGATTTATTCAAATCGAATATACAATAAATAGAAAAATAAATAAACTTTTTCAATTTTAATCTATAAGACATTTTAAAACAAAGGAGTTTAATTAACCTAGACAATATTGAAGAAATCAGTATATGGTAAAATAATGTGTAAGATTAATATAAAGAATATTAGAAGTGATGAGAATACTAATATTTTTGGACAATGTTTTAATCTTGTAGTTGAATAGGCAAAATAATTCTATGGGTTAAACATTAATAGTTTTTAAAAATATATACCAAATAAACATACCTAATTTGGATGGTTCATCAAAATTTACAACATCATTTTCAGGTGAATTATCATCATCTGATGCAGACAAAGAATATTGATCTTGATTATTAATATAAAAATTATTTTCAACACCCTCTAACTCATCATTATCATCATTTTTTTGACAGTCACGGTCTGTTACAAAACCGTGAAATTCAGGACACAAAACTTCTTTAGCCAATTGATTTTGAAATTCAGCTATAAATAAAATATATAATTAGTAAAATATAATATTTTTATTTGATTCAATATTTAAATTTGTATATTATATTTGAGATGTATTTGAAAAATAGAATAGAAATTAAATTTATTATTTTAAGATTTGTATGCAATTAAATTTAAAAAAAAATTCTCCTGTCAGTGGAAGCTAGAACCACCATTATAAAAGGCAACCAAAATGGACATAGAAGAAGGCACCAGCTTTTCTAGTATCAAGCATAAACAATGTTTGTTTGAAATAACATTCTTTAGTAATATAGGATATTACTGTAATGTGGAAGGCAAGGTGAAAACACCATATTATCATCCCCTTAATGTTAATGCAATAAATGATGGAAAAATCAATCAGTTACAACACACAGAAACCACTTTATCAGAATGGTTGGTCCCTGTAGGTGCTTTAGGTCTTCAAAAAGCAAAACTCTTATAGAAAAATATGAACATGGAATATTAAAATATAAAATGTAAATAGATAAATAATAAAACATACCCATATCATCACATTCTACCAAGTACATGGGTTTATTTGGGTCTTCTTTATTATTCTCTTCTTTTAAGTCCATTTCTTCTTTAATAGAATAATTATTATACAATGCATTTACATAAGTAGATGGCTTTTGTTTCAAAAATATTTTTTTGAAATTAAAGTCTCTCAAGTCTGATAAAAACGGAGAACTAATATATTCCCTATCAGCTAAATTATAACTTATTTTATCATCTGTGGTTAACATGCATTTAGTTCTCTAAAACACAATCATGTAAAATAAAATTATAAACATTATTTAAAATTAATTATAAGTTAGTTTATTTTAACCTTAAATGGTTGATGTTTTGGACTGTCATCTACATATGAAGGAATTTCAATTTGATTCATCATTTTAAATTCATCTACTAGTTTAGAAGTAGAAGTACTTGCATTGTCAATACGAAGACTATACACTTTATCACAGGTTTCAAGATTGTCTGCAATCACTTGAAACTAAAATGAAAATATAAAACCGATGTTATTTGTGATTTCAAACACTTTTTAAAATTATACGATTACCATTTCCAAATCACTATTAGAAGATGCCTCTTTATTTTTTTTCAACCACGTAGAGAAGTACCCAACCATATCGATGTCAAATGCATTAGAAGAATTAATTTTCTAAATTAGAATACAATGAGAATAACAATTAAATACTTATAATAAATAGAACAAGTATGTTTTGATATTTTTAATAACTTAAGTTTAAACTAAGTACCGATGTTTTAAAATTTAATATAAATATAAATAACATTTATGTATTTAAAAAAAATGTTCAGTTAAATTGATAAAACGAGTCCATTATAGACCCAATATGGAATCAACTATGGAAACAAAGTTAATTAAGTTTAACTAATAAAACAAACATATTTGTTCACTTTTTCTGTATATATTTAGCTACTAGATATACCATAATTAAACAAAATCCTTAGGACTTGCACTTTAAAATTAAAAATTAAAATATGGAAAATAATCTTCTTCATACATAAAAAAAAAAACATTACACCTAAAGTCTACATCAGTGGTGTAGAACCCTATATCTATGCAGTCACAACACATGTTTTAGGTGGGTGATAGTATCTATGAACTAGTATTTATGGCTTATTTTAAATTTTGTACTTTAAGACAATAATTGTTAGCCTTGTGATTGTTAATATAGCTATTTTAGTGTTTTACTGTTATTTAGAAATGAAAATTAGTACTGACTAAGATTTTAGTCTGTGGTAAACTTGTAACTAGTAAAGCATATCACACTACAGAATATCCGAGTACGGGGTATGGATAATAATAATTTCTTGAAGTTTTAACCCGTTAAAATAAAATTAAGAAGTTTACTGGTAGAAGACCAATTGGAAAATTTAATGAAAATTAAATTCTCAAAAATCTAATGTGAAATAATTTATTTTAATGCAAACAATATCATAGGATCTAAGATTTACAGTTTTAGCATGTCAATAGTGCAACTATAATTATTAATTATAAGAAAATATTATTTGAGGGGTGAGTAGTTTACAGATCTATAAAACAAAATTTGGTGGAGGGCATCTATATAAAAAAATGAATAATTTTGCAACATAATTCGGAATGAACCTTGGCACTAGTGACTTATATATTAAATTAGAATTAATACAGAAAAAAACCCTTAATAGCTATTTTGAATAAAAAATTAAACTAAAATAAAACAACTTACATTATTCTTACACAAAGTTGTATATGTTTTCATTTTCAATGTTAATTCTTCCATTGCCAAATTTGCATATTTGTCTTCATTTTTCATAATTTCAGATAACTATAAACAGATTTAAACAAATGTAAATAATTCTATAAATAAAAATTCAGTAGTTACAAACATACTGTTGCTTCGTGGTTTTCTGCCATTGTATGTACACAATTAAATATCTCTATTTAGTAGGTAATAAATACAATTAATTTGATATGTTGAAATTGTTCAAATATAATAATCAAAAAAAGTAATAATGATTGTTAACAATAACTATACAGGAAATTAGAGGAGCCTCAGAATGTCTGGAGAGAGTTAAATTCAAACGGCACTCGTTTCATTATAAAGAAAAACATTTTAACGTCTTCAATACACGGTTCCGTCAACCATATTTGATAAGAAAGTCCAGTGGTTCTCAAAATGCGTTAAAATTGAATTTAAGGTTATAATGCACGATGAAAGGCGCAAAAAAAAATATTTTTCAAGTCGTTGCATAACGTCACAGTAACCAGCTGAAACAGTTTTGTTTGGACCCCGGTTATGAATAAACGCCTATGGATTTCAACAAATTTAATTTTACCAAACGATAGTTCGTGAAGTCTACTTTTAGACAGTGTACTCCGCTAAGGATTTTTTCAGCTGGAACATCCCATATTTATTTAGTAAAGAACAAATGGAAGTGTTGAAAAAAATTGAAAAAATTAATATTTACGTAGACGCAACTGGCACGGTTATGTAAGGGACCACGAGAGGATCCATGGTTATTTTTTAAGGGAAGAAAAAGTGAAAAAAGATTATTATATTATGCAGTGGTGACTACATATTATAATGAAAGGATAATACCTGTGGCCGAATATGTAACTACCAACTAAACAGTGAATGTCATAACGAATTAGTTGATAGAGTTCAACAAATTCTATGGGCAACATTTTGGTATAAAATTTGTGGGTCATGCTGTTAGTGATTTTTCTGAAATTATTATTAAATCATTTGTAAAAGCTTTCAATGGCTACAACAATGTTATTGATTATTTAAATAAATGTTATGAGTACATGTATGATGGAAAGGAGTTTGAATGCAATGTATTGATAAGTCTTTGCTGTTGGCATTTAATTAAAAACATTTCGGATGACGCCCACTAATATTATAAAAAAAAAAGGAAATGTAATGAAGCATATGCCACTGGCATCTATGGCAACAGCGTGTCTTGCACTGGCATTTAATATAATGACCACAGATAGTCTGGATATAATATAATATTATTATTTTCAAAACTTTAACTTGTAATATTGTGTGTTTGTGTGTTTCAAATGTGTATGCAAGTAAAAAAAAAAGTGTCATGCTTTATTGTTGATTTACCAACTATTAACACTATTAATTAATTGAATTAACTAAAAAATTGTTTATTATCAGTATTATCTTAATGGATAATAATATATTTAATGATTACTGTCTATAAATATTTCTCCTAAACTAAGTGTTCTAGAGAAATGGTCTTAACCAAAACTATCAAATTAAAATACCTAGGTCTACTAAGTAGTTTGTATATAAACTGAATAAAATTAAACATATGATATATAGTGATTGCTGAAACAATGGATATATAATATAGAGAATCGTTATATTTGCATCATTATTTATGAGATAAAAATATAAAAATTTTTTTATTAAATTTAGCAATACATTTTCATAATTTTGATTAAGATCATCTTGTGTACATGTTAAACAAAAATTAATTTACACAAAGAATTCAATAAACTTGTCTAATCATTTTTAATACATAATTAATGTTGTTGTAGTTTATTAAGTTATAGATGTTTAAATGTACCTAATTTAAATAAATTTTATTACGTTCGAAATGTTCAAGTTTTTACATATTGTTACCTACTGAGTACCTATAGTAGCTATATGTACCTGTAGTACATATATGCAGTCATGAGAGACGAGAGTAAGAATTGTGGATAATTTATTCAATAAAGTTTAATTCACAGGACGTTTTTTTTTTGTGTTCGAGATTATTTCATGGGTTAGGGAATATTTACAATGTTAATCATATTTGTATTAAATTTTGGTAGGTAGGTATGGAAATATTTGTTTAAATAATAGCAATAGCTTTTGAAAATTAGATAGGCAATAAATAGACAAATTGAGAAATTACAATACAATTTCAAGAGTTGGATAGGCAACATAGGTAAAAAATTGAACGTTAGCAATACAATTTTGAGAATGAGTTAAAAAATTAATTTTTAAGATTTGAGTAGGGAACTTATTAAAAAAGGAATACAATTACAAGAGTTGAAAAGAAACATTATATACAAATTTGGGAACCATTGTGCATTTTCAAATATTGCTAGCAGAATGTACATTTATGGTATTACGAATTAAGATACATCTTCGATATACATAGATCTTCATCACGATTAAAAATACCTTAAATCGTGTTCTCCACATTGAACTATAAGATATCTTATAGTTATCTTATAGTTCAATGGATCTTCATTCATCTTCAAATTCATTATTCTTATCTAATTCATAGTATGTATAATATCAGTTATATTAATGGTCTGCGACAATTGGCCCCTGTGGAAAAACGTCGTATACGAACAATCGGTACCCGTCATAAATTTTGCAAGAACAGTCCCCGTGTTCATATTAATTATAGGCATGAACACTAGAGAGTGTTCATATTTATATTTTATAATTTATAAGTAATTCATTAATTTATCACATAGACTTCTGTACTAGGTTAGTACTTAGTATAGAAGTCTTGGATTTATTATTAACAGGATAATCAGATAATACAATAATAGAATCATTTTTTAATAGTAATACATATAAAGTACTTACTTACTTTTGAAAATGTTTGAATTGTATTTCTGACGCAATTTTGACATAAACAAAAATAATTAAGCTAACAAACCTTAAATACCTAGTTTCTTTGATAGAAATATGTATTATGTGTGTAGGTTTTTTCATTTGAATTAGGTTTGGTAGGTAAGTCATTTATATATTTATTTAAATTAGTCAGTACTTACTTAAAGCATTCAAGTTATTTGAGTTTTCTAGTAGACTTGTTGGATTTTAATCAATACAATAAATGGCAGGTAATCTGGGCTTATGTTCGTATGGTAATGAATACCATATAATTTTAAAAAATTAAAAAATAAAACTTTTAATGATTCCGATTTAAGTTTTTAATGAATAAAAACCTAAAACTTTAAAATAATGATTTTATTTTTAAATTTAAATCATGGGTCAGCATTTAAATTATTCAAATGTAAATACACACTGAGATAAATCTAGTTTGGCACATCCTCACGACTTTTAAATTTCAGATACTGATTAAGATGGTAAAATCGAATTTGCTGTTCGGACTTGATTATAAGATTATAGGACCTCGATTGGATAATATGACATAATGCAATACTGAAAAATATTCGTTACCAACCATAAAGTTATTTTAATTTTGTTTGAAATCTATTTACAATTATTAGATAAAAATGACAGTTCAATGATAATTTGTTATATTTAGTTTTTGAGTAATCAGAATTTTAAATTATATAATATCAACTTGATGTTTACTTTTGGAATACTATGTACACTTATACTATAGAATCAGATGTGAGACTTGTTTAAATAAAACAGGTATGAAGCTAGTAACACAAAATATTCCAACCATCTGTACTCTGACTTGTTAGAAATTGTTAGAAATAAAATTAAAAATTGATTCGACTTTTATAATTTTGGTGCCAAGTACATGTCCAACTTTTCAATAGGCTTTAGAGTTTGAAAAATTCACCCAACTTCACATGGATTAATTGGATATTTTTGGAGGTTTGTTAGAAAATGTTGGACAAAATTAAAAGTACTGTAACAAAAGAAAAAGGTTCTGTGAAGTTAACATCACGTTACGAATAAATGAAACAATATTGCAGTAATAATACATTTTTGTGTTTCGAAAACTTTGGAAAACGTGTGGTCCAACAAATTAGTATAAAATATCTTAGTGACAATAACTAAGGCCTCCCAGACTTTAAAGAATTATAATAAAGGAAATTCCACCTCCCTCCTTTGAATCACTGTCCAAACCTGGTCAATGTATATCACGATAGGATTGTATATGTAACTCCATGACCAATACCTGATGCCCGTATAGTTTTATATCAAAATTGATGAATTTTTAACCCTTTCATAAACACATAAAACAGATTTTTTTTTTTAAATTATAAAATTTAAATATAAATTTCACAAAACAATAGTCAATATTTACTAATAAAAATATAATTTTAACTTCAACTTTTTTAAATTATTTATATAAAAAGAAAAGACGGACATACTTCACATGATGGTGAACCACTGTTGCAGATGAGAAGTTAGGAAGGTAGGATATAGAGGGAAATTTAATGTATATCTGTAAGCTTTATCTGTAAGATAAATCACTACTAATAAAAAACGATTGTGAGCTCCACTTTTGTTCAATTTTTTATAATTTCTGTTTAGTCTAACAATTTTATTCATGAAGTACCTACCGAAAAAAAATGACTCACAAAATCGAAAAGTCTATAAAAAGCTTAAAAATGGCTTTAAGGTTTTTACAGTTTTACAACATCTAGAAAAGGAAAATAAAAGTTTTATATTCAAATTTTAAGTCATTTAGCATATTTTTTTAACTGAATTATAAATGCATTATTTTCATAAATTTTAAATAATTTCATACATTACATAAACCCCCTAAAGTACCATATAGATACAATTTCCTTTCAGAAAAGGTGTTATACTTGATATCGTCGGAGCAAGATTTATGGTAGAAAAGTTTACATAAGAAATTGAGGGGTATTTTTCGATTAAAATAGTCCGAGTGAGCGATGGCTTGGGTACATCTAAAATACATTTGTTTTTTCCTTGGACTACGACAGACTTACTATAAAATTGATACTTGAGTTATTTAACATAATATATAATATCTACATAATATCAGAACAAAAAAAGCTTTCGAAACTAGGTCAGTTCGCTCAATTCTGACTTCACCAACGTTCTTAAATTGGCAATATGTTCAAAACAAAAAATTGAAAAATTAGATTTGTTTCATATAATTTTTTAGTCAAACGGTTTTCGTCAAAATTTGATAATAAAATTTTCCATGACAAATTTTAAAATAATATTTTGCATTACTTGCACTTATCCAATTATTCGTATATTCGTATATTCACAATGTATTTGTGTAATACACATAAATCTTATATTATTATTGTTTGGTAGTTTCCAATTATTATTAATCCATGATAGAAATTTTCAAAGCAGTTTTAAGATATTTCGTCATTACTCAACAATATTTTACGATACTTCAGTAATGAATAGAACTAAAAGCAATATTTGGGGGGGGTTAACCCCAGGACACTCCCCCTAGATACGCCACTGAATGCGTCTATTAAATATTGTAGTGCTGCAGTTATACTTATATTTTAAATCAGCTGTTCTGCTGATTTTAGCTCGACCATATATCTATCTGCTTGTATATGTTATTGTCAAATCGTTTAATAACTATAGTTATGTATGCATTTCTATTACTCACACCGTTAGTGTGTTTAATTATAAACATAATTTAATTTTTCTGTTCAACAAAATTACAGATCATAAGTGATAAACATCAATTGTGTCGGCTAAGCCCAATATTTGTATCACATTTGTCAATTCTAGTAGGCAATGTCCACTACAAATGCATTGCATATGTATGCGATTGACGTATATGATTCATGCATAGCACTTACTTATTACTTAGGTATTCCTTGTTACATATTTATCAAGTTTCTAAGCGAGGATATCATGCATTACGTATGATAATATTTACGTACATAATTAGATTCATGATCACATTATACCCTACTGGCCTACCTCCAATTTATTATGTTGCGGTCACAACATATAGATATACGGATCGGAACTACTGCAGCTAATATGCGTATTGCAGGATTGTTTAAATAATTATGGAGCTTTTATATTAAATTTGAAATCCCACATACGTGAACGGTAAAACATTTTCCAATTAGAATCACATTACCCGCGTACTCACATTACCTTGCTATTTGTAATATTATTCTATACGAAAATTACATTTATTAGAATGATCAGCACAAAGTATAAATAGGTCTACATACATAAAATAATACCTGTGTAGGTTTTCAAACCACTATGACGTGTTTGTTTGCAAGAGATTTAAGTGTTATACTATAATTAATAATGTAATTATTAATGAGAATGGCCGATATGGGGTTTTAAAACGCAATATTATTTTGGAAAATTTGATTTCTGGAAACGTTTTTTTATAATTGCATTTTGCTTTTTATTGAATTCATAAATAAATAAATAATTGCAACAAATAATACATAATATTACGAGTATACTGCTGCACTCGTCATCGCGGTGAACATCAACGGCATAACGGCACGAAATTAATAATAATTTATATAAATTTAAATAAATAAATAATAAGAATAAAAAAATAAAATAAATAATAATAATGTTAATATAACAATTAACTAACAATAATAAAAATGGCCGCTACACGTCCCTCGTCGGGGTATTATTATTGGTTGTTCGGCGTGTCATTCACACTGGTTAAATTTCCTTGTTATCGGCGTCTCCTGGCCGCATAAGACGCGTAAGGCGACGTTTTGGTGACGTCGTCGGCCGACTTGCCGTGTCCGGTGTACGAATTGTACGAACCATACCCGGCGCCGCCGCCGCCGCTGTAGTTTTCGCTGGGCGCAACCGTGTGCCACGGAGTTTCGATCACTTTGTAGGCGGGCGGATGGGACTCCTTGTTCTTCTTCAGCACCATGATGAACTGCGCGATCTGGATGATGACGCTGATCAGGGCCAGGCCGACGCCCTTGAACGCGATCAAGTGCCCGACAGCGGCCATCAGAGTACTGATTATCATTTTGATATAATTGAGACCCATATGTAACGCTTCCATCTTGTTCTTATTTCCCTTGTTATTGTTCTTTCCCCTGGCTAAACATAAATAATATGCCGTAAGTAGTGTAACATGAAAACGTGTTATTCGTAGCATGATGACAAAACAAATGGGTATGTCAGCAGCTTTGTGATATTCAAAAAATGGCGTGCGTCGTTCGCACGCCATCAATTTATCAATTTTAATTGTATCATTATATAGACACATAATTTAATATAATATAATATATTATATATCAGTATCACGTTATCCGGTTATCGTGTATTGAGGCAAAAGCTGGTAGCCCGCATAATTGCGCGAAATCTGCCGTTATAACTGGGATATTGCAGTCATACCTATTTATTTTGTCATGTTATATAGCAAAAAATAATTTAAATCGAATCAATCATCATTGTCAGTGGCGTGTTTACGGGCGAGGGGAAGATTATTGTGATATATCCCCCCACTATTTGACATTTGAATTCAAATTTTTTTTTATTATTTAGTCGGAAAAAATTAACAATTTAATGTGGTTTTTTTTGCCTATAAAGTTAATAGTCATTATACCAAGATCCCCTGAACGTATACATTTTCGAACATATATAGATAGTAAGGTATGTAATAATAGTAGATAGTAATGTATGATCATTTGGGTACAGATTTAACTTTAAATTGTATATACAAAAATATATAAATTAAAATGCTTTTTTTTTTTTTTTTTTAGCCGGTTATAGGTACAATATGTTACAATTTCCAAATACAGTATCTCCTCTTTGGCAAAATCCTTATAACACTACCGAATTCACTGCATTTCTTACGAATAAAAACCCGTTCTTGTTTAGTTACCTGTGAATTCGTCGATAGGTTTTGCAGTGTTTAAATCTTTGGCTTCAACGGTATCAAAAGAGAACTGATTAGCATTGCTTACGATCGCGTCTTCAGAAACCGATCTGGCGGTTTGACGATCAGGAACACCAAAACACGAACATACCGCTACAGCCATCAGGATAATAATCGATAATTTAGTCATGGTGAAGTTGATGTTCTCGGTATAGGTTATTTTTTAATCTATAAAAACAAGTACAGATTATTAGTATAAATGATTATTACACTTACTCATTGGTAACGGAAAATTGATTATAATAATATATTAATATAATACGATTTATATAGAAATCAACTAGGTACAGTTTAAAATAGGCACGGATCAAGAGCAAAAATCTGAGGGTGGGGTAACAATTTATTTACAACACAAACACAATTAAAATATAATATAATACATTATTTTATCATACATATCAGTGATTGGAATATAGTTGTATCAGGATCTATAGAATTATAAAAAAAAAACTGGAGAATAAATATGCCTAGGGGGAGGGGGCTGGGCCCCTAGGCCCCCTGGATTCGTCTCTGGTTTAAAATTGCCAACATTATAATATATTGAGTATAAAATATTTTATTTCTCGTAAATGGACGAACGGAATTCACGAATATTGTTATCAGTAATAATATGCAACGAATATGATAATACAACAAAATATATTTACTCGTCATATACCTAATACGTTAAAATAATCAACCGATATTATATTGTGTAGCTGTGTATGTATAGGTACTATTATTACTGTGTTATATCTATATATCTAATTAATACGCGATAAGTGGTTGATCCGATTTTGAATAACAAACCACCCAGCAAACCGGTCGCCCGTTGTCATAATTCGTTATAATAATATAATATTATGTTATTCATTTAATTTGAGACTAGTTTTTGTTTTATTCCGATAACAGCCGGTTTAAAACATTTCTACTGGTTTTTATAGACAGAGAATTTCGTCTTACCATTACATACTACAGTAATATTCAAAAATTTAGCCGGATTTCCGGAATAAGAGAGTAATATTATCCGGATATGGCAAAGTACGTTCGTTTTCTATAGGTAGTAAATTTCTCTTGATTTCTTTTTTTTTTCTTTCTAGAAAATGGATTATTTATTTATTATAGATACACGTATCATAACCATAATTAGTGTAATAAATAATAGTTAGGTAAATTAAGCTTACTTTTACTGTTGTGTCAAGTTTTACGTTAATTGAACCAAATAGTTTAATCGTTTAAACAGGTTGGTAGATATACATACATGATATAAATATTTAGGTGCCTAACTATTAAGAATTCATAAGAAGAACACGTTTAAGTAAAAAAAAAAGTATTTACGTTTTTGTACGATTTTAAAGATAATAAATATGTTTTATAAAAATTATAAAAATGTTGATCGCCGATTTCTACATACCTACAGAAATTCGAAAAAGTCAAAAATATGTACTTTTGCATTCGTGATAGCTATCGGCCTACATTTCAATGCTAAACATAATAATATACGAGGTAACCTCTCGACCTTCGAAATATTCTCTGCCTCTATATCTGTTTTATTTCTAAAATCACTTTAAAAAGTACTTTTTTCTGTTTCGCGATAACGCGGTTTTCAACTATTATGACGATTATATCACAATAAAAACGTGTGATAATAACACACGATAACTACTTATAGGGGCGTCATTTGGGGGGGGGGGATCAGGTTGTGAATTTACACCAATTGTTTTTAATACGTCTTATTTGGTTTGCCAAATAAAATATAAGCACCGATATACCTAAGTGTTTCATAATATCATATATTGAGTTAGTATATAAGATTACTATGGAAGTGTAGAATGATGGCCGAAGCTATATAATTGATAGAAAAGGCAAAAAAGAAGAAGGCAGAGGGAGAATGTTACCACTTGATCGCTCCTCCCCCCAAAAAAAAAGTGTCCATAATTGTGGCTTGGTAGTAATTTGAAATAGCCTGCAAAAATGTTAGCACCGACAATAAAAAAATTGAAATGACGCCCCTGACTTCATACATATTTTGTATAAATTAAAAGTATTTCAATGTTTTTGAGTTGTTGAATTTCGTTAAAATTGCCTATATGTGACCCCTTAAATACCGTGTGCGTAATTTTACTATTTTATACCAGACGTCGAATTTATTGCAGATTATCATATTATGTTGTGCACTAACTCGAGACCCAAGGCCCGACTCCCCGAGGCATAGTTTTGAAAATTTTTAGTGGCTTTCTCTGGACCAAAAGAGCATGAGAATTAAAGTTTTTTTTGTACAGGTGGATTAAAGTGATAAAAGTCGGATTGAATTTCAATATGAATTTTATTATGTTATTGTGGGAGGTGAGTATTTTTAACTTTTGAACATCCCAACAAACCCTCCAATTGAAACTAAATAGATGAAATTTATTGTGTATGTTATGAATGACATTAGTATCAAGAATGCCTTTTTTTGGGAGTTTAAACTTTCAACCTACACCACTACCATTTATGATCAAATTTCACAATTTTTTTTTCTGAAATAATAAAATTGTATAGAGTTTAGTTTAATAAATTGTATTATTATTCGGTTATTTATAGTTTTAGAATATAGATATGTTGCAGCTTACGTGCTTACGTGTTTTTCTTTTTCTAATGCAATTTAATTAACACAATATTAAAAACGGTGAGTCCCGATGGGTCATATATGTAAATAATGAAAAAACAAATTTTAAACTCTAGCCCCGAAATATTATTCTGGCTACGCTACTGTCCACAAGCTCACCCCCCTATATTTGCGCCAATACCCCAAAAGGTTATTATTATTATTAATTTTTAAAATTGTTTTGTATAGGTACGCGTAGTGTATAGTTTACAAATAATTTATTTCGGCACCCAATAATAGAAAAAAAAAAATCCGCTATACCTGGATATCGGACTCGCGATTTCTATATAATATAATACAGAAGGTTTATACAATTATTCACTTTGTAATCATCGTAATATTCTAATCGTTCGACACTCAACAGTTGTTCACGTCGTGCCGTCGCTTATCTCTGTATATTAGCCCTTATGATTACCCGCGTGGTATTATTAGGTACATAAAGGTATACCTGATAATACCTAATAGGGTATCGAGGCGCGAGGACAGATTTGTGTCTCAAACTCTCACCGCACGTGAACAATATAATATTTTATAGGCAATGTTCAACTGTTTAATATTCACGTGCGCGACGACATCGGATTTCTAATAATATACATTTCTATTGTGTTCGTAATAATTATTTCATTATTTCCGTATGCGATCGAGACGCTTGTGGCAAATAATGGGTCTTCTTTGAACGTAATAATATTCCGGTCGTGTCCCGGTCGAAAACCGAATTCGTCGATAGTAATAATATCATAATCATAATATCGGTCATTTCGAACTATCACAACAACAGGCCAGTTATACAGTGTGTATACTCACATAGTATCCAACAAATGATTCCGTTTTTTATTTGGTTTTATCACGAAGCCCGTCGATGATAATAATAATGTTATAGGTATTATATAGGCGCCTACCTGTTATTGTTATCATCGGTATTATAATTTATCAGCGTATTGTTGTTTTCATGATTTTAAATCGTAAGTATATGGAAATATACAATACCCTTACTAACGAGATTTTATATACCTGCAGTACTCGTTAATTTTTTCGTTATGCGCAGTAAACGCACGTGCCAAATTATATTGTTGATAAGGTTTAGCTTTAGACTAGGTCGGATATCGTATTTTAAAATCACTCCAGCTGCGTTTACTTATATTCCAGTTTTAAGGCAAGGGAACGGCGAATTTTAAGTCCACAGGACGTTATGGAGTTCAATCCCTCCCATTATCCCTGTTGGACATTTATATTACTTGGTAGGTGTCTACTCTACTACTCTAACTAATCAGTACAGAATAATTAAAGTATTGAATATTACTGAGTACTACTACGTTGTTCCTAATTTCGATAATTTATGCATAGGTATTTCAAATTTTAAATAATTATTTGGATATGAAAACTATTTAGCACGCCACCGTTTAAAATTATTAATTATCAGAATATATTACAATTTAGGAGTCATTGGTTTTACTTCATTCCGGAAAACGATGAATTACCGAGTATGGGTATTTGTACATTGATTATATATGTATTTGTCTAAATTGACATGTTTGTTTTTCGCACAACTATCACTTATAATTTTTCAAATTTAATATGACGTCGTTAATACTTTCCAGGGTTATGACTTATGAATAATAATAAAATTGTTCTTCGTACACATAAACCGTGACATGATGAGTTTTATTGCCGATAAACGCATTGGTTAGATACGTGCGTGGTTTAAGGATATGATGTAGACTATATAGACTACACAGAATACAAGACGATGGAAGTATGTAATATATAAATAAATTTATTATAACTAATTACTTATTTTTAGCTGTTTAATGCATAGTTTAAGCTATGTATAATATTATGAATAGGGATCGGATGCCGATGACCTAAAAATCACCAAATATATAATTTATCCGATTTACGTATTGATTAAATAGTACGTTGATTTTTATGCTTGTGTTACGTTTGAATGAAATCAATATTATAAAATCGGAATTAAAAGGTAATTCTATATGCTGTAGTTGATTGCAGTTTTGGGATTGTAGATAGGGCAAAAATAGATTAAAACCATATTTGCAATTTATATTAGACACTTTGTAGGTAAAAATGTAAAATTAAATTAAATTTGGTTTTTGGTAGTATAATATATACTGTAGTACTAGTTTACTATTTAAAAAAAAAAAATGTGAAATTTAAGTACAAAAATGGCAGGGTGGATGAATTTTGAAACCTCCAAAAGGCACATTCTTGATACTAATGTCATGCATATTTACAGCATTGTATACTCCTGGCTTTATTTGGGGGATTTGCAGAGGTATTTAAAGTTAAAAAAAAAATAATCTCTTAACATAAATATATGACTCAACCCAACTTTATCATTTCAATCCGTCTCGAGTTTGAGCTCATTTGGTTCCGAGGGAACCGTTAAAAGTGACTAAAAGTAGCGGGATAAAGATAAATAATATACATTATACATATATATATATATATATATTTGGGGAAAATTTGACAAAAATTGTTACAGAAATACTTAATCAATAATTAATATTTCGCGAAACATTATAACTATAATATATTATTCTTAAAAATAACACAATATTAAATTACTTATTATTTATCAATTCAATTATTTTATTATTTCGTGTAGGTATAGGCAACAGCCAGTAGCGACGTGAACGGGTATCCTATGAAGTAGACGGGTAGACGAGTAGGTGCATGTATAATGTGGCACTTTTTCATTAGATATTATGTTAGGAAAAAAGTTGAAATTGAATGTTAATAGTAGCCTTAATTACAGCTTGCGGTTCTTCGGAGTATGGGTTGTACGATGTTTTTTATAATTTTTATTTGTAATTGCTTCACACAAAGAAAAACAAACTACTCCATGCCACTACTGGTAACAGTACAATAGCTAATAATTTTGGATCTACATAATAATTATATAGAAATGTACTATTCACGTGTTCGTGTACTTAGTACTTACTGAACGTATGTTATACTACTTTAAGACGTTGTATTAATATTATATGGAATGTGTTTGTTATAATAGATATTTGTACGTAATAATTATTTTCCTCGTTATTTTCGCATTCTTAAAGTTTTGGAAGAAGTGCCGTGGATTAAAGTGAAATGATTCGCGGTTTAGTGGTTTAAATAATTGGCGCTGGGTTAAGAGAAAGAAATTATTTTAAAGTAACGATAGACGCTTACGTCTGTACAATAGTGTGAAGAACTGCAGTAGGTATATATGTATAATAATATAGAAATCTAATAATACAACGCTGTTTTGCACTTAGGTTTATTTCACGGGAAAAAAAAAAATTATATTCAAAACGAAACAGTGAGTATTTGTCAAATGAAAAAAAAAACCATCCAAAATTATTAACTTTACTAGTCGCCGTTATGTTTGTGAAATTTTCGAGTGTAATAATATTTATACATGAACAAGATTTTTATTTGTATTTTTAGAATGAATTAAAAATTGTCTAAAGTACCTATACAATATTATAATATATAGAGCAGCGGTTCACAACCTGTGATACGCGGAAGAATCGTGGGTGGTAGGTACGCGAAGGGTACCTGATAAGCGAAAAAAATGTTATAACCTAATTATTATGCACTTTATTAGCAATTAAAAATTGACTCAAACATTGTAAGCTGAATCTATTTACTAGAGTAAAATGTCACGTAGGTATCGATTAAAACAATAATGTAGATTTCATGACAAGAAGACACAATGTTAAGAAAAGAAAAAAAAAAAGACAAAAAGGATGTTAGCAATATTTTGTACATTTTTGTTAATGTAGGTATACGTATATATATATATTTTCCTAATCGTTTAGAATATATTGGCTGTAGTTGTGACCCGTGCTACGGTTTGTATGCCCATTTGAATATTTTTGATTATAATATTTGGAAATTAAAACACAATTATTCGAGGAATCCGCGCAAATAAGATTTAATTTAAATTTGCGAAGCAATAATGTTAGAACTGATAGTCAAAAACCGTTGAAAATTAATGGCGTGGAAAGAAATAATTAGCGTATAAGGTAACTTTTTTATGAAATTATAAATTGCAAATAAAATATACACCTTGTGTTTAAACTCAATAACTTAAGATATGCGTGATAAATCAGTGTTGTTAACAAAATACTTGTTAGTGTATATTAGTAAAATATAGTAATAATTAGAAAATGAAAGTAGATAGTTTAAAATTACAAACCATATAGTAACTACCATGAAAATGAATTACATGTGTTTGTAGTACTTTATTATACTATACAGTATATTTACACTGCAATAGATTAATGATAATACTATAAGTTAATTGATATTATAATATTACCTATAGTTTATATAGCGTGATATTAATTGTTATTCTGAAGCATCATCAATACAATTTTTTTTTTTTTTTAGGGATGTTGAAAAAAAAAAAATCAACAATTGAATTCACGTGATGATCAACAGTTATAATATTATTCAATATTTAATAATATTTGAAGATTTTCGTAGACACTTTGTTGTGCAAATTAATTACATGAATATCCTTCCTTAAAGAGGTTGAAATATTACGCGATTCATTTTTTCCTACATTTAGACCATTTATTTGACATATTTGAATATATTAGAAAATATGTTCTTTAACTAACTCAATACAAAAAAAAAAACCCAAAGGAACGTTTTCTACAACACATGGACAAGAAATCAAGAAATATTCAAATATGTTTTAAAAATTAAAATTTGACGAGCGGTAGTGAGCTCATTTTACTTCAGCATTCATCTAACCTTTTAAATAAATAAAATAAAAAGTACATTTCTCGTTTGTCAATCTAACTGGTAATATAGTAAAAGTGTGTTTTTTCGTACTTGCAATAGTACTCGGATCTCGATGGTTGTATACAATTATTTTGTATGCCGAAATAAACACGAAAAGTTATCCTAAACGTTTGTATATAGAACAGTTCTATTGAATTTTTTTCCAAACATATTTACATAATATATATTTTAATATTTGATTTTTTAAAAATGTTTTGTGAAAAACTGTTCTAGACATTTATCGTAAAATGCCTCGTGTTTATTTTGGCACTAAAGTTAAGTTTATACGACTTGTGATGCCTTAGACTGTTTGAATGTTGTGGAAGTAAGAAAACATATTTTTATTTTGTTTTTTATTTATTTATTTATTAATTTTCTCTATATTTCCCGTTAGATTAAATGAGATCGCAAGACCAACGTAATATTTCAAATTAATTTTAATAATTTAGTATTCGCGTAATATCTGTATTATCAAAAATATTATTCTTATTGCGACGTAACAACTATAATTAACTAATCAATAGTATTTTGTGTTTGTCGAATCACTAAAAAAAAAAAAAAAATACTAATAATAACTATATATTTTTTACGCAATGCAGTTGAGTGGCTTTTCGTGTTCATATAAAACCTAGTGGTAATAGTATTATTATGATCAATAAATTCGGACGTTTCGATTCCTCGGACCTAAATTAATAATAATTTTGTCTGTATAAATATAAATTACATGATATTTATACATAACAATATCGCCAAGAAAATATCACACTTATATCTATCAATATTATTATTGCTCAAGTCGAAAACAAATTATCAATATACATAGAATATTTTTTCATTGTGCACTGTATGGGCGGATATATATTCAGGCATATTATTAAATGCTGACAGGAAAATCGATGTTTTAATACAAATTAAACATTTTATATGCATTTAACATTTTACAAAATATACCTATTGTGTTTTCAATATCGATTTATTTCAAATCAGGTAAATTATAAATTAATAAGTTATATTAATAATTTCAATAATTATCATAACAAAATCAGCACAATTTACTGTTTATACAGTGTTGTTATCATAGTTCTTTGTTTTTCTATAGTTGATAAGTAGAAAATATCAAATAGGCAGTTTTAGTAGTTTTTGAATCTCGTGAATATCGTCCAGTTCACATATTGTCGTTTTCCTACCTGATCAAGGTGACAAAAAAAAGAAAAAGAAAGAAAGATTTGAATACACCTATAGTTTGTTTAAGTGGTCTCATACTATATAATGTGAATCCTTCTCCTATAAATAATGAAAAAAAAAAAAATGTTTACACGGACCGCGGTTTTCGAAAATCCAACAGTCATCGCTCCAATGTAACTTATATCTTATTTAAAAAAAATATTCATTCTGATAATTGCAGTTATTTTATAAACAATGGTGATGATATAGAATGTATTTGTGTATATTTACTATGTAAAATGAAAAAAAAACGAAAACCGGGGTAAATCATATAGTAGACCGAATCGAAAAAAAAAAACACCGAAAATGTTGGACATTTTATACTGAATTTATTTTTGTTAATTTCAAAATAGACATTTCGATTTTAGATCGGTAAAAACCTATGTAAAATACATTTGATTTGTTTTAAAACGTAAATTTTTGACTAGTTACTTAATAAGCATTTGATAAAATGTCTGATTTTAAAAAGCCTGGTCAAATTGATTAATTTTTTTAACTAGTTTAATCTTTTACAAATAACAATAAAAAAAAAAATGACTATGCTAAGTTAAATTTAATATTAATAAAATTTAAATGAATATGAGCAACTAAGTCAATTTATATATTTTTAAAAAAATTGTTAATTAGTTAGGTTAAAATTTAAAAGTATCTTTTTTAAGAAAGGGTCAATTATTATTACCTTAATATTTAAATTTTTAGACTTGCTGTACAAGATTCGTGTGAGTTTCCTGTATAGGCCTTATTCCTGTCTTGTTATGTATTGAGATTCACTGGCGGTAGGTACTCAGGTACTTATAGACATTTAATTTAGATAATAATTATCCCGTAAAAAAAAAAAAAAACTATTAGTAGTTAAAATCAGAAATTATTATAACATGAAATTTCCATCGCAGCGTTTGCAATGTGTTTACGTACCTATAAATAATTTCAAAGTATTTGAAAACGAGAAAACAATTACTTTCACCTATTCGAATATTTTCAAACAGCGATAGTACATCACACAGTAATAATTTCTATTTACTATCAACTTTATACTTATATGCGATTGTCGTTAGTAATTATTGCGAATAATTTGTGTTTAAACGTTGAAAACCAAAGCCTTCCTTAAACCAAAATTAATTTTTAGACTTCTAGGGAAGGCTTATTATTTTTGCGTAAAAAAAAAAACTGATAACTCCTTCCCCCCATTTCGGCCCATTTGTTTTCCCGATATTTGGTTGTGCGTTGACGGCCTAGTTAACGTGCAATACCTACCTAGTACCTACTGCAGGTATAACTATATTAATAATAGCGGTTAGGTTAGGATAGGACCAACGGTGACTCGTCGCAAATAAAAATAATAATTTAGACGTATAAACAGTATGCCTATATAGCGGAAATCCGTGCGAATTTTTCGGGTAAAATTTTACAAAAAAATAAATTTATATTATAATACCTGGTGGTCGGTCGGCGTCGGCGGCAATTTAGGCTGGCTTTGCGGACGTACTAAAAAAAAAGAAAAAAAACGAAAGGCGTATTACGATAAAAACGTATAAAATCGTACCGACGGAAACGACCGAAAATAACGATAGAATGTTTACGATTGGCCGCGTGTACGTTGGACAATAAAACAGTATTCGACGGATATGGATTCGGAGCGACAGCGGGACTCGGGTTCCGGTGACAAATACCTCTGACGGTCGAATGTTCGCCGGTACGGTCCGGCGTCGAGTATTTAACGGATTCCCACCACGCGGAATTTGGGGCACCGGAGCCGTGCGAAAGCCGGTGGAAAGCGGCGGCAAAAAAACGGCGCACCGGTTCGCCCGCGTTACCGCCAAATACGCACCGCGCGATAGGCCGGACGCGCGTTCGCCAATACTCCGAGTACCGGGTACCGGTTTGTTGGGTCCGCGAATAGACGAGCGCTCAGATTTTTCACTACAATGGCGGCGAATTACGATTATTGTTATTATTATTATTAGTATTTTTTCTTTCTTTCTTTCTTTCTTTCTTCTCACCTGCCCCCCCCCCAACCACTCCCCGGACACTTTTCGTCCCAGAGGGACACATCCGGATTTGACTGGATGAACGTGCGTCGCCGGTCTTCAATCAATCGCGGTTGGACCGCGGTCGCGGTCACCGAACACCCGCGGGACGCGAAAAACAACACCGTCATCGCGTTTTTTCGGACGAGGGCGAGTTTCGACACAATTATAATGTACGAATACGAGAATATGCTATCCGTTAACGTACACCGTCTGTTTTATTTTTTTTTAGTAAACGGAAATCTTCTCGATTTTTCGCAAAATCGCCGCACGTCGTGTAAACTGTATTTTAACACGTAGAGAAATATACACTCATGATCAGCTGCAGGGCTCTGTCACTATACAATACTATCCATATTTTGTGTTATATAGAAATATTCTCCATTTATACGGTGTATGGCATGATGCTGACCAACACATTTATTTGAGCATAAAAATGGTGGGAGTGAGGGTTAAACGTTGAAACCTTAAAATGTACATTCTTGATACTAACGCCATGCATATATAAAATTACACACCTTCAGCTTCATTTTGGGGGTTGGTATTAGGGGTGGTTCGAGCTCATCAACACATTCGTTCTGCAACAATACGGTGAAATCTATATTGAAATTCAACCCGACTCTTATCACTTTAATAAAACAATCCCAATTTTCTAGTTTATTGTGCTAATTTAAGGCCTGCCGTTTGTCCTAGTTTAAAGAACATGTCCCGGTGTCCCGACCGGTCATTAAGTTTGTCCCAGTTATGCTCTCAACTTATGAATAACGCTTGGTCGTATGAAAGAGGTAGGATGAATGAAAATACAGTACGAGGGCTGAAGGTCTGTAAAATAAATTTTGGTTTAGTTTGTAACTAATTTAACGAACAAATTAAGAATGATGCAGTACTTAATTGAAGAAAATTAATTTAAGTGAAAAGTATAATAATCAGTATACTAATTAATAATAAATTTTAATAATTAAAAATAACAGTAATAAAATATTAAAATATTACTTATAAATAATAATGTAAATTTGTATTAAATACATTAATACAGTTAAATACGTATTTAAGTAAAAGAAAGGTATACTTATAATTAATTAAAGTATCTCTACAAGCGTTAAAACAACAAAAAAAAAATGTTCATTCAATATCATGTCCCGGTTTTGGGATTTCATAATTTGGTGACTCTACCTAATTTGGTTCAGAGAGAGTCGCTAAAAGTTTCTAAGAGTAGCTGGAAAAAGATAAATATGTATATTAATAATAAAAAATTTAACAAAAAATCCTTTACAGGTTAAGTATGGTATTTTTAATTTTAATTTTTAGATTGAACTTACAGAAGAAACTATTTTATAGTTTTAATAATGTGTGTGGTTTTATTTTTCTTGAGTAGCATTTTTTCGGTTAGTAAATGTGTTCCGAATTTTCGCACGGTGGTACTTTATTATAAAACACTTTTTTTTGATGCCCAAAAGTTTTACTAAAATATTAAAACAACTGACAAAAAGTATGCAATGATGATAAGTCGGTTTAATTTTTGTCGATTTCCGGGTTATCTTGGCTATTAGGGGAGACAACGTGACTTGTATATATAGGTACTATAGAACTTAACCAGCTTACCGAACTCCGCTCAGAACCTTTTTTCGATTACAGTGATTTATGTATATTTTAGTATATAAACTATATATATCCTTTAATGTTATCTGTATATTATCGTCTAAATTTCCCACGTACAACAGATGGTCTACTGTGAAGACGCATGTTTGATTATTTTTTTCTGAATGTACCAACCGAGCTCATAAATTCTGTGTCAATATCCACAATAAATTTTTAGTTTTTGGACATTTTTTTTTATTCTACTAGTGTGAAACATGTTTTTTATCTTGTTGAGATAAAAAATACATACACACAAATTATATTGTAAAACTAATAAGCCGAATAGGCGACGGGAACACTTTGCGGTTCGGAATCTACAGTATAAAATTACTATTATTTTATAATAATGCGCACGTCAATAGGAAGGAGCACCGGTGATTGGCGACGCAGTCCGTTTAGAAATTCTAAAAGTGTCTTATTATTTAAACAGCTTGCAACCCGTTAGTTAAAAAAAAAGTATATATATATATATATATACGTTAATAAAAAAAAAAAATCGTAATACGTAGAGTATTACATTCCTGCAACATTGTCGGTTAACTGCGATAATTTGTTGCGGAAATATTATTTTATTGTTTCCACTTTTTTTCTTTTTCATTATATTGTCGTCTCTAGCTACGCTGACTTTTATTGACGGATTTTTTTTTTTTTTTAAGAAAATCATTTGATGGATGTCAATTTATTTACGAATCGGTTCGTTATATTGTATAAATAATTTAATTAGTCGAAAATAATCTCGTTTTAAAAAAAAAATATAATGATATTTCTTTTTATTGGACATTCATTTTTTATAAAATTAAATTTTCTCGGATAACGCTAAACATTTAAGGAGATCATGCAAATTTATGGACTCGGAAATACTTAAATTATTACGATGTTGTTTTTTTACAGATATTACCTGCATTTAAATGTACCTATTACGATACACACGGGTAAAAAACAGTTAATAATATTGTTAATTATAACTAGTAAACAAATTGAGATTAAGAGAAAAAATAAAGAACTAGTAGAGACACAGAATCTAATGGATGAATATGACACTATATCTCCTCAGCCTCCGAAGACGTCCCAATAGTTCTTCGTATTATTACCGAGGTGAACAACCAACCTTGTACCTATAGGTATATATCAACGAGAAATATATTCTAAAACGCTATTTAACACGGTCCAATTGTTTTAAACAGAAAATACAGTAATATGATTGAGGGGCTGGATGCAAGAAAGGAATTTTCATGGAAATGACATTTTTGCTTAAAATGGTTTGTTGAACTCAGCGACCTCTATACTCTCTACACAATTTTAGGTCGACTTTTTAATAATAGAGCACTGTAGAAGCGTTTATGTGATTGTGTGTAAATGCCTTTTTTGCATAGAATCACATTTACTATGTACGTTATATTTTTAAATAATATTGTTTTATTTTTCAATAATTTAAAAATAATATTATGGTAGATAACCTTGTTGTTTTTCGTTTTAGATTATTAGGTTTGGTAAAAAAACGTTTCTGAATAAAACTAAGTATTAAGGAATTAAGATAACATTTAAAATTAAAAGTAATAAACAAACAATTTATATTTGTAATTTTATTTGTATTCTTATAACTATTATTATTTATTTGTTTATTTATTATTGTGTTCATATTATTCAAAAGTTATGAATAAATTAATAAAATTCAAGTTCTTTAATCATTTAAATTGAAATGAAAAAGAATAGGTAATTACTGTTTGATGCAAGAAGGGTATTTTCATGACTAAATAAATATCTCTTTTGTTTAAAACTTCGTGGAAACAAAGAAAAACAAAAAAAAGTTATAATTATTTTCTTTAAGATTCGATCTTTTATATGGCACAAACTTTATAACCATGTGAGCAGATCTAAAAGAGTGTCACATATTTGAAACTTTAACTTCGTCAATCTCAAAAAACTTTTTTTTAGAAAACGCCCTTCTTGCACCCAGCCCCTCAATTTTTTGTCGGCATTATTCCAATTGAAATAATAGTACGGTTAATATACATTTCACTATGTTTTAGTATCGATTATTGATAATAATTTATATAATAACGGGAAGATACGAAATAAGAAGATATACGTACAATATCAACTTACAAAATATTCAGTATGGAAAACCTAATATATTCTCTCGTAAGTGAAGTTGCAGAAGTAAAACGGTTTCTAATAGAAAGGTTTGGTCGTGTTTGGAGGACAGATTGAAAAAAAATTAAACGAGTATTGTAGGGAAAATCATCGGTCATCAGCAAAAGGTCAGTAGGAATAAGACCCCACGGTCAAGATGAACGGACGCTGTGTAAAAATTATAAGGAGCTATATGATACGATTATATAGGAGCCATGTACGATGTGAGACCGATGAAATGGGATTGGGACTGGGACAGCGGTGAAAGGTCCGCTAAGCTGTTGTGAAGAAGATTACATATTTTAAGCAAACAAAGAGTACTTGCAATGTTTTATTTTTGAATTTTCCCAGAGCATAATATCTAAAGTATAAACATAAAATATACTTATAGTATAGTAACTTAGGATGACCATATTCCCGTATTATACGATTAACCCGTATTTTAACTTTGTGTCCGGTTGACCCGACGAAAATTATATGGGACATATTTTGTTTCTTTTTTTTTATTAAATCATCATAAATTACATAATAATATAATATATAAATAATTTAAATGATTATCTATCTCTTTAAGCAATAACTTGTGTTGAAATAGAGAGTAAGATTAAAAATAAAAGCAATAAAAAGAAAAGTTGATACAAAAAAAAAGAAAAAAAAGTTGTTTGTGTAGACAGTTACAAGTATACAATTCTGGTTCAATCAAATTTTATGTATGGAAAAAGTCATAAATATTGTTTTTTCATCATTAAGTGGTAAATTTCTGTCACGTCAACATTGGTAAACTTTGTTTACACTTTACACCTACAGTTGTTTTATGACGAAACCCTTTCCAGGACTTGTTGGAAAAAAATAAGCAGGTGTCGTCAGCATAAGATACAAC